GCCCTTGATGAGTCACCCAAGTCAGAGCTTGACTTGCTGCCAGCGGCTTCCAATAGTCATTGTTACATGGTAGCTTGAAAACGAACCATGCGCAATAGGCCCATGTGTTGAAGCAATCACGTACTGGGCCAGATCCAGCTCGTCGCGTCAAACAGCTATTGCGAACACGCACGCTACTACGACATAGGTCGCAATCCAAACCCACGACGTCTGAGCACCCTCGTGGTTCCTCGAGGTTGGCACCACCCGCACCCCCTTGCCCCCATTTCCTCCGGGTGCAACATCTGGGTTGCCAGGGGTATTTCCGGGTGAGAGCAGGGGTTATTATGTATGTCCTAACGGCGACTGGTGTTTCTTTGACAGGCAGCGCTCCACCAGACTACCCTCAAGCGTCTCGTACCTTAGCAGACCATCCCATTCCATACCAGCCGCAGGAGCGTTCAATTCCCTACCTAGAGCTGGGTCAAGCACCGCAGCCATCCCCCCTTCTCCCTGGCAGCTTCAACGGTGAAGCTACCTTAGACTGCCACTCACATCGCCATCTCAAGCTGTCGACGAAGCTTATATTCACCAAAGGCCAGCCACACCTTCTTTGACTGGGCACCTGTCACTTTCTCACCTTGGACTGCCTGTCTGGCTTTGCTTGGACTGGCTGGCTAGCCAGTTGGGCAGCCGGTCGGACCCTTGTGGTGTTGATGGACCCTCCTCCAGGCCATCGGGTTCTCCCCTCTCTGCGTGGGTGCTCATTACGACGTATCTCTAGGCTTTGTAGCGGTGAAGATGAGCTTTAGTCTAGACTCTGCACATCACGCCGATATTCTTCAGCACTTTCTATTTTCGCCTCTGTCACTCTGTGCTCGCACCGGGGAGCAGTTCCGTCCACACCTCTCTCATTGCAGGCTCCCCTACACCTACCCACTCACAATCATTTAGCCGGGATTCTACTGCCCACAATTATCTTGGAGGGTCACTGTATCGTCCAATGGACGTCCCTTAGACGCAGCTCATGACAACCCGGCTTCTCCTTAATCAATGTGCCGAGTGGTTGACTGAAGGGACTTCGGCCATCTTGGGCGTTGGCGTTATCGCTCATATTCTTTTTCCCATTTTTTTTTTCTTCTTCCTCTTCGGGTCCGTTGCCAATCACTTGAGTCTCCCTGGCTCTGCCTAAATATCCGGCGTTCTCTCCTACACGCCGCCCGCCACTTGACTCTGCTTTCCCTTGCCCGACATACCACACACACGTCTCAGTCACATCAACAAGTCGCTTGCTGGGTCAGCTTCCTCACTACACCTTTTCTACTTTCTAAGGGTCTAGCATTGCGTCATAATCCAGCTTTGCTTGTGCTACTCCAGCACAAGAAACCCCTGACCAACCTCAAGTATGCACTCCCATGGCCCTTGGTCAAGCCGCCTCCCCAGCCGCCTCCCCAGCCGCCTCCCCAGCCGCCTCGCCAGCCGCTTTCCCCTAGCGAGAGGGAGAGAGAGGCGTTGCCAGCACCCGTGGCCTTTGCAAGGCTGGCCTGCATGAGCTAATTCGGAACACAGACAGAAGGTCCCCCAACAGCGGGACACACCAAGGCCTGCAGCCACATCCCAGACTGAACCGCACGGCCCCGGCGAACAACGTTCGTCCAGCTCCCTGGTCTATCCCCGGCGAATTGGTAGACCGTCACACACTACCCAAACCGGCTCGACCAGCATCTAGGTACAGCTCCAACCGAGCAAGGAGTCAACTACACCACCCGAGTCTCTGTCTACGCTACCGTTAGCCACTTGGGTCCAGAAAAGCCAGAAGAATCATCGACTTGTTCCTTGAGACCCCGCTGTCAGAGTATTTTCTCCCTCCCACGTTCAAACCAAGTCAGGACACCCAAGCCGCCAGCCTTGGATTCCGTGCATCACCGGGTTTCCCTCCCCTGCACAATTGCGCTGCATACTGCGAACAAACGCTGCAGAAACAGAAGCCCGGCCAAGAGTCTGATCAACCAACCAGCCTTGCCTACCCAAACCCAGATAAACCAAAGAAAGAATCCATCAACGCGTCCTCAACACGTCCCACTCTCCATTGCAAAGGTACGTGCCTTTCATCTCTAATCCTCGTCTCCTCTTTCCCCTTCTTCGATGGACACGCGCGCGCGCGCGCGTGTCAAATCCTGTCCAGATTTCAGTCGTATCTCCGACGGGCCCCCCGAAATTGCATTTCGAGATGCATCATCTGAAGGCGTTGCTGTTCGGCGCCTGCCCACATAGGGCTTCCATGACGCCCAAGCGCGTCCTCGTTTCAATTTCGGTAACGTCCCATGTTGCAGTCTGCGCATGAACTTGGCCTGCACGACTCAACGCATCCCCCTCTTGTGCTATGGGCCGCGTCCTCGCCCCTTGTATGATTGTCTACAAGGGGGTGTACAATTTTACTGGGGCTCACTGTCGGGACCCGGTCGCGTGTTCTCGACGCGGTCGCATGAATTTGCTCCGATCAAAGTTGAGAAAACAAAACACTTAAGATGCTGACTTGAGTCGACTTGCAGCGAACTGGGATATCTTTGTTTCACATCGTCGTCAACATCGGACAGACCTGCCCAACATTACAGGTTCTCTCCTGCTCAAGCCCGCATTCACCAACGAACTGAGGTTCACCGAACGCATCAACAACGACATCTGAACAGTTTACTTTGCCTCAAGGTGAGCGCACGCAGCAAGCCATTCCCAGTCTGCTTCAGCCAGCCAGCGAGTCGGCCTGCCTCCCCCCTCAGTCTACGGACCCCCATACCTCCTTGCCTACGCGTCCATCGGGCCATATGACTTGATGGGAAAACCTTGAACCAAGCGGTGCGGGGGATTCAGCAGAGGTTGGGCAGCAGGACGTATAACCTCGACGGTCTAATATCATGCCGGGCTGGCTGGTATTGAACATCGAACATCCCCGTTGGGATGATTTGGAGTCTGGCCGGGAAGGCTGGGGAGGCCTGGGAGGGCCTGGTTCAAGGTTCACTAGCTACAGATGACAGATGCTAACCAAAGCGCACAGAAACCACTCAACATCAACTCATGACTATCAGAGCCATGGCACAGAACAGGCAGCCCTCTGGGGGCTACAAGCAGGAACCTGACAATGTGAGTTGCCTCTTTTCGCTCTTCATGGTCGATTTCCAAATTATCACCTGTGCCGTCGCAAGGCTGTGTACCTACCCGTCCACGCACTTTTCCTGCTGTCTTTATTCTGTTCAATTACTCGAGTTTTGCGGGAGCGCATAAGGTTGTCTGCTTCAGCTTGAGCGGCTGCTGGCCCAAGCTGGCTGAAGACTCGTCACCCGGCTGTTTGCTTGGACGGCGAGTCGTGACAGGCGGCAAACACGGACCTCGACTGAAGCTCCCGAGTGGCAGTCGCAGATGAGGTCAAACGTGGATAGGGTTTGAGCTACGCGCATGGCTGGCGTCAACAAGACGAGGGCCCGGGAATCCTGGGATTTCCGTGGCTTCCAGAAGTCGGCAACTGTCGCAAGCTTGACCAGGTCAGGACTTCCAAAAGTCTGTGAGATTGGGCAGGGTGGCTCCTGTTTCACCAATGACCGGGGCTGTCGCAGCCTTCATTGCATGAGTGGGCCTTCCCGCCTGTTAAGAGAGGGAGAGAGAGAGAGAGAGAGAGAGTGTGTGTGTGTGTGTGCCACGGCGCTATTCCCCTTTTGCAACAATTCTTTTATTTTCATTTTCTATCGTCGCTTCTTTCTCGTTCTGTCGAAAAGTGGGGGGAGAATTTGGAGAGAGACAGAGAATGAGTGGATGAGGGGACAGAAGTGGGCAGCAAGCCCAAGCCAGCCAGGGTTGGGCAGGGCATGGCCCAGTGCTACCCAACCCGGTTCGAGCGCCGGGGGGCTGGTTGAACCTTGGAGACCTTGGGAAAGCTTCCTCTCTCTCCCAGAGACAGGCTTGCGGTTCAAGGTGTGCAAGCACCTAGTTGTGGCCGAGTCTCTGAGGGGATGTTCGTTTCTGGCACCCCCTGACAAGCCACACCACGGTCAAGAAACATTCCGTTCTGGTTTCCACTGGCATGCGAGCATTGTGCGTTTCTCACTGTTCACTCTTCCCGACAAACGGCGACAACTCATTAGCGAGAGATGGCGAGTGCACCAAGCCAAGAGGTGGCTGGTTCGTTGGGAATCGAGGTACAAACACGGCGGCGCCAGGCAAAATAACGGCGGCCGACATTCAACGGCTACCCGAACCTGCCTAGATGCCTAGTGTTGTCTCGAGTACAACGGGTACCAACCTTTCAGCTTTTTAGCCTCAGTGAGGCCTGGACCCTACGAGCTCATTCTCCGCTTTCCCTCACGTGGACATGGAAACAGTGGGAAGAGAGAAAGTCACGGGTCTGTTTCTCTTCAGCATCACGTCCGCGTCACAAGAAGAACAAGAAAATAAGAGGGAAAAAACCATTACCAGTGTTCGGCTGAAGCCGCGGGCTCGTGCAAGGCGATGAGCTCGAGATGCACGCGCGGGAGGAGGTAGTATACACCTTCTGGACGGCCATTCCCTGGCAAAGCAAGATGAAGATGAGGTGACGATTGTGGAGATCTGGAGGCGTTGGGGTGGGGTGCGCACCCCCTCTCTCTTCCGCTCTCTTACTCTCTGTTCTGCTCGGCGGTACACACAAGCCTTGGTGGGGGCGGCTGCTAGCAGCCTTCTCCAATCATGGGTGGCTGAGCACGATAGAGAGGGGAGGGCGGCGAAGAGGGAGGGGGGTTTCCCCAGCCGATGCGTCCATCATTCTTTCGTTTGCCATGATGATTCGGAATCGGCTGCTGTTGGGTGGCATCTGCGAGCGTCCTTTCTGCTCCGTCTTTTCGCCTTTCGATTGCGCCTTGCGCATTGATACGAGAGAAGCCGATGGATGACTTCAGTGGATGCTTTGGCACCACAAGAGGCGACGAAGAGGTCGTTCATGTTTCGACCCGCGCGCCAGTTCTCCGGGAGGAGAATGAGGAGAAGCCTGGCCTGGCATGGCCTGTCACCCACACAATGGTTTGCCATTGTTCTCGCTTTGGAGGCAACGGCGCTGCGAGGGTGACATGGCTGCGCTAGGCTGGTCGCAAGGAGGAGTCATGCCAACCATGGCGACCCCCATCTTCTGCCTCTTCTCTGAGCTGGCTGCTAGAGGGGGAACAGACGAGTGTATCGACGACCTCCTAGCGTGCTTGTCGGGCGCCAGTCCGAGCGAGTACTGAGTACGACGTTCCCGCAATGTTGGCTTGCGAGCGCTCCGGGTTCCTGGTTGGCCCCTGGGACGTGGGTGATACATGGGTCATCGGCAAGGTCTCAAGTGTCCCAAGTGCCAGTGCCATCCTCTCCCACTCCCAATACCAGCAGCAGCAGCAGCAGGCATGATGGGGCAGCCCAGGAGTCTAGGGGAAGCGTCGAGCAGACATGGGGGCTTGTAAGCGGCAGCGCGGGATTCATGTCCCAGGTCCCAAGAAGCCAGGATCTTTTTCAGACTGGCCTCCCACACAGACGGTCTCTTTCCAGGCACGCCTGCGCTTCCTACCTCCCACGTCCTACGCACTCACGTCTTTTCTCTCTTCCCGAGTCCTGGTCTCTCCGCCTCATGGTTTCCACACCGCCTTGCACCACACAGATGCAGGATGACCAGGGCCAGGGGTGGAGGGGCCAGAAGCAAGGGAGTCGGGATTTGAAGTGGGAAGCTTCCCCCATTGAAGGAGGGATCCACCTGGTGGCTGGAAAGGTATGGCAGTGGATCAGGCAGAGTTGCCGTCGTATTTGCAGTTACAAGTGATGAGTCTTGTCTCCAAGTGGATGATAGGAGACGATTCAGACACGAGAGATGAGAGAGAGAGCGTAAGAAGCGTGCACACTCAGAAAAACAGAGAGAGAGAGAAAGAGAGAAAGAGAGAGAGAGAGAGAGAGAGAGAGGCAGCGAGGGTACCCGGCGCCACCCCGGTAATGTGCTGGTCCGCTGGCTAGCCCCGGATGAGAGATGCCTGATTGGGTAATCATTCCTGCTCGGCCCTGCGAGTGGGGTGCCGCCATTGGTCATTTAATCTACAATGCAGGATACCCCTGTCACGTTTCTCCCATGCGCTGTCCCACACACCCAGGCATCAGCCCACCCACCCCCACCCCACTTCCCATTCCACCTCACGCCTTTTTTTCTTTTTCCCTCTTCCTTTCCCTTTCCCTGACCTCAATACCCACACCCCCCTGCGCCTTCCTCCTCCATTCCTTCACCTTCTCTTCTCCACGCAGAAGGAGGACTTTGTGAGGAGAGACTCAGTCCTTTCCACGGTAAGGCTCGTTAGTTTCACCCCTCCATTTCACCCCTCCAGCCCCCCCTCCTTCTTGTCCCATCTTCACCTCCTTCTGCGTCCTTTCCTCGCCTTCCTCGCCATCGTCCATGCCCACCCTCCTTTGGTTCCGCCAATATCCACGCCCTCCCCGGTCGTTATATCCCCTGTTCTTCCTCCTCCCACGCGCTGCCTTCGTGCTCTGTGCCTCTGCAAGTTGCAGCAAGAAAAGCATCGAGAAGCTCTCCTCTGCCTGGCTTGCCGTCCTGCATCAAACCTGCGTTCGCCAACCGACACGACTTCACTCAGTGCCGCTCTCTCTACCTTCTCTCTCTCAACTTTCCTCTGGTACCGCAACGACTTTGATTCCGCGTCCCTTCTTCTCTTTGCACAAGTCACCGCAAAAACAACAAGACGAAGAAGAACAGCGCACTCGCGCACACGTATGTTTGTTCAGACCCCCCAACTGCATTTCTCTCTCTAGCTTTCCGCTGCATCTTGCGCAACCCGCTATTCATATCTTTCTCCCCTTTTGTTGGCTTGCTTGGCTAGACTGGCGCATTGCGACCACTACTGGTACTACTCTGGTATTCCTCCCGCAACCGCACACCTCTTTACATCACCTCATAACACATCATCATCTCATCGATATACATTACATGCGGAAGATACCTTCTGGCTTGGGCGTGTGTACAACTGATGGATGTCCTCGTCGCATCGCCTCGAATTTGCCCCACGGCTTTGGTAGCGCGCTTGCAAGGACACTGCCGTTGACATTGCCCTCTCCGTCGATATCTCGCGTTCCTCTCACCCACACTCCCATTTCCTCGCTCTCCGTCTGCGCCGCACTCTCGCATAGGCCGAGGTGTCAAGGTACCGTGCCATTATATCGGCCACCCCTTGTATTACCTTACATTGCGCTTTCTCTCTACCCCGAACAAGAAGCGACAGCGGTGCCGTATCAAGCTCCACTGCGTTCGCGCCCCCCTGGTTTCTGCATCGTCTACTTTTGGTCTGGCTCTGGCTCTTGACTCTCATGGATGGTACTGCGGGCTGGTGCCGGTCCTGGGTCTCTCCGCTCCTGTGTATGGGTCTATCTCGAGTGAGAAAGAGATACATGCAATACGGACACGGCGAGTAAGAGAGAGAAAACAGTTCTCGTACCAAACCGCCGCCGCCTCCTGTCTCGACCCCGGCTCTCTCGCCCTCAGCACTATCTGCCCATCCTGTCCCAAGTCATTGTTCTCAATCTCCCCATCATTATTACCCACACTAGATCCCACCTTGCTCCAATGTTCAAATAGCTACCCTGTTCCACTCTTGTACCCTCCTCACTCGCCCAATCCCCTCCTGCCCATATTCCTGCTGCACCCTCGCTCCGATCACCATCTCTCCTCCGTCCTTCATACTCCCTTGTCATCTCATTGCATCTTTTCCGTCCCTCTCGCTCTTGCTTTGTGTTCCTGTCGCGTTCTCCAACAACCGCAGGACCCCCAGCATTGCACTCTATTCTACTCTTCCTGACATCCCTCCTCGTCGTCTCTATCCACCTTCCTCCCCCCCGTCAAGAGACCAGTCAGAGAGCCAAGCTATCGCGTCCTCGAAACTTGACGGGTTCCGCTTCCGAGTACCACTTGTCGCAGTATCGATCTACGTTCCTGCCCGACCTTTCCTCATTTTCTTTAACCGAAGCTGTTGCTTGATTACTCAGGGGTAAAGCCAAAGAAATATCCTTACCCTTCTGATTTCTACCCTCGCCTCTCCGATCTGGCGGCGCTGTAGTACGCGCATGGCTTTGCATCTGGAGCTGGCCTCCCCCTCCCAAACGAATAAAAATCCCACTTTATATCAGAAAAGGGGTCCCAAACTGGGTCTAGCACGCCTCACCCGCCCAACCCTCGTCGACGGCCAGGAGGACCTCCAGGGGCAGGAAGGAACCACTTCTCATTACCCGCACCTGCCCTGGCACCTGGATCCCTCCCAGTCCACTGACAGTGTCAAGGTGCAAAAAATAAAAATACAGACGCGCCGCGCCCTACCTGGCCTCACTTTGTTTTTTCCCCTCCTCTTCCTGCTTGTTACTACTCAACTTTAATACGTCGAAGCGTTCTTGGATGAGGGACTAATGGGTCTTTTCTCTATGCAGCATCACCCCCACCATCAGCCCCAGGGTCAAGCACCTACTCAGCAGCAGCAACACCTGCAGCACCAGCAACATCCTCGACCCTCGAGCATCGTCCATCAACAGCATCATCCCCAGGCCCAGTCGCAGCAGCATCCCTCCTACGCCTCAGCCGGACATCCCATCGCGCCCGCCTACCAGCAGCAGAGCCAGGCCACCAACGCCCAGCACTCTCAGGACGGTCTTCCCTACTACGCGCACCCGAGCCCTTACAGCACCCCAGGCGCGACGAGCGGATACACATCCGCTGGTGAGTCTCCCTGTCCCCCATCCGTCCAAGACGCGTGCGCAAACCACAGCGAGACGCGTCTTGGGATGGCTTCACCCAAAATCCAACATGGCTAACCACGCACGAGCAGATCAATCCGACATGATGGCCGCCGCTCAAATGCCGAGACCACCTTACCCTCCCATGTCCTACCACACGCCGCAGTCAAACTCGCCCGCGTCGGTAGCGTCTCCTTCTCAACATGACCAGCACCGAAGCATCTACGGCCAGCCGCCGTCCCAGCCTCTCCAGCAGCACATGTACTACCAGACGCAGCAAGCGCACTACCCTTCGATGCAGGCGCAGCCTCAGCAGTCTCCTTACGCGCAGCACGCCGCCCAGACGCACCAGTCCATGTCCTCGCAGCCCAACATGATGATGTCTGCGCAGTCTCAACAGCAGCAGCAGCAGCAACACATGCCCCAGCACGCGGCGCAACACAACCAGGCCCAGATGACCAACAGCCCGCGTGGCCAGATGAAGCCGGAGCCCCAAGTGCCGCTGCAGCTGCAGAAGCCCCAGACGACTCCCATGCAACACGCCCAGCACCCCCAGAATGGTGCCTCGCTCAACACTCCCACCGGATCGACTCCGGGAGGCGTCAACCCTAACGCGGCGCCCGGCCCCATCCCGGCCACCACGCCTTTGGTTGTCAGGCAAGATCAGAACGGTGTTCAATGGATCGCGTTTGAGTACTCGCGCGACCGCGTTAAGATGGAGTACACCATCCGTTGCGACGTCGAGTCCGTCAACACGGATGAGCTGTCAGCCGAGTTCAAGACGGAGAACTGCGTCTACCCCAGAGCCTGCTGCCCCAAGGACCAATACCGAGGCAACCGTCAAGTGTACGAGACCGAGTGCAACACGGTCGGTTGGGCCCTCGCTCAGCTGAACCCCCCTCTGCGCGGCAAGCGAGGCCTTATCCAGCGCGCCGTGGATAGCTGGCGCAACAGCAACCAAGATCCCCGGCTCCGAAGCCGAAGAGTTCGCCGCATGGCCAAGATGAACACCAGGAAATCGGTTCAGGGAGGTCCTCACCCCGGCGGTCACATGGGCGGCCCCAGTCCGCCAGGGATGCCTCAAGGTGCGGGTGGCATGGGTCCCGCGGGTGCATCAACCAAGATGCCTGGAATGAATATGGGTCATATGCCGCACGCCAACGCTCCGGGTGGAGGGGATGAAGTCGGTATGTTTCACCAGATGTGATTAAGAAGCCCTCCGCATCTGCAGCGTTTGCGAGCCCCGTCGTTGTTTGTTGATTGTCGTTGCATCGCACCGCACATACACACTGCCCGGCACAATCCCACACCCCAAAGATCGTTGATTATGTGATACCTTTCCCCCCTTCATCACCTGCCTGTCAGCCGTGGTCTAGAACGACACGAGCTTCATCACAAACACATACAAATTTTTTACCTCTGTGCCTTTATTACATTTATTACTCTGCTAGTTGGTCAGAAGTCTCGGGAATGGGTTCGTTGCACTCTTGTCTTTTTCTTGCGCTTCCTGTTGTATAGCGTCCGGTTTTCGGCCGCCGCACCAAAGCAACCGCCACACGATACAGCAAAGCTCGCCGCGGGTTGAGAGGGATTTCCTTTTCTCTACGGCACAGATCTGTACATTACCATAGTTGCTGCACGCAGTTGCTGCTGTTGCTGTCGTTAGTCACCTGACCCGAACTTGTCGGGCAACATGCGGTATATCTCTTAGAAGAGATGCCGGCAAAAAGTTGCATTGCTTAGCGTTTTTGGCATTCAACCCCTCCTTTCGCGTCCCTATCGCTTGGCTTCCGTTGTCGTCTCTCGTAAGAGAAGATGACGAGAAAAAAAAAACCTTTCTCCTAAGCTCATGCCACGGCCCTCTTGTACCTCAGAGAAAAAAAAAAGCAACCCCCGAGTCCTCCCTTTGTTGTCTTGAACGTTTCGCGTTGCCGTTGGTTCGTGTTGTCAGGGTTGTCGATCAAACATGTTTACCCCTCCCGCACTCCGCTCATCCGCATACGCCTTTCCGAAACCAGTTTCCAATATCTTTCATTGCAACGTTGGCTGACTTATCATGTCTGAATAGGCGATGGAGAATACATGGACGAACACCATCACCACCACCAGGCCCCCGCCGGCCAGGCGGGGGGCGATGACGTGAGGCAGTCGCAGGTGTTCTCCGGCAGCTACGGCGGTCACGGCGGCTACCCGGCGTCCAGCTCCGGTTCGATGCCTCACATGGGCAGCAGCTCTCATGGCGGTGCCGTCACTGCGCGCCGCCACAGCCGCAGCGACAACGGCGAGCCCGAGGACCTGTTCCCTAACATCCCCGAGGCCAAGAAGCGCAAGTTCATCCTCGTCGAGGACAATGTCCGTGGCTCCCGCCTGCGTGTTAGAGTCACGCTCGACGGCGTCGACACCAAGGAGATCCCCGACTCCTTCCGTAAGGGCGCCTCCGTCTTTCCTCGGTCGTACTTCCCGCGCGAGATGCAGAGCCCACCGCCGTCGGCCACCGGCTCCAAGTTCTTCCAAGAGGATGCCGATGAAGAGGATGATGGTGTTGAGGAGACTGATGGCCGCGGCTCTCGCAGAGGCGCTGGTAACAGCAAGGCCATGGTCAAGGTTCCCATTGGTGAGAACACCGAGGGCGAGGTCGCTATTCCGCGTATGAGAAAGAGTGTTAGAGGCAAGGAGGTTCGGCTGAACGACCTCGGATACCGCATGGCGTGGCTGCAGAGCCGTGTCTTTGCGGGACGGACTGTGTTCCTCCAGAGAGCCCGTAAGTGTTTTGTCCCGCCTTCCGAGTAAGCAAGGCGCTAATAGAAGCAGTGGACTGCTACCGCAACAAGACTCGTTCCGCCATTGAGTCCATCATGCAGGACGTCAAGACGCTGGCGCCTCACTACGAGACGCGCGTTGGCAAGAGGAAGTGGAACGAGAGAATGAGGAAGGGCGAAGCCGAGGAGTAAATGGCACACATTCGACTCCCGCCCGAGTGTGCGAATACAACGTTGACCAGTGTTGGTTTCTCACTATGCACATAACCGCATGATATCCCACGGACCTCACCATTCAGCATCATCGAAGCGAGTCTCGCCCCATCCATCAAATCGATTCATATGTTTTTCCAATGCTTATTGCGACTCGTTTCCGTGCATCGTTAATACCGACGTCTCACGACTAAACAGCAACACACGGACAACCAAAAAGTCAAAACATTTGTATCATACGTGCCCAATCCTCAACAAGTTTATAAAGGAGGTGAAGACAGGGGAAAGAGGAGAGCCGAGTTTCTCCTGGGTGACGACTTGACGACGACTACTCTTTTGTTTCCCCCCTTCTCTCGATCAAGGACAAACACCATCAATTTCGGATGGTGGCTGGCCCGGACAAATCCAAAAAAGACGTGACGGAGGGTGTCATTTTTGTTCTTTGCAGCAAACAGCACACGAGCTTTGCTACGACGCCTTGGACCCTACGACAAAAAGACATGAGGCGGATTTCTACTTTTTCAAAAACTCAAGGCATTGTTCTGTTCCATTTTTTTTTTCGGTTGATTACTTTGGGTTTGAGGCGACTTGTTTTTATGGTGAAGGCGTGACGAAGGACGTGAACTGTGACGCTTTTCTCAACTTCTCGGTACATTTTATTTCCCCACATCTTTTCGTTTTTTTTGTGGTCCAAATGCAGACAGGAGGGGGGAGTTGTCTCTTTTTCATCTTTTCCCGTCGTGGCCCGCGCACGAGGTCTTTCTTTGCCCATTCTTCGATTCTGGGAGGCGTCGGAGAGCGTACTTGCTGGTTTAAGATATGCCTCTTTCCCCCGGCGGCGGCATAAGGGAGACGAGAATGGAGGATTGATGCGGGTATGGAATGGGTTTTTTCTTCTTCACAGGCAATGAGGATTTATAGATTTGGCAGTTAAGAATCACTTCTTTCAATGATCACCCTTCCGAACTGAGCCCTGCAGAGATGAGTGATGAGCGAAGGGTGAGTAGATGCCCTGTGCGTGGTTTGGATGTGGTTGAGGTTGATGTCATCTAGCAAGGGGAGGAGGTACTGTTAGGCCGTGAAACTGGTGAAACTGCTCGCAGAAGCACGCGCGATGCGCGGTGGCTCTAATACACGAAAAGAAACTCGTCATGTTTTCTCTACACCGACCGCACGCGTGCGTGTACCGCCTACGCCTTTTCCTCGCCCTCGGCCGCGTCCTTGGGCGCCCTGTCCCCCCTCTGGAACACAAACAGCGCCTCGTCCTTGCCCGCAAAGCTCGGCAGCGGGATCTGCACGACCTTTGTCCAGGCGGGCTGCTCCCGCGCCATGTACTCGTCCATGGTCATGCCCCGGAAGGCGGTGTAGCCGTTGCGGTTCTGGGTGCCGACGACGGCGAGGGTGTCGCCGGCGTAGGCGTCGACGAGGCCGCGCGTGAAGGAGCCCTCGGTGCCGCCGGCGACGCCGCCGCCGACGACGGGGTACACGAGCAGGAGGACGAGGTCCTTGCCGGCGTCGCGGCCCCGCAGGAACTTGACGCCGTCCGAGACGAGCGTGTCGGGCACCCAGTTGACGCGCCACTCGGACTGCATGTTGTCGACGGGGTGGACCTCGAGGCCGTAGGCGCGGAGCATGTGCGTCCAGTAGCCGTTGCCGGAGCCGACGTCGGCGACGGCGCGGCCCGCGGCGAGGGTGCGGAGGACGCAGAGGGCCTCGTGGGTGGGCGTCGCGCAGCCAAAGTGGTGCATGAAGATGGGCAGGACGTGGTGGCTCTGCAGCTTCTTCTCGGTGGCGGGGACGGGGCCGCACCACTCGAGGCTGCGGCAAGACCAGGCCCAGAAGTCGAGGTAGGGGTTCGGCGGGAGGGCGGCGGGCTTCTTGGCCTTGGGCACCGCGAGGGCGGCGGCGAGGGCCGGGTGGATGTACCGGCGGGCGAGGAGGTGGGTCGCGACCTGGAAGCGGAGCGAGGCCTTTTTCGCGTTGGAGAGAAAGGAGTTGAGGGCCGAGGCGGTCAGGGTGCTAGGGGAGAAGATCTGGGTGTAGGCGTCGATATCGGCGCGGGGCGGGGGGTCGAGCTGCTGTGGTGGTTAGTTTGCTGGTGGTTTATCCGGGATGTGTGAGTGCGACAAGGTTTGGAATATGAGAGATGGTAAGGACAACACAGAGATATGAGAGTGGGTGAGATTTGACAATGAGAAGGGAGGTGTTGTGAGAGGGAAGAATCTCGAGTGATGTCCTTGCTATCCCACGACAAAGTGCCTTTCTCTCATAGAATCTCACTCTCACTTGTATGCAACCCACTCGCAAGATATCGCGAGTCTTCGAAACTGAAAAAGTGTACCAGAGGCAAACAGGAGCAAGACACGCGTACTAAGGGCAAGGAGGAAGAAGAAAGAGAACTTCAAACGCACCGGCTTCCCCTCATCATCGCGATACCACGCATGCAGGCCGTTGACGCCGCCCATGCTGACAATTCGCTGGACTTCGGCGAGGCGGACGGCCGTCATGGCGTGGTAGACATAGGTGTCGCGCTCGGGAGGTTGAAGGAGACGACGGTGGCGCCGTAGAGGTCGTCCTTGGCGAGGAGCTCGTTGGCTCTTTCGCGGCGCGCGGTGTCCTTGGCGTACTCGTCCGGATGGAACGTCGGACTGCCGACGCAGTAGGTGAATTTGCCGCCCTTGGCGCCTATATTTGCGGACATGGTGGGCGAGGTCCTGTTGGGCGTCGAATGGTCGGAAGCGTTCTGGACATTGTGTGAGCTTGCGGGAAGGGGGAGGGGGGGTTTCAGATGTTGAGAGATTTACCTGGGATGCGGTCGCGTTGGGCCCCGTGGATGAGCTAAAATGAGAAGGTATGCCCAGAAGAGGTATGCGGGATGCGGCTCGACTTTACCCGGGCGATCGGAGACGTCGGGAGGGCCGGGGAGAATGAGATTCGGACCCTGGTCGTCAGCGCTGGTGCCGAGTTTTCGGGGCCGTGTTTCTCGGAGCGGACGGATGTCGTCATGGCTGGTTTGGCCAGCTCCGCCCACTTTTTCCGGTCTGTGCCCCGGACTGTGCCATTTGTCGCAGGATGCCAGACTACGCACGGTAGGGAGCAGAGCATCTGGGGCCCCGGGAAATGAACGGCTGGAGAATACCTGCACAACATGACATTGGCTCTTCTTTTCCACTCACGTGCAACTCTCGCCAACGCTCCTGTTTGGTTGCGAATTCTCAATTAACTTGTCAAGGTCGTTTATTCGCATTGCCCTTGTGTTCTTAGAATGCATCGCTTGACCCCTTAGTAGAGAACACGGCCAGACCGTTTGCCCGGTTTTCGGGGGCTAGATCTGTGCTCCAGGTTCTCCGCCTCGACAGAGCGGAGAAATGCGGAGAAATGTAGCAGCATCACCACCCACTACCAGGCACGTGTGATCACCTGCTCGGCTCCGGCATGGCGCCCAGGGCGTCGTATCCGGTGTAGGGAAATTTCGGCTACCTGGTTTCTTTCCATCCATGTCACAATGTGGGTCGAGCGTCTGATTCAACCATTGCCAGTTTTCTGGCCGGTTCTCGGCTGTGGCTGCAGGTATGCGTTCGTCAGAATTACCTTTAGAGATCAATTGTGGCCCGACGATTAAGCAATTAACAACGCATTGGCCCCGTACCCTGTTGCCATGCCGCCATGTCGTGACTATTTTGCCTGATTCGCACAAGCCGCCTCCTTCACGTTGTTCATGACTCGGGGCGAGCTACGAGTTCCTAGTCCAGGCCTTGTCCTTCTCCAGAGTTGTTTACCGACGCCGCACGACGTTCATCCGTTTTCTCGGGAGTTGACCGCACCAAACACCAGGAACCCAGGACCCTCCCGGCTGTCTTGGCATTCTTCTACCAAACTTCTGTCTTTCTCCCCCACACCACCCAGCCCCAAATCCCCAAAGTGCCAGGGTAGGGCCGATTATGCGGGACGACTGCGGGGTAGAACGCCCCAAGCCATTGGACCGGGACCTTTTTTTGCGAGCATTGTTTCCTCTTCAACGGTAAGCCATCGAAAATTTGCCCCAAGCTTGGCAACAGTAGCATTCGTCCAGCCCTTGGCGGCACGACATGGCCGCTTCGAACTGCTTCGCAACGATGGATGACGTAGCTCGCTGCATACTAGCTCGCATGCTACCCCGGCCCGGTCTGGTCTCGTGGCTCAATGCTGGGTCCATTCCTCTCGAGCCTCGGTGGGCTTCATCTCCGGCATGGAGTCCAGCTTGGACGGCAATGTCCGACCTTCTACCGGTCCCCCACTGCTCTTCAAGTACATAATGCTTGCGAGTCGCCGCCCTCGCGCTTTGTGAGAGGGTGTAAGCTGTAGCGTACGCCAGTCAAGCATCGTCGGTACCCATAGCTCACCTTCCGAACAAACCATGGTCCGATTCAACCTGCTCGCCGCCCTCTCCACGGCCTGTGCCACGGCATCCGCCCTTGTCCCGAGACAGGCCGTCCCGGACAACACCACCACCGGCGCCGCTCCCGTCGTCGACCTCAAGAACGGCTCCTACCATGGCGTCTACAGCTCCTCCTACGACCAGGATTTCTTCCTCGGCATCCCCTATGCTCAGCCGCCCGTAGACGACCTTCGCTTCCGCGTGCCCCAGCCCCTCAACTCCTCCTGGGAGGGCACCCGCAACGCCACCGAGTACTCCCCGCTGTGCTTCGGCTACGGCAGCGACACCTGGGTTCTGGGTAACCACGTCTCCGAGGACTGCCTCACAATCAACGTCGTCCGCCCTCGCGGCGTCGCCGCTGACGCGAAGCTTCCCGTCGCCCTCTGGATCCACGGAGGCGGCCTGACCAACGGCGGCAGTGCGGACCCGCGCTACAATCTCTCCTTCATCGTAGAGCAGGGCGTTCGCATGGGCACCCCGTTCGTCGCGGCCAGCATCAACTATCGCCTGCACGCCTGGGGGTTCCTGTGGAGCGACGAGGTCAAGGCCGAGGGCGCCGGCAATATTGGGTTCCGCGACCAGCGCCTCGCCCTGCACTGGGTCAACGAGAACATCGCCGCCTTCGGCGGTGACCCGGAGCAGGTCACTCTCTGGAGCGAGAGCGCCGGCTCCCGCAGCGTGGCCTCGCAGATGCTCGCGTACGGTGGCCGCGACGACGGCCTCTACCGCGCCGCGATTCTGCAGAGCGGCACCGGTCTCGGCACCGACTTTGGCGAGGTCAACTCCACCGCCATCACGTGGCAGGACTACTACGACACCATCGTGGACAAGACCAACTGCACCTCGGCCACCAGCACCCTCGAGTGCCTCCGTGGCGTGCCGACCTGGACCCTGAGCGACATCTTCAACGCCACCGCGAACCCTGGCTTCACCGGCGTCGTCGACGGCGAGTTCCTCGAGGCGGCCCGCCACGAGCTTGTCAACGAGGGCAAGTTCACCCGCGTCCCGCTCCTCATCGGCGCCAATACGGACGAGGGCACGCAGTTCGGCACAAAGGGCATCAACACCACCGAGCAGTGGCGCGCCTACCTCCGCTCTGGGGGCGCCAACAACATCACGATCGAGGTCCTCTCGGCTCTGTACCCGGACATCCCGCGCCTCGGCACGCCGGCGACGCTCGAGGGCCGCCCGACGGGGGAGTACGCCTCGTACGGCGCCATGTGGAAGCGCGTCAACGTCTTCGCGGGCGACCGCGCGCAGCACGGCCCGCGGCGGTTCTTTGCGCGCCACTGGGCCGCCGCGAACCAGACCGTGTACTCGTACAACTTCAACGTGCTGGTCAACGGCCTGACACCCGTCGAGGGCGTCAACCACTTCCAGGAGGTGGCGTTCGTGTTCAACAACACGGACGGTCTGGGCTACGAGACTGTCGTGGCCAAAAATCCGTTCGAGGGCAAGCCCGAGACGTACAAGGAGCTGGCCAACATCATGTCGCGCATGTGGGTTGCCTTCATCACCAAGGGCGACCCGAACCAGAACGGCGTGACCAACGTCACGTGGCCCACGTATGACGCGGAGAACCCTGAGATTATCGGGTTCGACGCCAACGTCACGTCGTTGGCGCACGTCCAGTCGGATACCTACCGCACGGAGCAGATGGAGTATCTGATCCAGAAGTTGTGGTCATGAGTACCGAGGTGGTTATAGCTAAGAAATAATGAATAAATCAACATTTAGAGTTCAAAGAGCTGCGTTTGCGGTCTAGTGGTGTCATGTAAACCACATCGTATTCAAGCGCACTACGTTACATCTGATTCTCAGCCCATCATATTAGTGTGCTGCGTCCAACTTGTCGAAGCCATACTCCATTCTAAACTCATCACATTACGCCATCCCCGTGAGCGGACTGACTCCTGTGAGCGTCGACAAGATTACAACACTGAACTTTCAACCCACACAGGACGCCGCCAAAAGATGACCGTTTTTACCATTTGGGTATTTTCTACTGGCTTAGCTGTGGGCGATGTTGGAGATGACCTCTCGCAAAGGGGGCCATCCGCTCCAACCCCCCTCATAACAATCTCGGGAAACGTTCAGATCTTCTTCGTGGCCTGGGCCGTCTGACTAGCCTTGGGCGCCTTGGTAGCCAGGACCTTTCCAGTGGGCTTTCCACTAGTGCCGGTCTTTGGTTGCTTCTTCAACGCGCGAGAGACGGCGTCGTTGATTCGCATGGCGACTCTGGTCCTGATCACGGGCGGGAGCTCCCTGAGGCTGTCGTCTTCATGAGCCCCGAAGGCGCGGGTAGGGGCGGGGTTGAGAATGTAGGTCGGGGTGTGCTCGGGGGTTGCAGTGACTGTGACTGTGACTGTGACGCGATTGGCGGGGGAAGAGGAAGTCGAAGTCGAAGTTGAAGTCGAAGTGGAGGAAGTCGAAATCGAGGCAGTCGAGAGAGTCAAAGTCGAGGTAGCAGACGGAGTGATGGTGACCGTCACGGTGACAGGGCCGATACTGGAGGACGTAGAAGAGCCGGACGGGGTGGCAGTGGATACGGAAGAAGAGGTGGACGTGGTTTTCTGCGAGCAGCAGTTTGGTCGCCTGGTGCGGGTGCAGCGGCGACGGCTGTAGATGGTCGGGCCCGGGCTCGAGGTCGTAGCCGGGGTCGAGTAAGCGACGGCAAGAAGGGTCGTGTCGGCCTGACCCTCCTCGTTAACTTTGAGGTCGGCAGCGTGGGCCGACTGCACGGGAAGCTCTCGCTTGGATTTAGACATGGTGTGCGCAACCCGGGACTTGAGGTCCGTAGGTCTCGTGCGAGTCGAGACTGGAACCTTTAGGCCCTCAACGTCAGCACCAGGCTCCTCCAGGAGCCTGGGAGCAAGGGTCTTGCCAACGGCCGGGGTGGCTGAGGGAGTGACGGCCGCCTGAGATCCGGACGAAGGGACGGCGGTCCGGGTGACCGTGACGGTGGCCCGCGAGGACGTTGTGGTCTTGGTGTTCTTTGGCTTCTTGGGGATTCGAGCCCTCTTGGGAGAGGAAGGCCTCTTGGGGCCACAACGAACCCGCTGGCCCGGCCTGGAGAGGCACTTCTTGCCGATGCATTTGACTGGGACGCCGCTCGTCTGAGTGGGTTTCGCGGTGGTCGTGGTGTTTGTGTAAGAGGCAACGGTGTTGGTGGTAGGGGTGGCAGTAGTCAGGGGCTCTAGTGAGGCGGCGGCAGCGCTTTGGGATGTCAAGCCCGGCAAGGATTTAGTCATCTGACTAAACCATTTATGCTGCATAATGATGTGGCTTGGTATGCCAGTAGACTCCGAGATCGCCGCCGAGAGTGAGCCGGTAGTGGTGATTTCAGACGAAGTGGGAAGCGGAGGCGGAACCCGGAACCTTCTTATCGAGCGGAAGCAGTCGGTACGGGCGGAGGCCGGCGGTGGAAGCTTGGTACTGACCGTGGTGGGGGTAGGCGTCAGGAGCGTGACTGAAGTCGCTGCGGAATCAGAGGTGAGCTGAGACGTGGCGTTGACCAGGGAGGGACCACCGGCGGCCAGGAGAATACCGGCCCAGATTGTGAAATCTCTCATTTTGGGTTGTCTTCGCGAGGGTAAGAGTCTAAAGACGGGCGAGTAATGATGAAGACCGAAGGTAAGAAGAAGGGAGAAAGACGTCAGTCAAAAGGGAGTTTTATATAGTTATCTGGCTGGCGTGATGTGGAGATATCCCTGAGAAGCCCCGGGCTGTTGAGAGATGCACAAGGTAATTGGCATGAATTTGCCTTTGCTGAGGCCCCGTATGGCACAACGAGAACCGGAGAAGAGTAAATGTTTCGGGGGTGACCATCCAGTGCCCCGCGGGGCATGTCACAGATCACGAAAGATGCCCATCTAAGTTTCTCATCTAGCACAGAGCCATGCAATTTCCTGGGGGAAAGACGAGAGGTAACGCGGATACGGTTCTCGAGGACCGGGGCACTGGCGGGCGATACACACGACATATATGTTTGATCCAAGCGATGGAGCGGGCCTTTTCCTGGGGGGGAGCCATGCACCAAAAGATTGATTTCCTTTCAAGGCAGTAAGGACAACAGAAGCGGCGCTACCGTTGCGGAGTGGTGGGACACAGGTTCTGTCCAAAAAGCCAACCTGAACGGCCGAACCGTTATGCAAGTGTCGCCTAAACCCGAGTCACCGCGATGGACGATTTCTGTTTCCAACGGGTCAACACGAGCAAATTTTTACTTTTTAAGACGAAAGAACCAGGTTCTTCAAGCATCACACGAGGTTATTGACCTCTCACTGACGTTGTAATATTACGATGGGCTAGGTGGACTTACACGTCAAGATCCCCCCCAACGGCTCCATCAGAAGCTATCAGGGTCTGAATGAGGGACTGCTGAGTTGCAGATGGCAAAGTGAGTCTACACATACAGACACAGACAAGAAACCGTGATCTATCCATGTGCAAGGCACGGGTCAACGCACGACGCGGTTTGATAGTCCTGGAGTTTCCTCCGTACTCAGCTTTCTGGGTGCCAACGTCACCAAACGTGCCTCCTATCATAATGAGATTTTGAAATCTCCCACCTTAAGTCTACCCTTCCACAATGGAAGCCCCATCACAAGGACACGTACAAAACCGACAATGGGACAAGAAGGCAGGCCGAGGAGAGCCATATGTGAACCATCATCCAGGTCCAGAGCGAAGAGGAAGGAGAGAGAAATGACACACCGCTTTAATTGGTACAGACTATCCTCAACCTCCTGCTTTGACAGGACAAGAGCCTCGGCGCAGTTGCTCAGGCGCTTGTCAAACTTGACCTTTAACCGCTCTACCTCCTCGTCCTCGTCACGCACAAGGACATCCTCCACGTCAACACCCGCGCCTCTGGCGTATCCACAAAAGGAACGCTCACCCTCAATCATTACAAACAGAGAACTCAAGCATCGTTCACCCCGGCAGTCATGGCGTTCCTCTCAGAACCTCGCTCGCAACGCCCCTGCCGCGGGAGCAATCTTCCTCGACCTCTCCTCACAAACACCCGGCCCATATCATACAAGTTCATCTCCTGTGTACTTGTTGTGTGTGTTTGATGGAAGACATTATGGACAGGACCACGAGAATCCAATACAACCTGCACCAAGACCGAAATCTGCATATCGCGCTTCCCGCAAAATCCCACCCCTAGCGCCGTCAAGCCCCTCCCGCAGCCCATACAACCAACCAGCCTTCTTCATCCCCAATCCAAGCCCCCTCATCCTCGCAAACTAATGCGTCATGGTGTTCGCGCGGACGCAAGACCAGTTCATGCCAACCACCTCACGAGACCACTTACACTGGGTCTTTGCCGAACCTTGGCTCTACGGGTCCCCCATCCATCGCGGGTGTTCGTCTGGTCTTGTATTCTTAGATGCATGTGTTCATGAATTTTGTATTGCCCTGATGGGCGCTAAGCTTTTCTCTTCCGTTGCAGATGGAGATCATAAATATCTCCGTCCTTCCCATAGCCCATGTAAAAATGTGACACAAAAAGATTGATAAAAAAACTAGGCTTCTCGCTTCATAGGCTCGCTCCTCACCAGATGCTGTCATGACCAACCCTTACTTCTCAACATAACCCTCCTCGTACATCATCAGCTTTGACCGCTCTCAGCCCTCGATGGCCAGAGGCTCGCGCTCACGCTCTCGGTGGTGACGGTGGTGGTAGTCATCCCGACGCCTTGGGTCGTCGTCGTAATCCTCGTCATCTCGACGGTGTCTGCGGTGGCGGTCTCTGTCGCGATCGTCGTCGTACCGATCGTCATCGCCCTCTTCTCTCCTGTGGTGACGGTGCTTCCGTCTGTCATCATCGTCGCCATCCCGATCACGGCCACGATCGTGGTCCCGGTCGCGGTCACTCCGATCGCGGTCCTTGCCAGACTCTTCACGCCTCCGCTCTACGCCATGTGTTAGTTTGGGTCATTCTGACTCCTAGGAGCTTCCACATACCTCTCAAGACCTGCGTTGCGGCGGCATATGCTTGGATTTCCTCCTTGCTGAGGACACGGAGAACGATAACAAAATCATCGCGAACCTCGAAACGCTCCTTGCCGACGGTCAAAGCCTCCGGGTTGACGATCTTGCGACTGATCTTGGTCCACCGGGCACCGGGTGGGACTTCCTTCAGCTTCTTGTCGTCCTTGTGAGGTGCAACACCCTCGCGGATAGGGTTGTCTTCTTCAGGAAACTTGCTGGGCGCCTTCAGAATACCCTTAAGAGGCTTGGCGTCGGACTTGTCGCGAGGTGGTGACACAACGCGAACCTGCTTCTCGTCCGAACGAGGTGGTGTTGTGTCACGGCCGCGGTACTCATCTCTGCTCGAGGCGATACCCGATTCGGCCGAAGGGATGGAGACGGGCGATTCTCTCTTAGGAGGAGGCGATTCCTTCTTGGGTGAAGGCGTGCGCTCCTTTGGTTCTCGAATAGGAAGATCGGCGTAGGTTTGTTTGTCCGATCTGTCATCTCTCTCCAATCGGTCGGATCTGTCTAGTCGTTCTGGCCTGTCCAGTCGCTCCGATCGCTCGTATCTCTCAGGGCGATCCGAACGTTCGGAGCGATCCGACCTGTCCACGGGAACCGGGACCTTCTCCTTGGGTTTGTCGTCCTTCATGGCGGCCAACTGCTCTTTCAGCTCGCGAATATCGTTTGTGTTAGTAGGGTTGAATCCAATTGTTTGCCGCTTGGGCCGCCTGGACCTTTGCTCATCGTCATCCGGAGAGCCATCGCGTTGTGATGTCGGAAGGCTGTCGCCTGTGAGGTGAGCCTCGGCCTCCCTACGGTTCCGGTCTCGATCGCGTTCTCTGTCACGGTCACGAAGTTCGGCATCTTGTTCGGCGGGCGCTCTACGTGTCTCAACAATGACAGGGGCACGGTCGCGTGGGTCTCGAGACTCATCCCGAGGCTTGTATCTTTCAGCAGCACGAGCTCCGGGGTCTTCCTCATCGCTCCGGCGGCGGGACTCTCGCTCCAGCTTCTCAGGACGCTCATCTTTTTCTTTCTCTTTCGCTGCCGTACCAAGGCCGATAGCAGTAGCTGCGAGGCCAAGTCCCGCACTCAGTTTGTCGCGTAACCGTTTCCGCTCAGCTTCATCTTCAGTAGCCGTACTGGTACGCCGCGTGTGCCGGTCCTTGTCAGCTTCAAGGCGGACAGACTCCCGCTTCGGACGGTCCTTATCATCCCGGCGCTTGGACTCATCGTCTGAGCCCCTCTTGGTGTCCGAGGGGGAGGTTCGGTGGCCACCGCGTGACTCAGGTCGGTATCCGGGACGGGACTCCGAGTGATACCCGTTTCGAGACTCGGGGCGTGGTTCTCTGCGCGACTCACGCCGATCGTCAAAGTCACCGCCGACCGGGGCCGAGTCTGTACGAATGCCAAAACCACGTGAAGTCACTCCATCGTCATGGTAGTAATCGCCGCTACCGTAAACAGTGTCATATTTGCGATCCGCGTCCCTGGCTTGTCGCTGGGCCCGGTCGTCATCGCGGCTTCGGTAGTAGTCTTCGTGATGACTAGACCGCGGGGGCCTTCTTGGTACACCGACACGGGACGTCGAGAGGCAGTGGCGCCTGCGACTGTTGCGGCGGCTACAGAAGTCGCGGCCACATCCATGGAAGATGGAACGCCGCTGGAGCGTCTATCTTTCGGACTCGGAGGTACCGGTAGATGAACGGGCGCAGCAGGAGCTGCTGGGGGGATAGAGGATTGCGCTGGGTCGTAAACATTCGTAGTCGAACGGTTGATCTTGTCCAAGCCCCGGGTGGTGGGCGGAGGGCCACCTCGTTTCTCAAATCGGCCGGCGTCGTAAGGGCGGCCTGCAGTCTCTGTTGTAGTCACATTGACACTTGGGCGGTAGTAGCCCCGGTCGACACTCTCTCTCCGGCGTGATCTTGATGGCGGTCGAGTGTGATCCAAGTCGTAGCGCGCGAGGTCGCTTGGTGTGGTGTATTCGTATCCATCCCCACCAATGTCAATGGGGGCGTTGGCATGTCGAGTACTGTTGGGGTAAAGGGCGGACGACCTCGACGGACGGTACGTGTCATGCCTGGCCAAAGTGGGATCGAGTGTTCGCTCGCGCAAACGAGCAAATTCTTCATTGTCCATTGTGGAACTGTAGGAGCCGCCTCGGTGGTGGCTCCGGGAACGTATGGAGGAGGCGGGTTGTGTGTAGAACGTCGTATCGCTGGAGCGATAATCTTCGCGAGTCGGGCTGGAATGTCTGTTGCTCGAAGAGTGGTGCGACGATGAGCTCGCTTGCGGTCGGGCCTGGGTTGTAGTGACGATGACCGGACGAGCGGCGGTGGAATCGAGTGTTGACGAGCGATGGCTGCGGGTGCGGCTCGCATCTCTCAGGCCTGTTCCACGAGCCAGAGGATCCTTGGTAACGGCGTAAGTCGTTGTAGTGGTCGCCGGAGTGCCCGAATGGTGATGATGGTGGCCTCGTGAGCTAGACGAGGCGTATCTGGTCGAAGACGTGGGCATGACATGAATGTCTCCTCCGTACATGGAGCTATAGCCGATGCTTGTTGGAAGCGAAGCCCTTGCAGGATTGAATGTTGGCGACCGCGGGCGGGCGGTCGTGTATCGCGAAGAGGAGTAGCGGTGATCCATGGTGACGTACAGTAGCCGAGTCGGCAGCGAGTCGTCTTAGTCTGGTTGTCGCTCTTGTCGCTGTGGTGTTCCCCGCCAGAATATTGTGCAGGAAGACTACCAAGAGCCTTGGGGGAGCACGGCGAGGGAGAAAGATGAGGAGGGGCAGCCGGAATTGGGTTGGGCGCTGACCGGCTTAGATAGCCCAGAGATGGAACGGGACGGAGGTAGCGGGAAGAAGCACGTCGCAACCACGTGAGGATTCCGCCCTAAGGAATTTTTTTCCTCTGTCCTTTTTACCCCGGTCGCTTGGACTTGGTGGTGCTTTGGCGTCTTTTTTGGCTTTTCAGTCCTATCGTTCGTTTGAGGGTGTTGTGGTTGTCTCACTTTGTTGGATAATTTCTGAGCGAGATTTCTTTGCCCTTTTTTTTTTTTTTTTTTCGAGGAGGGAGAGTAAGGCAGGGTGAGAGGGAGAGAAGGAGGAGGAGGAGGGGCAGTCGTTGGGATGCCCACCGAAACGGAATGCGATGTGGGTTTCCTTTGGCTGGTAGTCGGTACGAGCTATGAGATGGCGGGGTCCCGGTCTCTCCTCAGTTCTCCTCAGTCTAATTCGTTCCCGTTTTCCTTGCGTTTATTAGTTTTGCTTGAAGTTGAAGACCCCCCCGTCGACGGGACTGGGCTGGGTCAGGTCAGGCTTGGGTCAAGCAGGTCGGGCTGGAGTTGGGTGGACTCTGTTCCCGGATCGCTGTCGAAACGCCCAAGTCCACTGTGGACTGAGGTGGAAGTTCTACTGCATGCACCTGCAGCGCCGTGGGAAAAGAGGGGCGAGTCAGCTTTGTCAGGAGTAGGAAAATCGAGGGAACAATGGGCGGGTGGGCGTGAGCTCAAAAATAGGACGAAGACATGAATCCATGCACCGTCTCCATACGGTTCCATACAAAAATAAGACGGTGGTGCCGAGTATAGACGATGCGCATTGCCTACGGTGCAGGGTATGTAGGGAGATAGATGAGGATGTGAGAAGAAGATTGGATTTACTCACCAGATATCGTAGGATAAAGATAACGTCACTGAGGCTGAGGGGAGAAATAGAAAAGAGAGTAAGACGAGGAACGGGGGGCGAAGAATGGGCGATGATTGAAGACACTGCAACGTCGAGTATTTTTGGGAGGGGGGTATCCTGGGCGCAATGACGAAGAGGAGGAGTCGACTGATCCTTGCCGACACAGCAGTAAGAAGCGCGCGGGGGGGGTCTGCTTTGATCATGGATGCCGATGGATGGTCCGGGGACACTGTCCAGCCAGTGTCTCTTTATCCCAGGGGCGTCCGAGGGAAGGCAATCAGTCAGCAAACGACGAGACAATTTGACTGGTTGTCTGAGAGCTTGTCTTTGGTGTACCGCCGTACCTAGTGCAATCACTCGAAAGGTTGTGGTGTTGCGTGGTGACGATGAGGATGTATTGGCACATACGTATGTTGACGAAGCACCGTGGAAACCAAGGGCTTGGTTGATAAGGCCAAGGATGTCACCCCCCGGCACGTTGTAGTCGAGCTCCAGTCGACGAAGCAATGCTCCTCCAGTAGGGGTCTTCGGAAGACGGCGAAGACGGCGAAGTACTGCAGTTATCCGGACTTGACGACGGCCAGGTGCTTCCCGCCTTGTTAAGGCTGCGTGTAGTACAGAGAGAGTAGGTATTCTTGTTAGGTGCTACCCTCTAGGCTAAAAGAATAAAAAAAAAGATACTGGAAAGATTGCCCGGGGTAGTTGTACCTTGTCCGTCCAGGCTGACAAAATGGGTTGGCAGGAGATGGGCGGACGTGCGTCAATGTCAATGCCAATGCCGTGATGCAGCGCCTCCGTCAGCGACAGACCGACCAACGACAGCGGGATACGCTGCTAGTGGATTGACCTGCTTCGACCGCTGTAGTTTGAGCTTTCAGCCCACCCAGGCGACCCAGGCGATAACTAGAACAGACAGGTCGCGACTTAGCCACAAAGAAGCTAATCCAAGTCGCTCAGACTGCAGAAGCAGCTTGCTTGGCTAGAGCCGTTTCGTCTCTGCGGTGCAAGCAGTTCTCGCCGAGTTCAGACGAAGAGCAGGCGGACGTCGGATGAGACGGGTCTTGGGAGTTTGCATGCAGTCCTTGTCTGGGTATCTGCGCGTCTGCTCCGTTGTGTGCATGTGGCCTCAATCAGGCACAGCAGCGGAAAAGGCCAACGTTATCCTGCAGGGCCGTTCTTGAGGTGTGGGTAGCCGTCGAAGCAGTTGTTTCCAATCCGCGGCACCCTAGGGGCAGGACTGAAGGAGGCGATCGGGCGTGGGTGAGATGTGATGTGATGGTCTTGATACAGGACTGCTTGCTGGCCGCTGACGTCTCGAGTCAGGGCAAAGCAAGCTATCAGAGACAGCGATTATGCTACGCAGAGCGATGAGTGGCTGTCTCGAGGCACAGGGCAAAAGCTTTCGAGGAAAAGACGCCGTGAATTGGGCTCGACCAAGATTGGTGCAATTATCCCGACCCAAGGGTCCGATTGATGGCGCTGGCTCAGGAGAGTGAAACCTTGAGAGACAGGCCCTCCCGAGGTGAAAGAGGTAAGACCAAGCCTCACGGCGAGGTAAGGTGCTCTGCTATTGGTATGAGTTTGCAGGCAGTTGACAGGTTGATGGCTGTTAGCAAGGTGTAGCGAGTGGGCGAAACGGCCGCTCTCTTGCCGTTTTGGGAAGCCAGTTGTCGTCCGTGTCGATCACGGCGATGACGTCCTGCTGAACATGTTGGACGTTGACCGGGGTCTAAGACAAGGCCCAGGACCCTGTCTGGTTGCTTGCGCCTTTTCAAGCCCGGCGAACTTTGGGATCCCGGGACTGTCCCTAATTTTGCTACCGAGGGCGTGGCCACACTAGCGCTTGTTGAATAACGGTAGCTCGAGTTGAAAATCCCAATAGATCAGAGGCCTGTGTAGGTAGTGACATCCATGAAGACTCGGCTGGCAGACCCCACCGCTCGCTCCCCGGCAGGGCATAGCACGTCCATTGGGGCCTACGGCGGCTAAGGATAAGCTCGGAGCTGTCGGTTTCTCGTCTTGAGTGGGTTAACACCAGATGCGGTGCCCTGATATTGTGCAGATGCAATGCGTCCGACGTCTTGGAATGCAAAGAGGGAAAACAGGAACGAGACAAGAAGCCGCCGCTGGGCCGATTGAAGATGTCGAGGGTCGATCCATTCATTCGCTCGTTGAACGTTACCTTGCCATCTCCAACGTCGCAGTTGTCCCTCACGTCATGCACTGCCGTGCGGTGCAGTTGCTGTGTGATGTGCTGTGCTGTGCTGCGCAATGGCAGTGTCGCTGTGCGAGTGGGTGCTGGGGTCAGGTCAAGGTAGGGGGGGGGTGTCGGGTTCCTGACTAACAGAGACGGTTGCTGTCAACAGAGGGGAGGCGGGAATGTGACCGACGTCAGCGGGAGCGGTAGTGATGAATGGTCTCGGATGGGATTGTGTTAGCGCGTGGTGATGACGGGACTCTGGAAGGGTCTGGATTGAGGCGAGTCAATCAGGAGCGTCGACAACGTCCGTCGTTCGGAGACGGTTGGCGAGTTGTTGACCCCCGAGAGGAATGCCGACACATGGACCAATAGAAGGCGCTGCGTGTTGTTACAAAAAAACATTAAATACGTAGCCGATACGTACGAAGTCAGGCTGGTTGAGCGGGCTGGATTGGCGACGGCGGAATTGCGATGATTCTTCTAACGTTTTGGCTGACAAAGGAAAAAAAAGCAAATGAAGCAGACGATAGCCCGTTGGTTTACCGTTGGACCGCACAGCACACAAGTAGGTAGGTACCTACTTGCAGCACGGAAAGAGAGTCCGGCCCACGGTGCAGATGATGCAGTTTCTTGGGAAGGTACGGCAGATCGACCTTGTCCAACCTGTCGAGGCAGGTGCAAGGCCGGTGCAGGCAGGCAGGCAGTCTTGGTCGGCCGCCCCAGTCTGCGTCCGCTCGTTCCACGGCGGCATGACCTCGAAAAGAGCCCGGGGATCTACGAGAGAGAAAGAGGCAACGGCTGTAGCAACCCGACAGCACCAAAACGTCCTTCCGGCGCGAAATGCTGTGATTTTCCTCGGTCAATCCACCCACATCGGCAAGATACTCCCACTCTCTACCTTAGCGGCCAACATGTTCGTCCAGACATACTATGTACGTCTACCGTAGACTACGCAACCCCTCGCCACTACTTAGTGATGTCGAATTCGACCGGCTCATTGGTCGCCTCGAGGCATCATTGTCCCGTCTACTGCCAATCCTGCCATTCCCAAACCTAAACGGCCACGATCCCTTCCTTTCACGGATATCGAGGCATCCATCGTCAGCCATTGATTACCCCCCCACCAGTCCGGCAGCCCGACGTTAACCTCAACCATGTCCGTGTCCAAGTGGACTGTTGCTGTGGGGTTGTCTCTTACACTATCCGTACTACAGTCCACATATCCTGGTCTGTCGGGCTCCATCGCAAGTTACACCACGATCCTGCGGCCGTCGGCACCGCCAAACTCCATGCCCCATTTCGACCCAACCGCTGCTTTTTGCATCTTCGGCTTCAAGTCTCATGCGGCTGCCCGCTCGCTGTGCTGCGCGCCTTGGCTGCCGCCTGATGGCTGTTACTCGTCGCCGATGCGACAGCCAAGCATCACGCCCAACTGTGGGACGTGTCGAAACCTCTGGAACCCTCTCCGCAGTGCCCTCTTGACCTGAACCGGACAGGATGGCACACACATCGACCGGCAATAATACCATACAATCTTGCGTGACCGATGTTGACGAGCAACAACAACGAACAACAGCCCCGCACTACTGACCACCGGATCACGGTCAGCACCCTTTTTACCATCACCACCATCCCGGGAATCTCGCCACCAACCTGCGACCGTTGCCATCCTTTTCGACTGCATCGGCAGCACCTTGGCTTTCTACGAGATATATCTCCATAGTTTCTGCATCTAGAGGCTACGCCACCGTGCAAACACGCGACCAAACAAGAAATGCCTAGCGTTTTTGTGTCGTGACTCGAAAGCCTTTGGATTCCTCCTCTGACTACGAACCGTAACTGCCGCGTGGGGTCAATGGGGATGATCTTTGAACCCCAAAAATGCGATGCGACTTGGGAAACTTCCGCTGCCTCTTCACCGCCACGGCTCTCCAACCTTCACCCTACTATTGTCCGACAATCTGCGCTATTTCCTCCAACATCATAGGCCATGTTGCAAAGCTAACAAGTGTAACGTCTCTCAGGCCGCCTTAGCTGTGCAATGTGACAGACGATAACTAACACAAGGGATGGCTGTCTGTCCATGCACGCAAACCACCCGATGTAGATGGCGGTGATGCCATCTCCCGTCATTTTCTGCCCTGGACAAGGAGCATCCCATCTCGATAACTTCGCCAAACAGCCCTGCCGAGGGACATGGCCCTAGCGTACCATTCTTACGTTGCTGACGGTCTTCCTGATGCCTCGTTTCGCCTAGCCAATATTCCCTGAGATGCCTGGCTGGAAAATTTCCTAATTCACCAGTAGCCTTCTTACGCCTCTTCAGGAGGCCTAATCCCCATCAGCTGTGTCTCCATCAGACAACGTTGGCAGTTGGGCAGGGACGGACCCGGAGGGGCTCTCCATTAAAGTCCGTTCCGCCGAAGCCCAAGACGGGGGTTCCCCGGTCTCGACAAACCCCAAGCCGCCCGACAATGTTGTTGGGTTCTCACCTGCTCTGTCGGGCACCTCCATCCGAAAGTCCTTTCGCCGGCTATCTCATGTTGTCCTACGCTGCAAGCCCACGAGTGATCTCCTCCGACGTACCGTCCACCTGGCAATTTGAAAAGTCTGAAATTACTGTTTCCGCATCTCGATCTCCCAATGTTTCACCCAGATCGGCAGTCGATAGCGGGCCTTGAGGCGATACGTGCACACGCTTGATACGCGAGTATGCTTTTCTCTGCGCTCGGAGCATGCAGCAGGCAGCTCAATATCGGTTGAGCTCTGGCGGGCAAAGCTTCGAGGCCAGGAATGGTTGGCTTTCCACGTGGATTACCGCAGTGCCAAGAACAAGCCGCAGTGCCATCTGAACTGAGGCCCCCCAATGGCTTTCACAAGCAACCGGCGATGTAGCTGACTGGCAGACCAGCCCATGAGACGTCCATAACTCATGCATCACTGGGTTCATGAACATGCCTTGCTTGTCTGTATTTCTTTGCAGCTTGGGCATCACCTTAGGCGTCAGCCTAGGTACCAATGCACCGTATAACAGCGTAAGTGTGAAGGCCTGGCAGGCCTGGCATCGTTCTACCTAGATTTGCTCCAGCCTCTACCATACGCCGTAACCACATTGAACTTGGTTCCGAAAAACGGTCCAGCTCCAAGACGATTAGGGACACACGAGGTTGGACCCGGGCCTTGATCTGTCTTCCCTATCCACTACGGCTGTTGTACGAAAACAACTCGTTTTGTGCGAAATCACTGAGATTCGTAAGCACCTGTGGCCCTGCCCGAATCAATTGCAAACTCTACGTTTACCGAAACCAATACGTACACTGGCCAAACTCTACCAGTAGATCGGTGCCTGTCATGAGACACCTTTCGCCTCACTTTTTGCCTTCCCACCAAGGCCAGTAAGCCGCATATCCAAGCGCAAAGAGCCTTCCGGCCTTGGAAGATAACTTTCGCGGGCCGGAGAACCCACACAAGTCAGGGAAGACTAACTTAGTGGTCCCTGAGCTGGGAAGGACGAAACCTACCGGTATCTCGGTGAGGTGGGTCGGTGTAGACAGGTTCGGTGACACAACAAACACCCAGGTTCGTGGTCGGCGGGCCGGAGACCGCATCCGACCACTACCGGACTATTTCCGGAGACCGATGCGCAGGATGATAGCGAATCGAAAACGGTAGCGGACGTCAACGGGAACTCCAAGCCAGAGACGCCCGGTGTGTTGGCGTGCTTCACGTCGTCGTTCACTCCGAGCGTCTATGGTCTGACGCCGGTGTGAACTAGATGACCGTTGACAGCTCCGGACTGAAAAGGCCTCCATAGCACCACGCTGGGTTGTCCTAGGGCCAGTCTGTCAGAAGGAACGACCTCGGGAAAGCCATTGTCAGCCATATGGATAACACTTAAAACTAATAGATTGACACGCTGCCCTGCTGTAAGCAAAATCCTAAATCATGATCGGTCGTGTCGTAACGTCTAAACGCGCAAAATTCCTTCCCACATAACAGGAACCCGTCAACACCCACTTTCCCGTCCCAAACACGAGACCTTGGTGATTCTACGCCAAGCTGCCCATGGGATCCCACAACGGCAACACCGTCGGCTCAGTGCCAATAACGGCCCGGACCTCCTTGCTCAGGAACCGCGGGTCGACGACGGCCTGGTAGACGAACTCGTCCATCCATGCGTCGCTCATGACGAACCAGCCCTTGTCGCCCGCGCCCTCGCCCCAGCTGTTCTGCACCCTCCACCTCACGCTGCGGCCCTCGGCGTCGAGGTGCACCGCCGTCAGCACCATGGCATGCGTCATGGCGCTCTCCCCGGTCCGCAGGCGGCTCGCCTTGTCCATGCCGAGGAGCGAGACGCCGAAGCCGAGCTCGTAGTCGATGAGGTCGAGGTCCATCACGCCGGCGGTGGAGGAGCTGAACTTGCCGACGTCGGAGCCGAAGAAGACGGGCAGGCCGGCCTTGATCATGGACACGCAAGCGGACTTGAGGGTCGCCATGTCGACGTTGACGTAGGTGACGCCGCGGCCGCCGACGATGTTGCCGAGACGGTCGACGGTGAGGAGGGTCAACGGCTCGTGGCGCGGGTCGTGGACGAGGGAGACCATGGAGTCGATGACGGAGGAGGTGACGCGCAGCTCGGGCGAGTAAATGTCCCTGGCAAACGCCGCGGGCGTGGTCTTGAGCTCGTGCGGCTTGCCGTTCTTGTCGAGGAACGTCCAGGTGAAGTCCTCGCGCGGGTTGGGCGGCGGGCCGAGGGCGAGGGTGAGGATGGAGAGGATGTCGTGCATCATCTTGTCCTTTGTCGACGACAGCGTCTGGGCCGTGGCGGAGCCCGAGCGGACCTGCTTGCGGAGGACGAGGGCGTACTCGCGTAGCTTGGTCTTAACAATGGTGTTGAGCACGCCAGAGTTCATGGCGTTCCACGAGTCCGGGTACAGCGCCTGCGGGACGAGGCCGTACTTTTGCACGAGGTTGTAGACCATGTCCCACTGGCCGCCGTCGCTCACGATGTCGCCAAGCAGGGCCTGGACGAGGCGGCCGTCGAGGTCCTCGCCGGCGGTGTCAATGATTTGCTCGAGGAAGTAGTTTGACTTTTCGAGCTTGTCCCAGAAGAAGAGGTAGGACTGGGAGAGCTCAAAGGAGTCGAGGTTGTGGCGCTTCATGAGGGCGATGCGGAAGACGTTTGTCGAGGCAAAGAGCCAGCACCGCCCCGACGAACGCTGGTTCGTCATCGGCGCGCCTTCGAAAGGGATCCTGGTGTTGAAGATCTGGGGGTCGGCGAGCTTCGTGGACGTGGAGGTCAGGACGGTGCGGGGGTCGGCTGTGCTGAGGGCCGTGAGGGCGAGCCTGCGAGTTTGTGTTAGTCCGGCTCCAAAGGACGGGATGCTCTGTTCAAAGGGCCAGCAGTTCGACCTACTTGTTCTTGGGGTCGGCGAGGAACCGCGATTGCCAGGACTGCGTCTGGTGCACGGGGAGGCCCTCGGGCTCACGGGTGAGTCTGACATCGCGCTTCTCGTTCTCGCTGCTGGACTCGCCCACGTCGACAAAGTCGTCGTCGGTCACCTGGAAGCGGCGGAGGCGCTCGAGAAGGGCCTTTTCGTTGGATGCGTCGACCGCTGTCTTGGACGGCTGGGAACCCATCTCTGCCAGCTGAAGGTTGGGCGTTTCTTTCACTTGAAGCAAGATATGAAGCTGTAAGTACGGTCGTCGAAACCGATTTACTACTCAGTGTTGCGTGAAGACGACGGCGGACTGTCAAACGACTTTCACTCAGGTTGGCTGCGGGCAGAGACACGATCACGCAATCGGAGACTGGACAGTGAGGCTCGAGAGGGGAGAGGAGAAGGTCAGCTTTAGCTCGGGAGCTGTTTCAAGTGGGATGGATTGAGGTTATGGTATTTAAGACAAAGAACACACACGAGTCGTAACCCCCCCCCCCCCCCCCCCCCCCCCCCCCCCCCCAAGATCCGGCCCCCCTTTCTGCCTTTCCCCCCCGGCCCTCCCAAGCATTCTCTCGCAACCGATCCCGCCTGATACCGAGAAATGCCAGAAGAAACCTAGGCTGTATTGCCTTACTAGAGAAGGTAAGGAAGGTCAAGCTTCCCCAGGGTGCCCGCACTTGCGTGTCTCTTATCAGTTGGAGTCGAAGTCCGGGGCGGGGGGGAAGCCGGATCCGGCCATACAGCGATAAGCACTTTGGGGGGTTTGGAGTAGGTGGGAGCAGGGATCAGATGCCCACGAGCGAGCGATTGGGGAGAGTCACGCACACACGGGATACAGCGACCATCAAGGTCCCCAAAGGAACTTGCGGATCCGTCTCAAAGGGTCCTCACATGATGCAGACCGAGGGCTTCGTGGGTGCTTTGCATACCCGGTTGCAATGGTGATTGCGGAAGATGGAACCGATGAGAGGCGAGCACGCAATGATTGGGGTATCCAGGATGACAAGCTGAACCGTTAAAAGTTGCCCTGCGTTTTTGCTGTTCTATAGCTTGGGCATTTCTCCCCTGCTTTTGGTAGCACGCAATCCGGCTTCCGGCTTGTTCTTCGCCGATTTCGCCGACGCCGTCTAGGTACCCACCGCGGGAACTTCCGACGCGTACGGATCGCGAGGAACATGTGTTGCGGAACGGTTTCTAAAGACCAAATACAGGCATAGACAATAAGACTTAAAATCATTGAAATGCAAATGAGGTGCATGGTAGCTACCGCGATCGGGGCTGGAGATGGAAAAAATCGTTGAGGTTCAGTGACCTACCTCCCTAGAGCTCCGGTCCCGTAACAACTCCGGCGGCAACGCTGAAGCCGGGCCGTTCCCTGCCGCAGACCCACTTCTCGCCGTGAGCGAGTTGTCGCAGTGGCATGAGGAAAAGACATCTCTACAGGGTGTTTGATTGCTCGCTTCAGGCGCTTGTGATTCTACATGAACACTTGCTTCGTCTTCGAAATTATGTTGTCAAACTAGCTTTCACATGGTCATCGAACCAGGTTCAGTTTGTCCAGGACTATTAGGTAACTCCCAGCGGCAATCTGCAAAGCTCGACTCCTTTAAGAACTCAACGAATGCATGTACTGATAACTACGGCGCTACAGGGGTTGATTTGTCTTCAGATCGATTATCAGCGGCCATGGACTTACAAGACGCATTCACGGTGCCAGGCTCTTTGTCCCCTAGTGCAATGTCTTCTGAGCTGGATCAGCTATGAAAAATTGCGTAAGAAATCAAGTCCCCAAAGGTTTTCGATTGCTGTAGCCGATAGCGTCGTAGTGGAGGGGTAATTAGTTGTCTAGGTCGGAGTCGCTCCGCTCCGAAATGGCGCGTTTTCTTTGAGACGAGGGGGCACTACGCCTGCGTACCCTCCGCGGCTCTCGTTGCAGGTGAACGAACTCGCGATAGACATCCTCGTCCTCGTCCTTATCGGACCCTGTACTACTTGCTAGTGTCGATCGTCGGTCAGAAGACGACTACTTGTTTTGTTCTGCAGGAGCCGACTTGCCAGACCCGCCCTGTTGTGTGTCGTCCGCCTTGAGAAGAGGATGCCTGTGTAGGTTCTTGCTCGTACTCAGAGGGCTCTTCATCGTGTCCATCAAAAGGCCAGCTGGGATTTTCCTTAGCTTGATCCCGGGCTAAGGTCTTGTCCTCATCCTTCTTTGCCACGTTGACAACACTCTCAAGTAACTCGGCCATCCTTCTTACATTATCGCTACTCCAAAACTGCGACGACCCAAGGTCGGGCATTTCCAACTCGGTCTCATTCGTCATCAAGGTATTGGCAGTGCTTTTTGTTTCGCTTTCAAGCTGATTTTCTTTCTCCTGGCGCCGTTTTTCTTCAAGTACCGTCATGTACTGTGTCATTACGTCAGTCCATACCGACATTTGGACGGTCCAACCAGGCATTATGGCCTTCTCCCATACTTGGGGAAGAATAATCTCTCCATTTGGGGCCAACAAGTCGTAGAAACCACTCTCTACTTTTGGTCTGATTGCATTGAAATCGATACAGGCCTTTCTGATAAATTCTTCCATGTACTGTTATATTGATTAGACAGCTGTTTGATGGTTTTCGTTCGACAACGGGACTTACAGGTCAGCTTCGGCATAAGCAGAAAGGAATGGTGTGTTTTCGTCCATTGCGTCCATAAAAAGGACAGGGGCTTCTTCGGGCTTATTGATATCTCTTCCCTGCTCGGAAGACTTATCCACTGTTAGGAGTGAACTGTCATTGGTATGCGGATTCTTATTCGACAGAGGGACGCCCGTCTTTCGGTTCTTCTCCATCCTAGAGTTTATGATCCTGATCCTGGGGTCTAGACGCTCTTCTAAGTCCTCCCCCTCGATAATTTTAAGAGTCTTCCCATAGTCATCATCGGCTTGGGTATAGACGCAAGCGATTTCATTCATAGTTGCGACTGAAACATGCGCGCCATTGCCATCCTCTGCAATGATTTCAAGAAAATTCTCAAGATCGCCATTGGTTTGGCTATAGATGCGAATGGATTCAGGGGCAGTTGCGACTGGAGTATGTGCGCCCTTGTCATTGTTGGGGCTAGCCTCTGTTAGCGTGCTGAGGCTGATATCCGGTTCAGCGTTGCGGTAAGCGTGTGAGTCAAAAGCATCGAGTGGCTTCGGGGGTGATTGCTCCTTGGCTTCAGCTGTCGCCTCTAGGTCGTTCCTTGACGTATAAGGATCTCCCGTACCTTTCGAAGCTTCAGGCATGTAATCTTCGCTGCCTCTGGCCGTATTGGTGGCTTTGGTCTGTTGCTCGTTTGAGTCCGCTTCGAGTTGCAGCTTCATTTCAACATCTGCCCTGGCCTGCCGTGTGCGTTTTTCTATTTCGGCATGGGAACCTTTCGTATAGACACATGACCACTCCTCATAACCACTGCTTGGATCGGTACAGTCACAATGGTCTTTCTTGCGGACTCGGCGGCATCCTCGACAGAGGATGAGCCTCATTATATCACCATTAGACTGATCATGCCGTTCTCGAAAGTGCGAAAACCGTTGGTCGTAGTAAGAATACGTTTCAGAACAGAGGCGATCACCGCTGGCTTCTGTACAAATACATCTCCACAACCTTTTTTCTTTGATGTATCTGGCGACAAGTACTGGCTGCGCACTGCTCACACCCCCACGCAGAGTGCTGTGTTCATCGCCGTCGCTGGATACGGGATCATCATCAGTATTGGCATCTCTGATTTCAAGACTTTCGATAGCCAGAGGTATCGCCTCGCAGGCGAGATGCGACCGAAATTCATTGGAGTTGCCCTCAGTCTCTGTCGATGGGTTCCACTTGTCGCATAAGAGACACGAGCCTTAATCATAGTGAGTGAGAGGCTTTTCACAGGCCTTCAACATCACCTTTCTCTGCGCAGCGGACATAACTCTTGGATGTTGGGAGCCGAAGTGAGTCTCAAGGACCGAGGCAGTGTTACACTTCTCGTGGCACAATATGCAAGTCCAATGTCGCCGGTGTTCGTCCATCTCGTGCTTGAACCACTCATGCGAAGTTTGAAATGGCTCTGCGGGACAATCTTTGTATGAACAAACGTAGGATTGCAGATCGCGATATACGTGGTGCCTGTACATGGTGTTATTCTGCTTGCTCAATGAACGACAGGGCGCAAAAGTTTCTAGGGACTTACTTCCAATGATATCGATCCCTGAAAACTTGAATTGTGCGACAATAAGGACACTCTATCGGCTCATTGTGACCGAGTTGCACTCCGTCCAGCCACATGTCCGTTAGTTGCGGGACCATTCGACCTGAGTGAGTGTCCCCGATGGTTGTATGGGCAAATGACGTTGCCACAGTGTATATGCTTTCCTCCGGAGAAGGTCGCAACGCAACCTGATTAATAATCTCAGCAGCGGCGAGGGTGTCATGAAAGGACGTCGCTTTCGTTGTCGCCCGTTCAGTCGCCTCATCCTGCGGTGACCCGACGTCATATTGAGTTAAGTTCCGGCGATGAGTCTGGTGATAGCCAATATAGTCGATTTGGCGAGCAGTTCGTTCCCCTGTTCTCTCTGCGAGCCAGGGAAACTGCTTGAGTTTCGGAAACTTATCTTTTACGTTGGTGATAAAGGGTCTAGGATCCGACTGTGAGGATTCCGGCCCCTGTCGCGACGTTCGTCCACGAGGGTGACTCCGACGAAGCAGAGTAGAGAGTGTGAAAAGATGTGTGGTGCACGATCGAATATTGTTTAGCAACTCGTTGATTTCCGTAGTAAACTTTCGTTCACTTTCATCAGTGTTTTCGTAGGCGGTTCCCACCGAGTGCTTGATGACTTCCTCAGCAGTCGTTGGTCTTGTCGTCCTGATCGGCAATTCCCCCAGTGCGATGCCATCAACTGGAAGAAACCGATCAGCAATGAGAAAACATATCAACAGAGTACCGAAGCTGACCTCTCTTCAGAGCATTCCCCAGGCGCTTAAGCCCCGAGGTCACGCTATCTTTCATGCGCTCGGCCTTTTTCAGTCTTGAGTCGAGTGAGCTTGACGACTGCGGCCTCTGCAAAGCGCCAATATTCAAGGCCCATATCTTGAAACGGCCAGCCTCATCGGTCACTTTGGGCTCCAAATCATGGCACTGGGTCGCTGGAAGATCTTGACACAGTTTGACGAAAGCGGCATCGCAGTTATGGGCAAGCGAGGATATCGACTGTAACTTTTAGACGGTAGGATCGCCATCCGTTCAGTGTTAGGCGTTTCTGAGTTTATTCCCACACCGGAGTGTTTCGATATTACATCTATCTCAGGTGGCCATAATCAGTGAGGCAGGCAGCATCTATAATATTATTGATTGGGCACCCGATTGTGCGTGCTGTATTAATGTGTGTTGTCGTATCTCGAATTTTTGTGTATGTATGTGTGTAAGGGGATAACCGCAATCTTTCGCAGTGTAGTGGCGACAATCCCTTGATCAATATTTGACCTCTTATTGGCCAATCAGAAGCCATATATTATGGGCCTTGTTCTGTCCATTTATTGGCCCCATGCATGGGCAGTCTCCCCCATCCGTGATCCTTCACGTCCAGATGACTGCGCCAACCAACACAGCTTTGATCGTCCAATTAAACTTATAAAAAAAGATGCATAAAACCATGGACTGCGGTTCATAATCCCTGACTGTAGGCACTTTTGTTTCTTCCTTGCTGGTGGAATATTTTTCTTCTGTTCCATTGAAAAGAATGAAGCAGTAACCGCCGACACCCAAGTCACCTTTTCCCGACCGAACCACCACGCTCTCAAGTCCCTCCAACTTTCAACCACACCACCAACAGAACATACACTAAAACCACATCAAAACTTCAATCCGAATCATGGCTTCTCTGACCGACTTTCCAGCTGAGCTTTTCGGCCAGATATTCCGTGGATTGCCACAGGCGGATCTCGCTTCGCTCTGCAAAGCCCAATCCACCCTGCGCAAAGCAGCAGAACCACTGCTCTACAAGAACATACACTTTCTTTGGACCGAGAAGAACACCCCATCTGTTGTCCAATTCCTCCGAACAATTCTCACCCGCCCGGACTTGGCACTGCACGTCCGCCATCTCAGGTTCCTGGGCTCGACTTTCCACTGGGCGAGGCCTCTCTCAACGCCCAAGATTCCCGTGGACACGGATTCGATCAGCCCGCTGGTCAGTGCCATTGAGAGCTTATGCTTGCCGTATGAATCCTCTTGGATTGAGCAGCTCCGTACCGGAGCGATGGACGCATTTATAGCGCTCCTCATCACACGAGTTCCGAAACTGAGAAGTCTGCGCATGGAGGGAAACACCACCCAAGAGGCTCGGCTGTTCAGTAACGTGATTCGATCGGCTTTTTGCAACCACAACGGAACCAACCTTCCTGATTTAAAGCATCTTCATACCGTAGTCTTCAGAGGCGCGTATAGTGAAGCTCGCATGTATCGATTCCCGAATACAGAGAACGTCCTACCTTTGTTCTACCTTCCAACTTTACGAAACCTCGAGGCATTTATCGATACGCCGCAATCCGGAGCTATCGAGTGGCCAATCAATCCACCCAGACTATCGAACCTCACATCACTGGAGTTGTGGATGCTGCGAGAAACGTCACTCGAGCAGGTGTTGCGTGCGACGCCCTGCCTCAAGTCTCTTACATGGCACTGGGTCTACAGGTCTGTGAAAAGCGAACTACCTTGGGGTCGAACCATCAATCTCGAGATGGTTGCATCTGCCCTGGTTTATGTGAGAGACTCGCTAGAGAACTTAAAAATTACTGCTGCTGTGGATATTGGGAGACACAACATTGAATACGACTCCCTGGAAGTGCGCGGAGATCTGCGTTCCCTATCCGCCTTCCAGCTGAAGACCCTCCAGATGCCATGGCCCTTCTTTGTAGGGTTATCAATAGACTGTGGTTTGCAGTTTGGACACGTGGTTCCGACATCGGTAGAACATCTGACCCTCTCAGAAGGTTTTGCAATGATACCTGATTATGAATGGGAATACGATGAGATGATTGTGCGATTGCTTGAGTATCTAGGAGGTCTGCAACCGCCTGAAGCTCAGTTACGAAGTCTGCATTTGCTGTCAGACCCTTTCTCCTCACCATGGGTCTCTAGCACTAAGAGGACGAAGAGGCTGACGGATGCTTGTTTGAAGCATGAAGTTGAGTTTAGGGTAATCCAAGATTGAATAAGAGGACAAGCACATGCTTTCAGGGGAAGCTAGAAATGAGAAAAGGAGAATAGAAATAGAGGAAGCAACATTGAATATATAATGAATTTAGAGAGAAAATACAAGAAAGCAAACGATCAAACAAATTTAAGAAATCTTTATAAAAGATTAAATACTAGTAATGATCTTGCACCTTTGATATAAATTCATTCCTTATTAAAACATGGTTCTACTTTGAACAAACATTTTTAGGTAGGCAAAGATTGATTATTGGTCCCCGCCTCATTCGCTCTGACACAAACTGATCTTCTTTGGGTATCCATCAGCTAACCCACCAGCCAGACTTGACAAGTCATACGTCCACTCATCGTCTCTTCCATCCTCATTTATCGCCAAGGTAAAGGCTCTGAGGCCAACTTCTGGACGACGAACGAACTCAGCGCAACCCCAATAGCTTATGGTCTTTTGAACCAATTAGTTCCGCAGTCGCAAATGTGTGTTTCCGTGCACTTACATCATAGCTTGGATCCTCGGGCTTTGGGGTGTTGCAGGGATCAATTGCAAAGATACCCCGACTCTCCTCAACGTTGATACCTCTCTGAACTGTCGTTACGCGACCGTTCATCTTACTCAGATCTGCGTCTGGTTCGGAATGGATATTGTAGAACGCATGGGCAACTAACTGCTCGCCGCATTGCCCATTGTTCCGGTGCTGATTCTTCTCTCTGTTGGCTTCGGGGACATTGTGCATGAACGTTTGCTGGCACAAATCGAGTTGTTGTTTCACTATGTTCGCCCGGGGCCGAGAATCATGGTGATCGGGATCCCCATAAGAGAAGGATGTTTTGCCCTTTTGCGACGATGACAGGATAATTTCGTCGTCGTACGCCATTGCCGTCATGACGGTTGGCCTGTTGTGTTTGAGTATATCGTACTTGTCCGCCTGTGCCAATGCCTCCATCTCTTTATAGGCCTCAATGGCTAGGCTGGTGAGCTGTTTATCGCTGATGTGGGCTACATCGGTTGCCTGGTTGAATTTGAGATGGGTAGAGAAAACGAAAGAGCGTTTCCCCGCTGCGCTCTTACCTCCTGTCTCTGCGCCGTTATTGTCTGCAGGCCATGAGCGAAACAGGGAGAAGTCGAGCTGAATTCCGAGTCTCCCAGGAGTGTGTTCTGTGGAGACGTCCCAGGCGCATAGGAGGTGAGTGAGAGAGAGAATAAGGTAAATTACCCAGAAGGGATGTGACTTATAGACAAGGTGGCTCATAATGAACCCGTTGTTGCTGCCGTTGTTGTCGTTGTCGTTCCCCGTCACTGGTGGACTCTGTTACGCCCTCAGCGTATTCAGAAGGAGGGAAGATACTTCGTCTATCAGAGGTCCTCAACCCGTTTACACAGGCGCGACTCCTTGAATAGAAGAAAAGGAATGTATTAGGAATGAATAAAAGGACAAGAAGCAGAGCTATCCGGTCCCGAGAATGTGTAGAGGATAGATATAAGTTTGGTGAAGCTCTATATTAGCATGTTGTAATCAAATGACCTTCCGTTCCAATTAATACCTCGTCTCATAAGCCAACAACATGATCAAGCCTGTCTGCCTCACAAGCGTACCACCGAGCCCGGAAAATGACCCGAGGAACTCTCGGCAACTAAAATTACTTGGCATACATCGCGCAGATGACTCTAACCGCAGATGACGAGCTGGGCCCGGTGATGGCCAAGGAGACTGCTCAGTCGTGAGTCTCCAACGCGCTCGGGGGTATTGTGGCATGTTGGCGAAGTTGCACGTAAAGGTCCTAGGCCTTACGGAGCTGGCTAGATATCCCGCACCTGAAATCTGCAGAGCACCAACAGACAAGAGCTGGAATATTACTTGGATCCTGCCTCGATTAGAAATGATCGACGGAAAGGAGGCCGGCCCATAAGAAATGTGGGATTGATCCTGGTCCTGCGGACTCTGCACTGCCTAAGGTCCGTAGCAACCAACAACAGCATTAAAAGCACAAGAGGTTTGCAGGTTGCCGCTAGAAATTGGATCTCAATCACCCTTGAAGCCAAGAGAAGAACGGACGGCGGACATGAAGCCCTGCCTTCAAGCCCTGCTGCATGTAACCTTGCGTTAGCCCTAGCCGCCGGTCCTTTTGTTGAAGGATTTGCGGGCCGCTTTCACCTCAATCTCGCCTTCTCGTGTTGGTTTGGGAATTGCAGCGCGTTCGGCACATTTGAAGCCTCTAGCCAAGACGACATTGTCGCCCTGCCAAGGCACATGTTAAGACTGCCAGGACTTATGTTGCTGAACTGTTGGATCTTCTCGTGTATTTTAACTTGCTGTGCCGCAGCTAATGGCCGCATGTCCTGATAACCCACTCTATCGGCGGCTCGAGAACGCCGCGAAGTATGGCGCAGTAAGAAATGTAACTATGAACCAACAGACCTACAAGAAATTTCGGAACGGGCTCAATTTTTCTATAGCGTCCCTAAGTGTTCCGCATTAAATGGTCATTTTGATTTACCGCCAGAGCAGCTGTGTCGGCCGATTTTCCGACATCGAGCTTGTGTAAGTACCAGGCAATGAACCTTGTGTTTTTCTACATAGTTTTTTTTATCCCACTGTAGTGTCTGCGTTTTTCAAGGTGTTGAAGCCATTTGAAATCTGTCGTTACTTGCTCACCTACTTCCTTTGCATCATTTTGTTGGAGTGAGCGACCAGAATCTTCATCTTTTGTTTATCGGGCCAACATGGTGCTTTCGTGGTGGCAATGTGCCACCGTTGCCATGGGTATTGGTCGAGTATCTGGTCTGGCAGTCTCATATCTCTCAAGAAATGCTTCGATGCCTAGCCCCTTGTCATCAAGGCAAAGTATTGAGGATTTTGACCCTGATGATCTATCATACATTCAAAAGCTTGCCGCGATTGGTGACTCGTATTCGGCGGGCATCGGTGCGGGCAACAGGCTTGGTAGTGTCCTCAACGCGCTCGATCCTCACAGTGGTAAGTGTCGACTCTTCAATATTCTTTATTCTACGTTACACTCTGTGAATATTCATACGAAATACAGATTGGGCTTGCAGTCGATATGATCAATCTTATCCCTCGTTCGTCGACGGAGATGCGCGACTTGGCAACCGCGCGACACGCAACTTTCATTTTAAGTCGTGTTCTGGCGCAACATCAAGCGAGGTTATCGAGCATCAAATTCCTAGGTTGGATGGCAATCAAGATGTAATTCTTCTTTCTGCCGGTACGTATAATCCTGAGAAGCGTTTTCTTTCTGGTTCACGGTGGTACATCGAGACAACTCGTTCCGTATCGATCACGTCTTATCGGTTGCGATTTCGATTCGCCCCGGAAGTTTTGTGTCATGCTTGTCCGAATATCACATTGAACTACTGCTCTTTGATGATTTCTGACAATATCTTGTCTCTTAGGTGGCAACGATGTACAGTTGCTGGAGATCCTGAACCAGTGCATTTTCCAATGGGGTGTCCTTTCTGAGAGCCAGGTCTTGATCGCGAAGGCTGCTGCCCTGGAGAAGCAATTGGATTGGGCCATTGATTACGACTGGGACAAACTTGCATTGGGTTGTGAAGGGCAACTAGCCGAGAGTGGCCGACTTATCGATAGCGGCACCTTTGCCGGGAATCTCGATAAAGTCATTGCGGCTGCGCAGAGCAAGTTGTCTCTGAAGTAAGTCCTTAATGTGACACTGTATTTCAACCGATTCAAAGACCACAACCGGCTAATAATGGATTTTCAGCGGCATGATTTATATGACAGGGTAATTTGATGTTCTCAATATCCGCCTGGGACAATGCGTCTGACAACTCGCCTGTCCAGATATGCGGAGTTCTTCGCCACAGATATGTCACCCGAGTGTGACGACGTTACTTGGTCAACATGGCTCAACGTAAGTACTTCTTATTCTCCGCCCGACTGTTCGGTTGAAAGATTTTCACAACGGCTTACCTCCAAACCGGCAACAGGAGTTGTACAACAAGTTCACACTGGAGAAGGCATATCTTAGCCAAGGCCGGCGTCGGCAAATGAATAACCTAGTCGACAAAGTCAACAAGAAATTGGTTGGTATCTCTGAGCTTCGATGAGAAATTTTTGCTAATAGTTCGTTGAGGCCGAAGCGGTGGAGCGTGCCGGTAATAGCGTTAAATTCATCGATTATGACAAGTACGTCGGTTACTACGGTGGCCGCTACTGTGAGACAGGAGTCGATGAGTCTACCTCTGAAGCCAAGACCAGGTATGTTCTCAGATCAAAAGCTCTCTCTGAACGTGCTAATGAGTTTTGTTAGAACTGGTCTCATGTTCTACGAGCTTAACACCTGGGACCCCCTCGGCTCAAGCCCTTGGAAGAGAAGCAACGATGATGCTCTGCAGGGAACGTTTGACGGAGAACAAGACATCCTGGCCCAAGTCACACTCCTTCTTGAACCCGATGCCGAGCTGGCTCACCAGAACCGAATCGAGGGCGATGTCTCGACCACGTCCATTCCAGCGCCTGCCGACAACAACACTTTCACCACTGCCGCTTTGGACATCCAAGTGCCTAGCTTTCTTCCTGACGGGTAAGTACCCATTTCGAATACTTGTCCCACACTCAAGCTGCTCCTCTCATTTCTGATGAATATTTGCTGATCTTTGTTGTGACTAAAGATACGGCCGCGTCTTCCACCCTCAAATTCTCCTACACGCCATCATTGCTGAGAGAATAATATTTGAAATGATCAACACCAACATTAAAAGCAGGGGAAGCCTTCCTCTCGTACCAGAAGTTGCGTCATTCGGCACATGTGAGCTCGACCAATCTACTTCGACGACTCTTCGGTACAAGGGCACCGAGTCTGGCAAGGAGGTGAAGCCTGGCACAAAGCTGCGCATCCTCGGCGTCGGAGACTCCATAACTGTGGGATTCCTGAGCGATCGCAACGGCGGCGATGGGAACGGTTACAGACATCAACTTCGCGACGATCTTTCCGGTAAACCATCGAACTCTCATCAGCCTTCTTTGCAAGATTGGGTCACGCTGACATTTACTGTTTGAAGAGGACGAGGTTGTTTTTGTTGGAAGTGAGACCATGTCAGGCACAATGAGTGGCAACCGCTTTGTGAGTTTTCCACTACGATTAATCTTTTGAGCGTGTTTATCTCGGGATGCTGACCAGATCTCTCTTCCTGCAGGGTGCATGGTCGGGTCAGACTATCCAGTACATCTCCGATCACATCGGCCCGTCCCTGAAGCAACGGCCGAACATCGTCCTGGTTCATGCAGGCACCAACGATATGAACCCCAATCTCGACATTGCCAAGCAAGGTAACGACCCCAAAGGCGCGGCCGACCGTCTGGGGAAGCTGCTCGATAACATCATTGATGCCTGCCCGGACGCAACAGTCCTTGTGGCCATGATCATCAATACATGCGACGAAAGTCAGTCTCCTGCAACCAAGGAATACCAGAAATTGATCCCAGGAGTCGTCAAGAGCCGGAAAGACGGCGGAAAGTACATCCTCGCTGTGGACTTTACCACCTATGAGACGAGTCACCTCCAGGACTGCATACACCCAACTAACGACGGATATAAGTTGTTCGGAAGCTACTGGTACGACTTCATTACCCAGATCCCCAAGGATTGGATCAAGAAGCCAGTTGGTGACGACCCTAATCATGATGGAGACGGAGCCAACAGCGGCCTTGACGGAAACATTCCCGCTCCGGACTGGGGCGCTGATCCGGTCACACCGACTACTCCCGAGAAGGTCGGTAACGCGTATCTGAATGCGCGCCCGGTCGAGACGTACACTTGCAATGCGAAGCCCATTTGGGAGGCTGGTGGTCAAATTGCACTCGGAAACATCGGCCGCAACGGAGACTGGAAGTATAAGAAGCACTGGGTGGAGGCTGGAAAAGTCGCTGATGGACTCAAGCGGGACCCTCGATACGTAAGGTAAGTAGTCGGAACGAGCATTGGCAATAAGGACGAAAGCTGAGAGATATTTGATACAGACTTCATGACATGAATGGCGACGGAAAGGCTGGTAAGACGACTCACGCCCCTGATCTCTCTAGCCTTGTTGCATATTGCCCGCGAGATGAGAAACTGATTCATGCTCTGATGTTGCAGACTATGTTTGGATTCACCCTGATACCGGTGAAATCCGATGCTGGATCAACAACCTCCCCGAGCCGTGGAGCAAGGCCGGTACCAACAGCGACATAATTGGCAGTGGTGCCGGTCCTGCAGATTCGGTCTTCATCGCTGTGAGTTCAGTCATTCTGTGTTGTGCTAACACAGAAAGAACTGACAGAAGTACAGGACATGAATGGCGACGGCGTTAGTTGAGATCCAACCTCTGATCAAACCGTAAATTGACCACTGTCGCAGCTCGAGGACTACATGATCGTTAACAAAATCAATGGCGCTGTCAAGATCTGGTGGAACTACGGACCGGACGACAGCTGGGTTAATGGATGGAAGTTTGTCGAGGGCGGCGAGATTGCGTCGGGTGTCCCCCACGCCAATTGGGAGACTCTCCGGTTCCCCGACATTAATGGTGATGGCAGAGCAGACTACGTCTACATCGGTAAGGGCGGTGCTTTGAAACATTACTTGAACACTGGATCCGTCGGTGGCGAGGATGTTCTGTTCCTCGCACAAGGCGGAATTGCAACTGGAGCCGTAGACGACATTTCGAGGCTTGTGTTTGCGGATGTGAGTTTGTCTTCTCTACAGTTGACTAGATGAAATGCTGATGATGCTGATGAACATCGACGCACAGTTGAACGGAGACGGCCGTGATGGTGAGTTTCCACGACCTCCAAGATGTTGCACCGGCTAACAATTCCCAGACTATCTCATATGGGATGATGACGCCGGTCTGACTGGCTTTTTGAATCAGCCAACTCACAAGGAAGGAGTGCCATTGTACATTGATCAAGGACCAGCGAAAACGCTTGCTGACGGCATCTCTCAAAAGCCCGAGTCCATTCGGCTTGCAGACTTGGATGGGTGAACTTGTCCACACCAGCATCAGCGTCCAAGAATCAACCTTTGCTGACAGTTGTGTCAACACAGTGACGGAAAGGATGACTATGCTTATATCGACGACGACGGTGCCATCTGGCTGTGGCACAACAGTGGAAGCGGTGACACCAGCATGCTGGTAGATGGCCTTCGCTTTGCGGACATAGACGGCGACGGCGTGAGTTCTCTTTCTCCCTGTGAGAAGCATCGTCAGACTGACATTTTCATCGCAGACTGATGACTACATTTGGCTCGACCCAGAGACAGGTGCTCCGACAGTGTAGTAAGTATCCATCACATAAATACCCAGCCTCACATCATGCTCACGTCTGCAAAGCACCAACTACGGCTACAACACGAACGACAAAGCCTTCGGATACCAGTGGATTCCATTGAACGACGGCAAACCAATTGCTTCCGGAGCTGCCCCAGCGTCTCAAGTAACATTTGGTTACATCATTGGGTACGGCACCTCTTCATCATCCCGTCTCAAGAACATCTCTAATCAGGGCAAAACATTGTAGCAATGGAAAAGCCAACTACATTGTCGTGGACCCCAAATCGGGCAAACTCTCTGTCTGGCAAAACCTGGGCCAGAACAAAAACAACCCCGACAATTGGCAGTGGAATCAGATCGATGTCGATGCTTCTGGTTCAGGTCCCGGCAAGAATGTCAGGATTGCTGACATTGACGGCGATGGCGTGAGTACATCCTCCACAAGTGGCCCTCTACTCGTCTTGATAAGAGAGCAATCTGGAAATCGAAGATTGACAGATAAACAGTGGGACGACTACATCATGCTGAACAGAAAGGGCGGCACGACCATCTACAGAAACATGTACTTGAACTTCGACGCGGAACATACGTGGGAACCGCTTCCTGAGGCGGACGCCGAAGGCATTAGCCAGCGGCCGGAAGAGATTTCATTCCATGACATCAATGGGCAAGGTTACCCTTCCCATCCGTCTTCGACCACGAGTTCTAACAATTCTATAGCGACGGAAAAGCCGACTATCTCTGGACGAGACCCCACGATGGCGCCGTTTTCGCCTGGTACAACAACTACCCGAACCAGCCCGCTTGGCTTCCACAAGGCCAGATAGCCGACGGCCGGACTTCGGGACACTTTGTCAAGTGGGCTTCGATGTACAAGAATCGGTTCAAGAAGCTGGCAAAACCGTCGACGAGTTATCTTGCGGTCAGACCATCGGATGGAGCTCTTGCTGTTTGGTTCAACGGTTGCAGATTCGGAGACCACGGCCCCCCTGCGGAATTGGTGCCTCACGGTAATGCAAAATCATCGCCCATTCAGTCGTTCTCGAACGTCACCGTTTCATCAACTCCCTCAAACTCTTCCTACCCGCTCACAAATACTACTAAACCACTCGAGAATGCTTCTAGGCCTCTTCTTAAGGCTCGGTTGAGTCATTTCACATAAAACATGTTGTTATGCTGAACTATTTTCGTACATATATCTTCTGTATTGTTTATTGGGAGTAGAGAGCAGCTAGGTGAGGTTGAGAATGGGAGGAGCAGAAAGGGGATGAGGGTGAGCTAGGGGGGCGAGGAGGAGGGGGGCCGTGTCGGTTGGCTACGACTCAGGCGGCTGGGGCTAGTTGTTGGAGAGAAAAAAGAACTGCGTGGCGTAGGCTATGGAGTGATGCTTTGATACAGAATATCTGAAAACCGGAATGGCGTTGACACCGATAGGGCCGGCGAGTAAAAGGTTAGGGGGTGAGAGAAGCATGAAATTGTTGTGGCGGTTAACCATAATCCAATGTGGTTGTATTTGGCAAAGTAAGACGATATCTACACATGTGTTCTGATGCCAGCTCGGTTGGATTATAAGGTTTACGCTTAAGACTTATCTCAAAGGTATAAAAACCTACGCAGGTTTCATTCGACCCATATATCCTACTACTACCACCATATTACCAATAACTAATTTGGTGGCATCAACGCCCCTCAACCTTACGCCCGCGGGCGGTCCTCACAAATCTGACAGGCTTACCCTGCTCACCCCACTTAACCCGATCGCGCGACATAAGGGCGGTGATCCGCCCGCAACTGAACCGTAGTGTGCCGTGTCTGTAATTACCTCACGCTCAATACTACCTGGCATCTGGCTTAATATGAAGGCCAGGATCAAGAGGCCTTGAATGCACTCAAGACTCCTGTTTATTGAGTGCCGAATAGTACCCCTTGCTTTTCTTGTTATTCTATGCGTTCCATCTTTGTTTATGTCTAGATTTATATCGATTACATGCAAATGCTTGCTATGATACTTCTTGCACCAGACCAGAACAGACATTAAAAGAGGAATGGTTATTATATTGAGCTTCATTTCCTGTTTTGTAAATCACCTATGACCCGAAAGATCGGCCAAGCAAAACTCTTAGAGTCGCTCTCTAAATCTTGAAAAAGGTCCTTAGGTTGAACATACCAAATGTCCTCCTGCTTCTTCGTGCCAATTGAACGAAATAAAGCTTCCATTACTTTCTTCTCATATAATGCTTGTACTCTCCATGGCTCGACCAATGTGCTCCGGTCATTCCAAGTTGTGATCCAGGAAGCATACTGCAGAACCAGGGCAGCAGTCGCCGCAAGAATGGGGGTTGCAACTGAACATCCTGACATATTGTTGCCTGCCGAGTCGCATGGGACGTTCTCGGCCAAAGTGCAGAACATTTTCGGCGTCGTGTTTGGTGTTGGTCTGGGGTTATAATCTGGTATCGGAAACCCGCTAGTCCCTGTGCCACGAACTGAGATTACGCTTTCATGCATAGAGGCTGGAAACTTTTCGGCCTCGTTGCCTTGATTGCTTGCGGCCGCGAAGACGAGTAACTTGTGTTTCTTCACTCTGATGGCGTCTTCGATGGCATTGAATATGCCCGTGACCTGGTGATTAAAACCGAACGAGAGGTTCATTATGTCGACGTCTTGTTCTGGCTCAACTGACCATCTTATAGCCTGTGATAGCATGATTAGCCTCAGAATCGTTTGTCAGAATTCCTTGCCATCCAGGTGCTCCTACATCTTCGATTGCTTGTTTTGCAGCCGTGGTCCCCAAGTCTTCCCGAGTCCGTGCAACCCGGCCGACAAATATCTTGGCCGTGGGAAGTAACCTCAGAAGGAGTGAGACGATCGACGAGCCGTGCCCTAGTGATTGAGCTGTGGTGTCTTCGTCTTTCCACACCGTCTCGTTGTTAGTCTCGACAAAGTCGCGCCAGACAACCCGCCTCCGGTCTTGCCTGCATTGCCGGAAATGAGGTGCGTCGCGGCTACAGCCTGTATCGAACACGGCGATTTTGATTTGCTGGGTTGTGACTAGGCTCACAAATATTGATCGAACATCTATGAATTGTTCCTTGATCCATTTCTCACCTGGTGTTCTTCGAGTAAAGTTAGATGACCGAAGAGGAAAAGGGAGAGGTAGAGAGATCGCGAGAATCCCACTCACAACGTAGCAGAAGCATCAATAAAAGTTTGTGAGGCCTCAACATCAAGCGTATTTTCTGGCTCTAAAATAGCCCTTGCTGGCGGCTCGTTGAGAACTCCGTATCGATACAGTCTTTCGAGCGGTATAACGATTTCTCGCTCGATGATGTGTCGCCGTGATTCTACATCGAGCGTACTCTGGAACAGAGAGCGATCAAAGCATTTCCGAATGACATCGACGTAGTCGCGATTCCAGCTTCGCCCATAGCGCGGCAAGTGATTGAAATAATCCATATTATCACGAATTCTCTGGTCGGTCATATCCGCCTGGCTACCATCACCATAAGTCGGGCCCTTGAACAGCTCAACCATCAGGATTCCTAATGCCATGAGCTTAGGATAAAAATTACCATATCCTGGGATGTACTTCTTTTCGAGCGTTTTGTGGCCTGCTGAACTTGCTTGCCCACTCCACAAAGAAGGTTTGATATAAGGGTAACAGTCGATACTACCTATCTCACTGGTAATCTCTATGTTGTTCTTAGTCCAAGGATTCGGCATCCATTCAGTGTCGTAATATTGCCATATTGCAAGAGCAAAGATATAAGCCAGCCAGATGTCTCGAGCAGCGGACGGAGACCATTCTTCTGCCTGCATCATGTCTTCCAGAGAATGAGAATAAACCTGGATGGGTGCCTGTTCATTTTGTGGCGGATCTGGCGACGACGATATATCCCACATTCGTGGGCCACTATCATCTTCATGAATAACGAATTCGGAGTCCCGGCGCTGCTCATCGCTGAGAATTTTGCACAAATACCCGCGGGCAGGGGGAATGGGCTGTCCCAAGTCCTGTATCTGCTCTGAACGCCTGATATGATGTCAGCTACCCGGGATCGGTAGAGAGGGTTCGATCGTATCACTCACCCAGCTACGTGGAAGGTTGATCCATGGAGGAATATCGCTCTCCCATCAAGTGGCTCAAATGTGGCTCTAGGGGACAGGGGTAGCAGAGCGCGGTATGACACCAGCCGCGAATCTTCCTGCTGCTGAGTTTCGGGAGGGCAGCGGATATATAGCTGGCGCAAATGATCATAATCCGTCTTCTCTTCTCCGCAGGAGCAAGAAGTGTGGTTATTCAAGCTAGACCAAAGACTTGTTTCGAAATCGCGAGAATGCCACCTGGATGGGAGTGTGGTCGGGTTAGGCCTCTGTGATTCCCACAACAACTCCGTTTCGGGCGCCTCTGCTGTAATTGAAAAGCCTTCGATTAGGGTTTTCAACTGATTAGTGTCAATAGAAACAAGGTAAGCGTCGAGTTCCTCAGTGTTGAAATCAACGCTTGCGATTTTGAGCAACTGGTGAAACTGGCTGCTATCAAAGCCAGTATCAGTAGCCTTTGGAGAAGTGCGCAGTCAGTATGGCCCGATGGGAAAGTTCTGCACCAACACATAATCGAACATGCAGTCTGCAAGAGGTCGTATGACTTGTTCAACCGGGTCTAGCATGTGCTGGTGGAAATGGAACAAGTGAGAAGAGAAAAACCGCGCTTACTGTATTGAGTGGGGCTACGAAGCCTTCCAACAGCTCTAAGGAATGCAAAATCTTATCGTAATCGGCTTGCTCTTTGAGACTAAGTGACAGGGTGACAAGTTTGGTAGCCAGGCTCCCTAGTTGTCTTCGTTGTGCGATGCCAACATTGAAAGCTTTTGACCTGGCTGCGGCAGAACAGCGAGCCGCAAGCAAATCGCACGCGGAAACGGCCAGCTGCATGTGAGCTGACGAAAGCAGTGAGGAACGTCTGGCAGAGCTCATTTTAATGGCTCAAAAGATCGGACGAGAAAAGCAGTTAGTCTTCAGTTGTTGATTCGATGGGCATCCTTTCGAATTAGCCGGCAGTTTGAGGCAACCAGTTGCGGGCGTTACCACTGAAGAGTAGTCATAAGGTACGTAGCCTGGTCAAATGTTACGACAGAATGCGCTGTTGCAACAGACCGAGGACAGCTTGACGCTTTGTACAGATGTAAAAACTAGGGAGATGAAGGCAATGAATTGATTCGACTGGCAACGACTTGCAAAGGCTGTTGAGATGGGCAAAGGGGAGGCTTTCAGCTGGTATTCGCCAACCAGGGCACATGGCTGCCCTTTCCCTCATGCCTGCAGATGAGGCTGAATGACTGAGAAGGCTCTGTTCCGGGGAGTAATGGCCTCTGATGTAATTTCATGCTTGTGATAAGAACTGACACGTCTGTCGATCGTCCAATGGGACCACATGTTGAAGTTGCTTAGCCGCTGACAGAACGCTGTAATCGGACCCCCGCGCTAGTCGCTTTAATAAGCACCTTACATAGTTGTTCCGATGAGATTACGCAGTTACGTAATAATAGGCCATTCTCTAGCTCAGCTGCTTTCCTTGCATGGAACCTATTTACCCTCCTTTACATCCCAAGGCTTCGTTAAGGACGGATGCAGTAGTCAACCAGTAACAGTAGGCCTGACTGAACGATACTGAACTCATCGCTTTTGCAGCAGTTGGTGAGAGCCGGTGTTCCTTTGTCTTTCTTTACGTCAGGCACCAAACTACATGGTGAAGAAGTGTACCCTTCCTCATGCCGCCTTGGAGCAGGCACCCACCCATACTGAGCTGAACGACAAGCAAGGCGCGTGACACCACCGCCACTACACCACTACAGCCAGGAATGTCAGAGCGCGCGGTTCCAACACGCCCAAGCCACAGTTTGTATGCCTTGCAGGTCACTGCGAGCACCACCAGGCTAGTTGCCTGCCGTCGCCTGCCGTCGCCTGACGCCGCCTGACGCATATCCGTCAATGCGGTCGGGCGAACCACCATTCCTCAATTCTCTTAATCATCTCGCTCCGATGCCCAGAAGTGCCTGCAATTGTCTTTGAGTTGAAAACACCACCCATGCACATCGCTCGTACATTGTTGCGGCACATCCATGGACCGGCCTATATACGCGGCTTCAGTTTCTTGCCATGGAAACCTGCGTCACTGCGTCGACCGATATGCGCCCTTCGACGACGACTGGGCCAGTCAACGCCTAATCGACTTCAACATATGGTCTGCTGCTTCCGGGGCTTTAGACGATGGCAGATACAGCCTGGACAACAAGCTTATCCTCACAAAAACGACAGTCACGGTGGTTTCGGACCTTCTCGACCTTCTCTCCATCTTTGTCAACGCTTGCGTACCCTCCCTGGAGAGCCCCACGGGTCCCGGTCTGCTGGAGTCGGCTTCCCCTGGCGTTGAGCACGACGGCGCGAGGATCCGTCCAGATACACCGATCTCAGCCATCTCGCCCGGTGGGGTTGCAATCGAACGTGGCCACCAGCAAGCATGGTCGTTATTCAATGCGAAGGGAAAGAGGCTGAAACGCGAGCTGTCGCCAGAAGAGCGCGAGGCCAGAGAAGCCGCCGAAGATACTTTTTCCTCCGTCGTTCAAGTTACCGCCGTAGCCCGTCGTTCCCTTGCCCACTCAAATCTATGGCTGGCAGATTTCACCTTCCCCGAAGACGACGAGGACTTAGGGGGTTATCGTCAGAAACCGCTGGGACAAATGAAGTCGCCATTGAAGGGCGAACGCATCAAGTCACGTCTGATGCGCGCTAATCTCATCAGGCGCCACCGATTCCTTTACGCTCGCAAATCTCGTTCTGGCGGCGCCCAGATATGTCCGGACGGCGTACGTTGCGAAAGACCCGGACTCGTGGAACCCAAATGGCCAAGAAGATCCAAAGTCGTCTATCCGGACCCTCCTCATATCTCGGACGACTGCGTAGCTTTCGAATGCCCCTACTGCTGTCAGATCCTCCCTGCTTTTTTCGCGGAACCAGGCCCTTGGAGAGAACACATGGCTGCTGACCTTTGTCCGTTTACTTGCATCAGTCCCAACTGTACAAGAGCCGCCTGGCTTTACTCTTCAAAGGAAGATTGGAAGGCCCACATCTTGAGTGCTCACGCCACCAGGCTTTGGACTTGCCCGGACTGCAAAACCACATTCGATCAAGAGGATGCCTTCTCTTTCCACCTGGCCACAGAGCATGTCTCGGCTGTTCAAATACCGGAAGGCTGCATGCCATGGATATTGGCCTCTCACGCGCGGAATGAACCAAACTTTGACCTTTCCTGCCCAGTGTGTGCGCTGCGTCCGGCCGAGGGTAGCGATTTGGATCACGTAGCGACCTGCTTACAGGATTTAGCCTGGTCAGCTTTCCCACCTTCAACCAGCAGTGAAAGGAGTTCCGGCGCAGTTCTGGCACTTCGCATATCAGGCCAATCTTACAGGCAAAGACCTAGAAGCAAGAGTTCGACGGGCCCAACACCCAGCGAAGCGAGTCCTTCAATATACCGACCTTCGTACCCCCAGAAGCTGGAAATCCCACGTATCGTGGAGCCCTCCCCGGCTCGTCGTACAGTCGTCTCAAAGTCAAATCAAATGAGGTCAAGAACCCGGAGCCCGAGCTTGGCTATTCGATCGCTGGCGATGATGCAACGCTCCACTTCCGATATGTACCACATGTTGGATAGGTGTTCTTCTGCTTCTCAATGCGGTTCAGGATCACAGTCCTATGACGGCGGAGGATCTTCCCGTCGAACTTCACCTCGCCCCGAAGGCGACATTCTAGGCAAGTGGAAAACCGATACGCTTCCCTTGTATTTTCAATACGAGCCTATCGGTTTCCAGACTCCTCAATATGCGAACAAAATGGCGTCCTGGCGACGTGAAATTATAGGAAAATTTCCAGGAGGGCGGTTATACTAGTCCGGCTGAAGTTGATATCGCGTGTCCTTCGAGGTGATGAGCCCAATTTATGGGCACAATAAGAGGAACATAAGCCCCTCAAATCGATGGGGTTGGGCTTGAGGTGAACGGTCAAATGCGACTGAAGACATAGTAAATAGGCCTGATATGGCTTCAAGACACCACAAGCTATCTCATGCATGCAGTTCGTGAGTTTGCCATCAAGTCCAGTGAGATCATCGGCGAAGTAAAGGCTTGGAGCTGACCATGGATGATCCGATGATGTAACACAGAAAGAGGGTACTTGGACTTACAAGATATCACAAGTATGAGAATCTCCGGACTGCACTCTATTATACGCAGGTGCATTGCGAGGCTCATCTCAAGTCCCTCCTTCCCCTTCCTTGCTGTTTCTGCGCTAACCCTCCCAACAGGATATTGAGGCCAGCCGTGATAGAGAGCTGCACCGCCTCATTGTGGCGATAGAAGAAACCTGGCCCTGTGACTCTTATCGCAGCGCTCGCTACTCGATTTCCTGGAATCGCCTTTCCGTTTCTGGGTTTTTTGCTCGTTTCTTTTTCCCAACTTTGAACGTCCCACAGAATCCAAACCTGCTGAGGGCTGGGTCTACAATTTCCTATCGAGAGGCTGCCTCACACAATCTGGTTACCGAGGTGGTTCGCGGCCACATCCACACAGCTCACTCATGCACCTGCAGCAGGCTTGTCTCTTGGTTGGAGGCTGGCGGACTGCGGACTGCACCATCCAACACAGCCTGGGACATGGACACAGCCTGCTGAAGGCGTCTAGTCTACGGTAGGCATCATTGCCCATCGGCCGACCTCTCGAAGCTATTTATTACGTCCTTCAGCTGCATACAATTTCTCCCTGTTTGGTTGCTGGACCTCCCATTTCTTGCCTCATTTTCTGTTGCAAATTCTATGCTGCCAATTATACACAGCCAAACACCGTCTTCCAAGAAACTACTCGGCCACTGATCACTGCAAGACACTTCCCGATATTTCAAACGTACATCTCTAGTGGGCTCAATATCCAAAACCTCCAGAAACATGGCTTCTCGGCACGTCGCGAAACCCACCTTCTTCCTTTCGGATCTCAGCACGATGCGCGATGGTCACATCGTGCTGGGCAACATTTTCACCGACCCGTTCCAGGTGGACGACAAGGTCGCCGGCCCGCTGTCCAAAGTCGGACCCGGAGACATCCCCGCGGGCGCGACGCAGTCTGTGACCGAGACGGGCCTCTACCTCCGCGAGACTCAGGCGTCGTCCTGGGGCGCCAGTCTCCTGGCCAAGTTCCTTTCCATATTCCACATCTCCGTTGGCGCCGACCGCGGGCGGGATCTAGAGGTCGTGTATGAGGTCGCCAACCTGGAGACCGTCACGCTGTCGAGCGTGGGGCCGTACATCCGCCAACGCATCGCGCGACCGAGCGAGGCAGCCCTGCAGAAGGAACTGCTCATGGGCTTCAGCCCCTCCTTGTACATGGTCACGGGCATCAAGTACTCCAAGGGCCTAAAAGTCTGGACCATCGCCGGGAGCTCGACGGAGGGCGGGGCCGAGCTCGGTGGGGCCGTCTCGCCCGACGCATCCGCATCCGCGTCCGCGGGCGTGCACGGGGCGAGAGCTGCATCGCGGTCGTTGGCTCGGACCATAGAGGGGGAGATTGTGCTCGCATACCAGCTGACGAAAATCACGCCAAAGAAGATCAAAACGGTCGACGGTACCTTTTTGTCAGACAACGGCAACAAGGAGAAGATTGATGTAGAAATTGAGGGCGAGTTTGGGCTTGAAGGGATGGAGAAGGCGGCAGTTGACGGAGGTTTAGACCCCTCCTCAGACCTTGGTATCAACTCCGTCTGGGTTGAAGGTGGCAGCGAGGGACACAACTACTCGCGTGTGTTTGCTTTTTTGGACTAGAAAGTTCCAAGTCCCTTGGAGAGCTCTTCATGTGACTTTTCGTGTCGGGCAGGGTACCTGATACGGTTGGCGATGTTGCTGTTTTCCATGATTCCAGTCTCGTTCCCATCATGTCAGGTCCTCATCATGTCAGGTCCTAAGCAGATGAATAAGCTCAAAGAATTTTGGTTATTCATGCGATAACTGCGACGAAGAATCTGGCTTGCCAACCAATGACCAATACTGTTAGTTCTCGGGTTGGGGGTGTTCAAACCAGCCAAAGCTATATTACAACTTTCCGTCCAGTCATGAGATAGGTCACCACCAAACGCCCCATATTGTTTGAGCTCCTTGTGTACGCCCGGGCATCACAGGTGCCATAGTTGCGGGTCTGCTGGGATGGCTGGATAAGAGTTATCTACCTAGGTTCTCAATAAGTCCTAAATGGGATTGGTAAGATGGTCTCCACGCTTGTGTTTTAACGCCAATTCGGTTGGATCATGAGGTTTAAGCCTTTTCCCGCCTTTTTTTTTCTTTTTCATGCTTGGAGGCGGGGATTTGACTTGTTGCAAAGTCTTTGCTCAACGTTAACACCAGCAAGTCCAACGACTCCTATTACGCTGGAGGATGACAGACATTGCGTGTGGTTGATGATCATTCATGATGTGCCGTTGACACCAATGTACGATACCCTCCCCTGCATGAGGAAAACGCTTGACACAAGACTCTGCCTGGCATGATGCCATGCCAGAAAACAAAAAACAAAAACAGTTGGAGAAATAGCATTTCACGTCCTTCAGGTTATAATAACAACGAAAGGGACACGGTAATAGTCAAAAGACGCAAATCACTGCACACGAGTGCAAGGTAATGACAAAAGTAACACCGACACATGGATGAAAGATCATATACAGAGCTATATATCTACGTGAAAGACTCCGAGATCCTTTATCCGGCATGTTTTTGTCCCATAAAAGTCGTCTTCAATTTCTCCATTAAACTTGATCATCTGCAATTCGTACATGATATATTGCTAGGTACCCAGACATCACACGATACGCTTTTACAGACGAGAGCCGTGGATGACCTTGACGTCGACGGCGAGCTCGCGGCCGTTGTCGTTAAGGACAAGGACGCGAACGCTGCCGCGGCCGGACTCGAAGGCGTTGTTCAGGCGGGACCAGAGGTTAGACTGGTCAATGACAGGCAGGCCCTGCTTGACATCGCCGGTCTCGGTCATGGCGGTGACGTGGCCGTCAGCAAGGTCGAGAACGCGGTACTGCTTGAAGACGGGGCCGAGCATGGTCTGGACGACGACGCTGGGGGCGGGGTTGGCGATGAAGGAGGACTCCTCGTGGAGCTGCTTGGTGAAGAGGTCGACACCGAGGTAGCGGTACTGGCCGGTGGCGGCGGAGGTGGAGATCTTGATGACCTGGCAGGGGCGGCCCTGGAGCATCAAGAAGTCACCGAGGCGGATGTGGTGGCAGGGGATGGTGACGGTGTTGGGGAGGAGGGGGGCACCGCCGGCGGCGGGGGGGGGCGACTGGCGGCGGGAAGCGGAGGAGCGGATCTCGGAGACCTCATAGCGGTCGTGGCCTTTATGAGGATGAGCAATCTTGTCAGCCAGCTTGTGCAGGCCTTGGCGGAAAGAGTGATAGTGGCCTGGTGGTGCAAGCACCTTTCAGTGTCGGTCCATATGATATGGGGGGGCGAACTGCGCAACCGAAACACAAACGAGCCAAAGCAAAGCACTGCACTGGGGGTTTGAGTGAGCACTCGGGGGAGGGGTTCATAGCTTACCGTCCTCGTCGTAGTAACCCATCTTGGACTTGTGTTGGGGGCGTGACACGTGAGTGGGCTCGATGGTCTCTTCGGTAACCTTTACGGTTTCCGTGTACTGAGGGCGGGGGCGCTCAGTGTGGGTGTCGACGGTGTATTCGTCGACGTGAGAGTGAGAGTGGTGAGAGTGACCCGAGTGGTGGGAGCGAGCAGGGAAGTGCTCGACGGTGACTTCCTCGCGGTGGTAGGTAGGCTGGAAGCGTTGACGGTACTGGCGCTCGATCTTATCAATCGGGTTTACCAGGTGCTCGTGGTGACGGGTGTCGATCTCAACACGAGTGTCGTTGTGGATGCGAGTGTCGTGGAACTCTTGAACAGTGTGCTGGACAGGAGGAGGGGCAGGGCTGGATGGGAAGAAAAGAAGAGAGAGGTCAGTTGATGTTTTGATGGGGGAGCTTGATGGGGAAGCTTTTTCGCTCCGGTTGTCATATTTGATGTGACAAGTGGTTACTTGGCCAACTAGGGACTAGGGGCCGGGGAGGAGGCGTCCAGGGTCCATGACTGGCGGCTCGTAACGGGCAAGGAAATTTGGCGGAATACCGGGGCTCGAGCTGAGGCGGTCCCGAGGCCGGGGGGGTAGGGGGGGGGGGAGAGAAGCGAGGCGTGAGAGACAAGTTGCCAAGGGGAGGCGGGGGGAAGGAGGAGAGAAGGCGGTGACGCGTGTGGGTTTGTGCTGTGTTGTTTGGGGTTGCATGGGAAGGGGGGGGGGCTGGGCTGGATGAATCGGTCGATGCCGTATGCCGTGCCACGCCGTCGCCGTTGCTGCCCATTGAGAGCTCAGCTCACAAGTGACGGGACACACAGACATCTGACAATTCCCGGCCAGAGATGGATGGATGGATAGAAGGACAGAGAGAGGAAATGGCTAGACATACCGGTACTCCTCACGGTAGTGGTGGGACTCGTGGTGGACACCGGGACGGTGGTAATGTTCTTCGATACGGACCTCTTCTTCGCTGAAGCGCTGTTCTTTCCGGGGAGGAAGAGGGAGCTGCTGTTCGGCGGTGGTGGCAGTGAAGGAAGAGTATTGACCTTCCCGTCCGGGCTTTTGAGGCTTCTTCTCGGGGAGTTTGATCTCAAGCTCTTCGTGAGTCTGAGTGACTGTTTGGGTCTGGGTTTGTGTCTCGCTCTCCTTGTAGGTGGAGGGAAAGACGCTAAAGGGGACGGGGATGCGAGCTTCAAAATCCAGATTGGCGGCCTTGAGGGCGCAGAGAGGAGAATCTTCTAAGCGTTCCTGGTACGAGGAAGGCAAAGAAGAGTATCCTCTTGCTTCGTTTTCCTAAAAAAACAAAGGGGAAGGGAAAGGTGGAAGAAGCCGGTCGTTGAACTGACGCGCGCTTCTTGTGCTTTTCTCTTCTCTTTTGGATTTGGAGGAAAGGGGGTGTGCCGTCAAGAGGTTTGCGAGTTGGGCAGAAAGGGCGGTTGAAGCTTTGAAGATGGATGGGGAGGAGGGAAGAAGGAGGGAGAAGAGGGTCGGTCAAGATGTGCGATGCGGATTGGGTTTTGAAGACGGGGGGGTTGGGGGAGGAGACCACTGATGGTTGGATGGAGCAGCAGGTGAGCAGCAGCAAGATGCAGAAGACGAGGGTTGCGAGGGTTGCCGGGGCGAGGGGGTGAATGTTGTGTGTGTTGTGACTTGGAACTACTATTGTTCGGAACGCTGTGTCGAGGTGGGGACTGGAACTGGGATCGTGGATGGATGGACGGCTACGAGTGGATGCGGAGGAGTGGATTGGATTGGACTGGGCTGGATTGGGAGACCTTGTTTTGTCTTGACTGGACTGGAGATACGGATATCAAGATGGGAGAATCTGTCTCGTCTCGGTGGGTGCCAACGATGGATGGTGTGCGACGGGAGGGGAGTGTACGAGGTCGGAGGTGAGAGATGCCTGCCAAAACATATGAAAGAGGTCAGTGGTTCGAGCTAGAGAAACCGACAAAAACGAGCGTGTGTTGTGTGGGAATGTTTACATTGGCTCGCCGACTGCAGCAGTTGTGGATGTTCCATTGTTTATTCCGTCCTGAAGAGGATTGGTCTGGGGATGGGAGGGTGGAGATTGGACATGGGGGAGAGGGAAGCTCTGCAGCTCGAAGCTTTGACGCCGTGGGAAACCTTGCGAACCTTGGGCGGCGGGAGCGACGAAAGCCTTGCATCTAAGGTCTCCAGGAGCTTTCTAAGTCAGGCACCATTTCTTTCTGGCGCGGCAGGTACAGCTTTCCCGTCCCCATCCCGATGCAACCTGGCTGTCTGGGGGGGGGGGCCTGTACTGGGCTGGATTGGCGGTACGTACCCCTCTCACCTCTTCTCCTCTCTCACACTGCCTCGACACACTGAGCTCTTCCACTCCTCCGACTGAGTACGGTGCCTGACCGCAGCAATTGACAGCCCGACGACCCTCGATACGTTGCCAATTGACTCAATGGCTTTGACGCAACAGACGCCCAGCTACGTCGGCCGCCCTCCCCCTACCCGGCTGTCTCCCAAGCCATGCAAGCTGTCAGCTCCGCGGGAGGCGTGCCGACGGGCTGCCCTGAGGTAGAGCTTCTAGTGTGGTGTACCAATTCCTTAGCGCCTCAAAAGTGTGCGGCGTGCCGGGCAAGGCCGGCCGCCATCGCAACTCCAGCTCTCAAGCCCAGCCCGATTGCGCAAGTTCCGACGGTGGGCCGTTCGTTGTTCAGCATTAATTGACCACGGCCCTGGGGAACTGATGGACCGACCGCCCGACCTCCTTCGTCCTCGGCTGTTTCTGTCTGGGTTCTTCCCTTGAGCCAAGATTGCAGGTGCTGTGGTCGATCGGCAACAGACAAACTCCCATTGTCCTCGCCGGGCTGGCCCTGACACGACGCGGAACGAAAAAGAGGACGAAACTGGGACTTTGGGCCAAAAATAGGGGCCCCCGGATTCTCCCAGCCAGCCAGAACCTGCAAATTTCCTGGCCCACGACCTCGCCCATTCAGATGCTTTGATGGGCGCCACAAGCTCTAGCTTCCGCCAATCAATGGGCTGTCACTTGTCGACAGCTCGAACATGAGGCGCGAAGGAGAGACACTAACGAGACGGCCACGGACTGGTGTCTCTTGCTGCAGCGCTGACGGCTGTCGCGGATTGAGCACTGCACTGGACTGCATCGATCGCTTGTAACCCTACGGGATACGCTTTGTGCGAGTCGCATCTCGCCTGTCATACTCGGCACCTTGTTGACACGCCCGTTACAACAAATAAACACGACCTGGGTGGCTGGGTACGATGATGATCTTCGTCTCGCCCATGGCCCAAGTGCCCGCTATCGACTGTCTGCATGGTCCGGATAGCCTGATCGTAGCAGCCTGGAACCCCAATTGGCCAGTCTTGGAGCTTCCCCAACCACCTTCAGCTTCCATCGCCCTCCCGACCCTTTTGCAGCCAGGGGTTTCAGGCCAGCGGTTGCTGGTGAGGCCTCGGCAATAACCAGCAATTGACCACTTCCTCACACCAATACGGGGATCGAATAATGGGTCGTTTACGTCGTGGAATCCCTCCATTGGACTGTCGGTCTACAAACGCCGCACAACTTATGCAAGTCGATGGTCGCACATGCAAAATGAGGCTGGCTGGCGGCTTGCTTTTTCTAGAGAGAGTAGGAGACCAGCGACGTGGCCAAGGCAAAGCACCCCTGCCTTTACCTCACGGATCCCGCCCGCAGCGCCCAAGTGGGGGCCCTCGTCAAACCATCGACGGAGCTCGTCAGTCGTTGGATTTTCCATATCCCCTGGGACCCATCCAGAGTCGTGGAGCAACGTCTCCGACCCAGATTTGCTCTCTCTCTCTCTCTCTCTCTCTCTGAGAACAACCTTGGACGAGGAGAGGTTGGAGTTGTTGATAACTGCCAGCCTCCCAGGCCTGGATCATGTCGATTGTACCTTGGTTTCTCTCGACGCCTTTCAACGGCACCAGACCAGACGAACCGGCCGGGACGCACGGGAGTTCCATTGGAAGCGTCAGGTTGCCTTGACAACGAAATGACCCCGGCTCGCGCTCTAACCGCATATGGAAACCACCTTTTCGGCTTTGGACGATATCGCCCTCCGTCGCCGGCGGGATCGCCGGCGGGATCGCTGAAAGAGATGAGAATCTGGTTGTATTGTCGGATCACATGAAGGCCTCTGTGGCCCTCACATTCCTTGTTGCTTGTTGCTGTCAGTACAACTAGCACGATTTGCAATTTACAGCGAGGGCGGTTTCGAATTCGAAGGAGAAAAAGGAAGACCAGGGATCCATCCCACTACAATTGGAAACGAGACGCAGGCTTATGGAAATGCCAGGTCAACAGCGGACAGTCGCATATGCGAATGCTTGCCTCATTGATGACTATTGACTTTTGTTTCTCCCTGTGCAGTTAATCCAATCGGGTCAATCCGAGGCAAAGAGGAAGATCTGTGTTTGACCGCTGAAACATCATTATGAGCTTGAGGACTGATGGCGAAACTCCATTTCAGATTTCCTTAGGCTTAGCTGGAAAGGTTGAAGGTCTGTCGGCTAGCGGGAACAGTTGACAACATGCCAACTGTAATCGACTTGATGGTGAGGCAGCTGCCATTTATTGTGACATAACATTCAAGGTGGCGTGGGACATGCTTTTACTACTCAACTATTAGACGTAATGCTTGACCTATTCGCCATATCGCAATTAGCTCTGGAAATCGTTTTAGATGAATGCCGATGAGCTTATATAAGACCATAGCTGATAGTTTGGTAACGTCTTCCTTTGATTCAATGCCGGCTGTAGGAGCTAACTTGGCGGTCAGCGTTATTTAGAGGAATGATACTTGACAGGATCATTCGATTGTCGTCTTTGTTTGACTATCAGTCAGTAGTGTAACGCCTTAGAAACCATGGCCGAGTGGCCCGGCCCGAGACTCTTAAATGTCTTTTTCTTTGACTTGCTGTCAGTCGTGTCGGTGGCGCCTAAAGCTTACCCAAGCATCGATGGTCTTTGATGGAGCTTGAAATGTGGCGCCAGAAGTTCGGTGTGCGTCATCGCGAAAAACCCAAAGCTGAGAGAGTAGCCAGCATTGTATGGTTTCCTACCCATCAATTGAGTTGCCATATAGATAAATAAACACCCAAAAACCTCTACGTTCAACAGAAACTTAAAACATATGCCCACTTACCATCGACAGTTTGCTGGAGGGAACAGGTTCGACCACAAAGAATCGCGCACGTGACGTCATCGTGGCGCACCCACATTTCCAAAGCTCCTCAGCCACGACTGCCCCGCGATTATTCATTCGCACCACAGATTCTGCCCCTCAGTCGATTCACCTCTATAACGAAAGCCGCCGCGAAAGAACTGGCGCAGACCTACAACTGATACATAGCTTCTTTGATACTGTTCAAGCAAGCCACACAAGCAGTCATGAAGCAACGGTTCTCTTCCATCGACGTCAAGGTCATCGCCCATGAGCTCCAAGAGAGCCTCACCACCTTGCGACTGGCCAATGTCTACGACCTCTCCTCCAAGATCCTGCTTCTCAAGTTTGCGAAACCAGACAATAAGAAGCAGCTCATCATCGACTCTGGCTTCCGATGCCACCTTACAGACTTTACGCGCACGACAGCCGCAGCTCCCTCGGCCTTTGTCGCACGACTGCGCAAGTTTCTGAAGACGAGACGCTTGACGTCAGTTAAGCAGATTGGAACAGACAGAATCCTAGAGTTTCAGTTCAGCGACGGGCAGTACCGACTCTTTCTCGAGTTCTTTGCTGTGAGAAATACCTATGCCGAACATGCCGGGACACCTTACTGACCTCCTGCCTGCGCAGAGCGGAAACGTCATTCTGACTGATGCCGACCTTAAAATCCTAACACTATTGCGAAACGTTCCTGAAGGCGAAGGCCAGGAACCCCAAAGAGTCGGCCTGAGCTACTCTCTCGACAACCGACAAAACTACAATGGCGTTCCGGACTTGACCAAGGAGAGAGTGAAGGCTGCGCTGGAATCGTCGGTCAAGAAGAGCTCGGCAGCTGCGACGGCAGGCAAGAAAATCAAGGTGAAGCCAGGAGACGAGCTGCGACGCAGCTTGGCGACGACAATTACCGAACTGCCTCCGATTCTGGTGGACCATTCGTTCCAGATCACCGGTTTCGACGGCAAGAAGAAGCCCGCTGAGATCCTTGAAGACGACTCTCTGTTAGATGCGCTCTTGAAGGCTTTGACCCAGGCACGAAGCATTGTGGAGGAAGCGACTAGCTCTACGACAGCCAAGGGATACATCTTTGCGAAATACCGGTCGAAGCCCGATGCTGCGCCTGAGACCGCGCCATCAGCCGAGACCGAGGAGACAAAAAGATCGGATCTTCTCTACGAAGATTTTCACCCCTTCCTACCCAAAAAATTCGCCGACGACCCCACCGTCAAGGTTCTCGAGTTTGATGGTTACAACAAGACCGTGGACGAGTTCTTCTCCTCGCTGGAGGGCCAAAAGCTCGAATCGAAACTGACGGAACGAGAAGCAGCGGCGCGGAGGAAGCTCGATGCCGCTCGATCGGACCAAGAGAAGAGAATCGAAGGTCTCCGCGGCGCGCAATCCATCAACGTGCAAAAGGCCACAGCCATCGAAGCAAATGTGGAGCGCGTTCAGGAGGCGATGGACGCCGTTAACGGCCTCCTTCAGCAGGGCATGGACTGGGTCGACATCAGCAAGCTCATCGAGCGCGAGCAGAAACGTCACAACCCAGTTGCGGAAGTAATCAAGCTGCCGCTTAACCTCGCAGAAAACACAATCACTCTGTTGCTGGGCGAGGAGGAAGAGATTGAAGACGACGAATCGAACTACGAGACGGACTCGGACGCCTCTGACAGCGAGGACGAGGACACCGGCAACAAGCAGAAAACAGACAAGCGGCTGGAGATCGACATCAACATCACCTTGTCGCCTTGGGCGAACTCGAGAGGATACCACGAGCAGAAGCGGAGCGCCGCAAAGAAGGAAGAGAAGACCGTCCAGCAGTCCCAGATGGCATTGAAGAACGCCGAACAGAAGATCCAGGCGGAGCTGAAGAAGGGTCTGAAGACGGAGAAGGCTGTTCTGCAGCCTATCCGGAAGCAAATCTGGTTCGAGAAGTTCATCTGGTTCGTCTCATCCGACGGGTACCTGGTTCTGGGTGGCAAGGATGCGCAGCAAAACGAGATGCTGTACAAGCGTTACCTCCGCAAGGGAGATGTCTATGTCCATGCTGACATGCACGGTGCTGCGACTGTCATCATCAAGAACAGCCCAAGCACTCCCGACGCACCGATTCCCCCTTCAACGCTGGCACAGGCTGGCACGCTGGCTGTGTGCAGCTCGAGCGCCTGGGACTCTAAGGCAGGCATGGGCGCCTGGTGGGTAAACGCCGACCAGGTCTCCAAGTCTGCACCTACTGGAGAGTATCTCCCTACGGGAAGTTTCATGGTCCGCGGCCAGAAGAACTTCCTTCCCCCAGCGCAGCTCCTTCTCGGTATCGGCATCATGTTCAAAATTAGCGAAGAGAGCAAGGCCAGACATGTGAAGCACAGGCTGTATGACGGTGCTGACCTTCAAGCTTCGGCGACCGACAAGGGTCCCGAGGAGTCTTCGGCAGATGCCGCCCAGGCGAGAGATGAAGACCCAGATGATGCGTCGGACATCGGCTCCGAAAACGACGAGGATGAAAAGCCTCGAGACAACCCTCTACAGAATCTCGGACAGGACGGACAAGATGATTCGGAGGAGCGTCTCACTTCTGGAGAGTCTCCTGCCGAGGAGATGGACAAGCTCAAGCTTGAAGATGACAAGCCCGTCGAGAACTCTGCCGACGAGGAAGCCAAGCGAGCCGAGGACGACGACGAAGAGGAGGAAGACGAGGACAGCGACCAGGCAGCCACAGGGCAAACATCCACGCCAGCAGAGCCCGCCGGTGCGCCGAGCTCCCAGGCCAGCAATGCAGCAAACGAGAAGCAGCGACCGGCCAAGCGAGGTCAGAAGAGCAAAGCCAAGAAGATCGCCGCCAAGTACAAGGACCAAGACGAAGAAGACAGGGCGGCGGCAGAGGCGCTGTACGGCTCCGCGCGCGGCAAGCACAGGGCCGAAGCGGAGGCACAAAGCAAGGCCGAACGAGAAGCACAGCTGGCCTTCCAAAAGGAACGTCGTCGGGCGCAGCACGAGCGGCAACAAAAGGAGACGGCCGAGCACGAGGAGATTCGCCGCCTGATGAACGAAGAGGGCGTCGAGGTGCTCGACTCGGAAGAGCTGGGTAAGATGACGCTTCTCGACTCGCTCGTCGGCACGCCGCTCCCTGGCGACGAGATCCTCGAGGCGATCCCCGTGTGCGCGCCGTGGAACGCTATGGGTAAATTCAAGTACAAGGCCAAGCTGCAGCCTGGCGCGGTGAAAAAGGGCAAGGCGGTCAAGGAGGTGTTTGAGAGGTGGAAGTCGGACTCGTCTAGGAAGGGCGCGCTCGACGAGCGCTCACAGGACAAGGAGAAGATGTGGCCCAGGGAGGTTGAGCTGATCAAGGGTTTGAAGGCTGAAGAGTCCATCAACGTCGTGCCGGTCGGAAAGGTGCGGGTCATGATGGCAGGTGGAAGTGCTGGTGCTGGTGGCGCGAAGGGGCAGCAGGGCAAAGGCGGACGTGGCGGCCGCGGGTCCAAGAAGAAATAAGGATGCATTGGGGAGCAGGAAGCAGTCTGAAGCGATGGATTCTAGGGATGCATTGTATCTATGGAGCGTAACGTTCTAGGCACAACATTGGCGAATGCATGAGCGGGTACCTCAACACACTCTCTGGTCCATGTGCATCTTTTCCGCCGGCGTACCATCCCTCTATGCTCTAATACTTCCTCTTTGCAATCTCGAGAGCCTTCAACACGTCCAGCTTCTGGTTTTCCGAGGTCCACTCAAGGACGACCTCCCCGCACCGGTCCGCGCGCACCTCCTCCTCCGTAGCCCAGACGAACGCCTCGTGCTCCTCGGGGTCGATGACGACCTGCACGTCGCCATCCGCCGCGGTCTCGACCTCGACGAGGTAGGTGTACTTGCGCCACGCGTCGCGGCCCTTGGAAACTTTGTGCGAGTCCTTCCCCGTGGCGAGGCCGGCTTCTGCAACGGCTCCTTCGCTGGCCGCCGCCCTTGCGGTTGTGACGCCCGCCGTCGCGGTCTCTACGATCCCCACCCCGCCATTGGGCAGCCCCCAAGCCTGGTCGCCCGGCACCGCCGTCGCGATGACGCCCGCCCCGGCCCCGTCCCACTGGTAGCTCCCGACCAGGGCCGCGAACCTCTTGGCGCGCAGGCCGGTTTCCTCCCACAGCTCGCGGGCGGCGGCGGCGAAGGAGTCGCTGTCGACGGACTCCGCTGCGCCGCCGGGGAGTTCCCAGCGGTGGGGGAGGGCCTTTTCCTGGGCGGAGCGTTGGACAAGGAGGATCCTGGGCGGGTTGTTGGGAGATGGTGACGGGGGGGTGGAGAGGACGGCGGCGCCAACGCAGAGGCGGTGGGTGTGGTGGACTTCCCGGGCGGCGGCTGGGTTGTAGGGGTGGAAGCGCAGGGTGTAGGGGAGGAGGGCGGGGGCTGTTGTGTAGGACAGGGGAGGCGACGGCGGTGCGGGCGGCATTTTGGTGAGGTTCGCGCTGAGGGGTCCGGATGTTGGGGTGGTGTGGTGTAGTGTAGTCTGAGGAAATAATCCAGGATGAGATGTGAAGTTTGTTTGGTTGCGTGCGAAGCGTTGGCTTTGTAGAGGGCTGGTGCCTGTTCTGGTGGCTTGAGGCTTGCCTGCCTGGTGTCGGGTGTCGGGTGCCTGGAGGTCGAATGTCAGACTCGGCGGGGATGGGACCGCTTCCGAAAACTGGGGCGGGAACGCGGGGGACGTCGGGGATTTGCGGGGTGAGTCACTCGCCGATGTGGACCCAGGTTCTCGGAGCCAGTGCGGGGACGGCCTGTTTCGGCGGGACTCTAGAGCGCCTCGAAGCAAGGGGCCGATTTCGTACGGTAACTTTTTTTGGTACATGATACGTGCTCTTTATCTTGAATTGAAGACATCTTGAGCCGAAAGGTAACCGATGGAACTTACTTGATAAGCGAAAGACTGGACAAGTTTACATACTCTGACTTTGAACTTCAATGTGTTCTAAGCAAGCCTTTCTACCATTCTGTTTACGCCAAGTAAAAGCCACTAACTGATATACGTCCACAATTAGCAGGCTTTGGCGTAAACCATACCAACGCGAGCTCTTGTTATTGCTCCGCTCCAGTCTCGTGTTGAATCCCGCCCTCATCCTCTTGTCCGCCGGCGTCACAAGCCTGGTCATGAACGTCGCCCACCGTCTCGTGCTTACGCTTGTACCTGTAGAAAACCTGATACTCGCATCTTGTCGCAAGCGTGTGAACTGAGAGACTCTCAACCTCGTCCGTATACCTATACTTGTAGTCATGCTCGCCGTCGTACGTGTACACGGTCTCACGCTCGAATTTTCCGTTTTCTTTGAGCTCGAAGACATACCCGCAGTCGTCTTTGTAGATGTATAGATGGTCGGGCGCGTCCTCGTCCTCGTCATCTGTTTCATTGATAGTTTTCTCGCCATCCATACTCTCAGTGACTTCTATGCCATCTTCATCGTCTACATCCTCATTGTCGTCGTCGTCCTCCTCCTCCTCCTCCTCCTCCTCCTCATCGTCATCATCATCATCGTCGCCGTCTTCATCATCGTCATCGTTCTCCTCTTCATCTGTGTCGTCATCGTCCTCATCGCTCCCATCATCTTCATCATCGCTGTCCTCCTCGTCTCCATATTCTTCCGGATATACCCACATGTGCATCTGCTCAACTAACCAAACTACAATTTCGTATCGAAACACGTAGTGTAGGCCCAAGAAACAAACCTTAAATAGCAATTGGCGGAGTGAGTCAGGAAGACAGTTCAAGAACTCAATGCCATTCTGAGTGCACCAGCATTGAAGATTGCCCGCCGCGTCCGAGACCAGCTTAAAGACTATGTTGACTGACAACTGTACCAGTAGCCCCCAAATGAGGAAGCGAACCCTGTACATCCAAACTCTGAAGGTTGTAAGCTCGGTTTCGACGAGTTCGTCCACTTCCTCCATCACTCGAGACTGATAACCGTCGAAGGCGAAGTCAAGCTCGCGAACGAGGAGGGTCAGGGCTGCGTAGTGACTACATGTCGTGTACAATGAGACCGGCTGGGTGGGCTTGCAAATGAATGCAGAGTCCCTTTCAGCAATAAATTGCCACTTACGCATCCCGCGGTACTCGTAAAGCCTGTCAGCCACAACGCAGATGAAGGACGTAAGAACGCCCCATGCCACGATGTAGTGGTCTTCCGGAATCAGTCGTTTCGGCGACCGCCAGAAGTGCAGTGGGAAGACGATGAAGATGAGAGCTAGTTCCATGACGAAAACATGGCTCGAATACACTATTGCGTCCACAAACTTCTTGTAAACTTCGAATTCTCCAAAAGTAATGAGGTAGAGGACGCCAAACAGCCAGCGATTCTTCATCATGCTGTAGTCCCCTAACAAAACCAAAAACACCGTCTTGAGGAATGCATCGTGAAAACAAAAGCGTTCGAAGATGCGAATGTAGATACATGCTTTGAGGAATGTCCTCATGTCGTGCCAGATGTTTTGCAGCCATGCCGGATGGCGACCGAGGTTATGTTTCCTGGCATTAGGGAGGTCGTCCATTGGAAAGCGGAAGTTGTAAGTTAGGTGGTTTTGGATGAATGTGAAATGTCGATAGTAAAATTAGGAGACTTCTGGTCGTCTAGCAGTTGTGTCTGATAGCTGATAGTTTCTTATACTGAGAAGACACGATTCCACCACTTACTTGAACATAATGATTCCGTTTCTCCGAAGCCATTGTGTGAGTTGTAAAGGAGATATGTTGCGTCGGCCCATGTGCAAGGAATAGTTACGCATACCCACAGTATTTGCGAAGTTTGAACTCGCGAATCGTGGTTTTGCCCAACTCTGTTCGTTGTGAAAAATATGAGCCTTTGGTATAACTGCAACACATTTGATAGAGGAGGAAGAATAATGATGACAATACAAGATTGAACGATATTATCCATGGTATCATTTAAATTGGAAAGTACTCAAATATTCAACCTTGTTTGTCAATACTTCCCGGGAACATTAGAAAGGCCTGCAGTGCGCTTAAAGAGTGATGTCCGTTCTTGGACGTAGACCGCATTCTATATGACTAAGCCCGATCTGCAGGTTCAACCTCCTTTCCTTCCGCTTCAACATTGTGTCTTCCCAACTTCGTTTCTCCACTACACTTGCTCGAAGCCTCCGGGTCACATTTTCATTTTCCGTCCAAGCTGTGCAAATGAAGCTTGGAAAGGAGCGGTAACTGAAGTTTCTTCTTCAAACCGCTTAGAGCAAGGCTTCCCACCGACTCGGGACCTCGGCTGGAAGCTAGTCGACGCTAACGCCCGAATGGGCGGAGCACCGGTTGACGGCCTCGAAAGTCGAATGAAGGGATTAATTTAGCTTGTATGATGAAGCAGTGATTCGAATGAGCTAGGCGGGGTTTCTTCCGGCAATGCCGCACCTGCAAAAGAGGCCATCGGTGGCGACTCCCACTTGTAATAGTCTTGCCCAGGAGCGTTGCGAATTGAAGTGAGGAGAATTGCGCTGAATTATTGTCACCATCCTGTAAAGTAGTCAGTATTCAGCATCGCATGAACATCTCTGCCGGTTGTCGTTGCTATGATTGTCTTAGAAATGGGGACACTGTACCGAGAAGTTGGTTATATGTAGCTTCTCGAACAGACAAGACACGTGAGCTGCCGCTCACAGACGGTACCGAGGCAGCGGAACCCGTCGCGAGTTCGCGACGATCAAACTCCAAGGGTGTCCGCCTCGTGATTGTCCCTGCAGTGACCGTGGGGAACCTTACAATATACCCCACTACAAAAGATTGAGAGTGCTCTAGTCAAGGAGGTGTCTTTGGCTTGACACCGTGTGCCGAACAGCCGTCAAAGGGTTTGGACAACAGTCAAATGAACCTAGATCATCATCGATTACTGACTGGTGCATTCGACGGACACGCCGCAAAGGAGAAAGCGAGAAAACAGATGCTCTTTCAGTCATGAGCTATCCAATATTCCCAGAACTGTGTACCCGACCCCGGTTGAGGCTATTTACAAGCTAAAATCCTGCACAGCTTAGCTCGTAACGCTTTCGCTAGTGATTGGCCGCCACCCAAGCCAGCACCAGAGACCAGCCGGACGACCACATGGTGGCTTACCCCTGGCTAAATCTGCTTCGGGCGCCTCCATCAATGCCTTGCCCGCTTTCCAGTCGCTGAGACATCGACATCCAAACGAACTCGGTCGAGTTTCCCGAATCGATGTTGGTCAAATCCATATTTGGACTGCAGTTCATGATGCACGGCTGGCTGTACCTTAGCCTAAGCCACCTGAGCGCCTTTGGGCTGGACCGCTCCAAAAGCAACCTGATAGAGAGGCGTTGTCTCCTCGTATGATCAAAGATAGACGGGATACGTTGATAGCGGCAGACTGGCTGAGAACCTATAACAACTCTAACAACCATGGGCCTACTTAAGCTGCCAAGACTCCGGGCCCAGATCACTAAAAGAATAATTGTTTTTCTGATTCCTCAGTCTGTCGCCGGCTCTTTTTGCGATCTTCGCAAGTCCATTCTTTCTTCACTTGAGTTGCCTGTATCAAATCATGGGCCCAAAAGCCCCTTTTTTGTGCCAGTTGGGCACCGCTGTTCTGCTGGCCCTACAGGTCCAGCGTGTGGCATCCATTCCTTTCAATGGCCAAGCCCGACAGGTCTCAAGGCCTGCTATCAGCGGATACACATATGAAGGATGGTAAGATACGGCTTACTAACATTTATTGAGTAAGCTTGCTGACGCTGTTTAGCTATGTTGAGCCCAACAATGGCCGTGCTCTTGAGGTCGTCAAGGCCGACGATTTGATGACTTTGGAGATGTGTGCTGAGATTTGCTCTACTTCGGCCAAGAAGACTTACTTTGGTGTTGAGTACGGAAAGGAGTGTTGGTATGAATAGGAGGATCGCCTCAATGCTGGACTTACTGACACTGTATAGGTGTGGAAGCGCTCTCGCTCCTGGCACAACCATTGCAGCCGATGATTCCGAGTGTTCGTTCACGTGCCCTGGAAACTCGGTGGAGACCTGTGGCGCGGGTTTTAGACTCAGTCTCTATAAGAACGATGACATCGCCGCCGGGCCCGTGGTTTCAGCCAAGTCCACAGTTGGGAATTATGTGCACCAGGGCTGCTACAGCGATCTCGTCCAAGGCCAGCGAGCACTGTCCAGGACAAGCGCTGGTGATGCCATGACCCCGGAGAGCTGTGCTGCTTTCTGTGGGAGCGATACTTACATGGCGCTCGAATACGGTTCGTCAGACTTCTGTGCATCTTGACGGAGCGCCTCACTGATAAAGACAATAGCCAGGGAGTGTTGGTGTGGCATTGACTTGGACGGGAACAGCCAGCGCGTTGCGGACCAGACTGACTGCAACATGCCATGTGCAGGAGACTCCACCAGCCTCTGCGGTGGTCCGGCACGCATCAACCTGTACAAGCTAGATCAGGTGGTTGTGGCTTCCACCACGAGCTCTGCCCCGATCAGTACTGCTACCGACCGAGTTGGCAAATACCTGTCTCAAGGGTGCTGGACGGATGAGAACGCCGACGGCCGCACGCTGTCGACGCTCTATGCTGACGATGACATGACCATTAACAAGTGTGCCTCATGGGCTGCCTCCAACGGATTTCAGCATTTTGGCACCGAGTACTCGCGCGAATGCTGGGGTGGCAACACGCTGAATCCGAAGTCTGGTGCTGCAGACTCCGCGACTTGTAGCATGAAATGCTCGGGCAACACGAACGAGGTGTGCGGAGGTCCCAATCGGTTGAGTCTCTACAGCTATAGCCCGGCGCCTTCATCGACGTCGTCCGAAGTCGTTGTGACTTCGTCGTCCTCTTCGGCTTCGTTTTCGGATGACGCCGTCTCGACAACGTCGTCCTCGTCTGATGTTATCGCCTTGACCTCTTCCTCTATCTCACCGTCTGTTGCAAGCCCATCGGAATCATCCGGAGATCTCCCTTCCGGGCCATCAAGTATCCCATTGAGAGGAGCGTCTGTGGAAAACGCGCAGGTTGAAGACATCGACGGCAAGACTGTCATGTGAGTTGAATCGACTTTGACCTTCATTGAGATGCTAATGTGTCTATAGCGTCATGTCCCCGTCGGCTGGCGGTGAAGCCAAAGCTGACCTTCCTGTCACCCCTCCGGCTGATATCCAGGCCGGTGACCAGTTTCAGGTACAGGTTACCTACAAAACCGAGGACGCCACTGTCCTGAAGCGCGCCGCCCTCACTGAGTGCACCCTGACCATGTACCTCGGACCGACTCTCATTTACCAGAACAAGATCTGGACCACGGACGGTAGCTACACGACGGTGACCAGCATGCCCACAGGACCCAGCGGAGTGACGACCTTGATCATCGTTCAGTTCTGTCCTACCACTTCTATCCCTATCGTCATCGCCGACATCAACGTAGTTGTCGCCCCGGTATCGTCTGCGAGCTCAAATGCGCCTCAGCCAACCGCTATCAGCGCCAGCACGTTTGTCCCAGCCCCGGCAGCTACACCGGCAGGCACCACTTCCAACACCATCCCGACGCCGACCTCTGTTGCAGCCACGACTGCAACTTCTGCGGTCAGTTCAGCTTCATCTGCTCCCTCAGTGCTTCCAACCTTGATAAGCAATACCGCTCCGTCCGTCACTGTGGCGCCGGTCGGACCTTCTCAGCATCACCGTACGACGCAGCTCTCTGCACTTTCGGACGAGGGCCCAACTGCATCCTCTCAGGTGCGCCCGTAGCGACGTCCGGCCTCCTTGCTGTCGCCACTGGCATCCCGCCTCTTCAGAGCAGCCAGAGCTACGAGGTCCAGTACAAGCAATGTGCGCAGGCGTGTACGCAGGTCGGCTGCACAAGCTATGCCCTCGATCGACCGGCCACTGGAGATTGGATTTGCTATCTCTACAGCGGTAACGTGCGCGATTATGCTGTCCAGTACGATGGGACATACAGACAAGTTGTTTGGTTTGCCAGCGAGTGCTACAACTGCACGCTGCAAGCCTCTTCGACTCCTATTTTTGCACCCACAACGAGCACGAGCGTGCCTTCGAGCACCCCCTTGACTTCTACCAGCGCGAGCTCGACAAAGAGCGTTCATCCCGGCATAACCCCTCCTCCAGGAGTACCGACACTCGCAATGCCGACTACGGTCACAGAGACCAGCTGCCCCTTTCCGACAGCAGCCCAGTGGTACACAGCCGGCTGTACCCTTTCCGGCGCCCCCTTGCAGACCTCTGGGCTCGTCGCCCTGGCCACCGGCATCCCCGCAACCCCCTCCGGAGCCGTTACCAATGCCCCGTTCGAGCATGCCTACCAGGCCTGCGCGCAGATGTGCGCGACCATGACGAACTGTTACAGTTGGGCCCTCGACCGAGGCACGTGGCCCAGTGACTACTCCGACTGGACGTGCTACTTCTACTCCGCTGGCGCTAGGATCATGGCGCCGCAGAACCAGGGCCAGAGCTGGATCGTCTGGATGGACAAGATGTGCTACGACTGCAAGACCCCATCGGCCGCACTTCCTTCGTCAACGTCCTCCGCCGCGCCGGTCATCACTCCCACCCCCACACCGACCATCGCTGCTACGTCTGTCCCTGCATTGACAACGACGAGACCGCCGCAAGAGCCCTATGCCTTCGCTGCGCCGACCTACACCTCCGGCGTCTGCGCCACAAAATCCAACCCGGCGAACCAAGCACCCTGCGCCATCTCCGGCTGGCCCACCCCGGCATCCATGTCCGGCCTCCTCGCCATCGCGACCGGAGTCCCGCCGAACCCCTCCGGAAGCTTCAACTTCGAGCAGCCGTTCCAAGTGTGTGCCAAGGCCTGCGCTGCCGTCGACGGCTGCACCGTCTGGGCTGTCGACCGAGGGAACTGGCCCACGGATATGTCGACATGGTCATGTCTGATGTACAACTTCAACGGCCGGAACTATCTCCTCAATACCAGTCCCAACTCGGCTTCTAGTAAATACGCGTGGTCCGACAGCAACTGCTACAACTGCACGCTCAACCAGCAGGCAATCCTCAGCTCTTCCAGCAGCACCATCACCGTCATCAGCAGCAGCAGCAGCTCGCCAACCTCAGTCTCCGCTCCCATCTCCGCCTCGTCGAACCAGCTCACGACTTCCGCCCCAGCAGCCACGATCACGACCTTTTCCGCCCCTCCCCTCGTCACAACCTGCAACCGCCCCACCGCGGCGCAGTGGTACACAAACGGCTGCACAATGTCCGGCATAGCAACAGCAACCACCTCGCTGCTCGCCGTCGCGACGGGGATCGCCCCCAACGCCGCGGAAGACTTCAACTTTGAGCCCGCCTACCAGCGCTGCGCGAGCATCTGCGCCGGCATCACGGGGTGTCAGGGGTACGCCCTGGACCGGACCAACACCACGAGCTGGAACTGCAACTTCCACAACATGGCGATCCAGCCGTACCTCAGAACGCAGTCGTTCACGAGCGACAACCGCGCGGTGGTGTGGATGAGCATGCTCTGCTACGACTGCCCCGTTCCCGGGCCGTGGCCCCCCGTTGTCTCTTCGTCCGCGTCGTCGACGGTAGTGACCTCGACGACCCCAGGGCCCACGGAGACAGGCGTGCCGGCGCCCTCGAACACGACCACCTCAACCTCAGCCACGGTCTCCATCCAGGGCTACCCCGAAACCACGTCCCCCGCAACGAAATCCTCCGTCCCGTCCACCTGCACGCGCGCGGCCTTCCCGCCCCCAACCGCAGCCTGCGCTGTCAAAGGGTTCCGCCAGCCCGCAGGCCAAGTCAAGGAGACGAAAGTCTACACGCAGGCAGACTGCGCCGCGTACTGTGTCGCCCAAGGGGCGGTCTGCAAGAGCTACGCTTGGATCCCGACGTCCGGCTGGTGCGGCGTCTACTCGCTTGATATCTGGACGGCCATCGGCGACGACGCGGTCGCGGGACGGGCGTACAAGGATTATGTCATGGACGAGCCCGGCTGTTTTAGTTGTCCTGATGGCGTGGCGGTGAAGTATTTGCCCGCGTAGGTGGGATTGTACAAGCAGCGGCAAGGTCTTTCACTATGGGGGACTACTAGTTATTGGGGACGCACTACAGATGGGTCGTCATATACCTTGTCAGCTAGAGGGCTTGTGAAATTTCGTTGTTCGAATCCCCACGAGCAGAAATATGAAGATCCAAATACAACTTGTTCATACTATCTGAAGAACAAGTCGGGCTAGGTTTGTGAAGTAGACAGGCTCACCCAGATGTGCCGTTTGTATCCTTGTCCTTGTCCTTGTGACGCGAAACATCGGACATCGCAGCCTCTGCGAGACTGAACCCTTCCTTGTTCTTCGCAAACTCGGAATCTAACCGACTCTCGACCAGTTGCACCAGGGTACAGACATGCGGATAGTGTGAGTATGGTATGGCCCAATCAGGGGAGCTGAAGCCACGCACGGTAGCCTCCACAGCGCTTACCCTGTGACCCATATACGGCTCACTTAGGCCCAGCAAGTTTTGTTCATACATTGTCTTGTCCAGAGCCCCCAAAAGCATACAAGAACATGCAGGACCGCATCCCGCCAAGCTCTTACGTAGGGATGCTCGCATATCATCGAGAGCGTTCGTAATGAAGCCGACGGCATCTTGTCTACGCCAATCAATGAGATCTGCCAAAGTTAGCCCCCACCCTGCGAAAACACTTACACGATACTCACTGATCAAAATTGGCGGAATCGGCAGGTCCATTGTCGGTATTGGGCCCTGGCTCTCCAGGACTGCTGTCTTGGTGACCTGTGGGAAAATGTCGTCTCGTTGAAATATGTGTGTAATGAGGATCCATAACACCAGCTCCCTACTGCACTCCGAAGGGAGCTGGTCCTTTAGCGCATCAATCCAAATGGAACAGATGACTTCCATGGCTTCGTGGCAGTCATAGTAGTCGACGAGGACGGCAATCTTGGCCAGCATCTCGCAGTCGACGCGTCGAGGAACACTCCTCATTCGCCCATGGATGACTTGCATCATGATGAGCAGTGCGTCGGGGTCCCAGTCAGATGCTTCCAGGTGATAGCGTTTATCGATGGGATGAGGTGTAGCCTCCTTCCAAGTCCCATTGAGTTTGGCGTTGAAGTAGCGCGAAGCTAAGATCAAGTGCCGGGATGAAAGGAGAAATTTGATTCCAGTTTCTTCGTCGGGAATGGCGGCGTCATGGGCAGTTCGTACGCCTTCACCTGAACCAGGTTCAGTGGAGGGACATTCTGGTGCAGGGATGTAGGGGTCGGGGATATCTTCAATCGGCCCCGGGATAGGTTCTGAACCCGAGAACAGCAACGAAATGCCGTTTGCCTTCTTCTTGCCTTTCTTCTTTGCCTTCTTGCTCTCCTTGATCCCCTTCTTGATCTCCTCTTCAATCTCCTCCTTGATCTCTTCCTTGATCTCCTCTCTGCTCTCCTCCTCACTCTCTTTGTTATTTGTGCCCTTTAATTCCCAATCATAGCCCTTCCAAACCGCAAAGGGCGCGTTGGGGTTGCGGAGGACGAGCACGACATCGCCTCCCGGGTCGACAGTGTGCAAGATCTCGTCAATCATGGCGGCATGAGGTGATGAAGGGAATGCTGTCTGCTGCGAGCAGGTTTCGCCTTGACCTGAAGGCCCCTTTTTATACACACCAGGATATGCATGTACGCAGGCAGCCTTCTTTGCGCGTTGGTACGTCCGGCGGCTAAGACAACAGCAATACGTGTAGGAGGGCGGGGGATGCATAGAGTTGCAGGAGTTGGTTGGCCTCCCACGTAGCCGAGGCCAATCAACGACAACGCATCTGTTTGCTGTTCGTGTTGGTTGGGCGGGTTTAAGATTTGGGCCCCGAAAGGCAGCAAGCGTATGGGAAAAAAGACAGCGGCAAGGATATCTGGTAGAGTGACGTGGAAAAGAAGGTGTCTCTGCTAGTACTCACCGCGCGGCAACATGCTGCCTTCTTGCATCTCGTACACTCAACTTGCCCGTCTGCAACGGCCGCGTCCCCAGAACCTAAAAATTCCTTTTCGGAGGTAGTCTGATTGCCCCTGTGCAGTTGGCAACCTTTGACAGGCGCGTTTCGCTGATCGGTAAGTGCCACCTTGGCCGTCTTGTGGTGGTGTATCGTACAAAAACCTCGCGAAATCAAAAGCCGGGTTCGACCTCAAGGCAAGGACGAATGATGATGCCGGACGTGCCATGCGTTTATCGAGGGCCAATAAACCACTGATTCGTGACTTGTCCGCAGCAGGTGCTTTCCTCCCAGGCAAGTCGGGAGCCCCGGTGATATCCCTACCCGCAGGAAACTCAGCAAGCCCTCGGGGTTACTATCACAGCAAGATGGATAAGGTGTGAGTGGAAGGCCTCCAGATGGAACAACAGGGTAACGGGGCCGTGAAGGCGCGGCCAGGCCGGCGGGCAGGCTCCTCGGAGGGAGTGGGTCTTTCGGGGTAAGAACCCTCCAGTAGGCGGGGCCATGTACCAGAGAGGTCCGACCCGTCACCACCACGGATTCCACGAGACAGTGCTAAAGTGCATGCCATGTGGGGTGGGGTTCCCCACGAATCCTTCAACAAGAGCCGTCCCGAGCTCCAAGCTCCACCCTTCATTCCATACGCAGGCGCCTCCAGATTGTCTAGCTAATTGTAATGGGATATGACACGTGCCACAAGAGCTCATGGGCGACCAGAAACAGGGAGAGCACACGGTACTATCCATGCAGGAACCGTAGGCTTGGAGGTAAAGTTGTTTAGAAGCCTTCGTCGAAAGAGCGGTGCCGAATTCATGCGGGGTCGCAGAAGTCTTCCGTCTTGACGCGAGCGAGAGCAGAAGGATTCTACGAACAAGGCGTCGAAGAGTGAGCTGGTCAAGAAAAGGTTCGTCTGGATGTTCCAGAGCCATGCGCCAAAGCTCGCGGCGCGTCAAGTGTCCGAGCAGCGAGCTCCGCGGGTCGTCATGACGCTTCGAGCTGTCGCAGTTTCGCCAAGTTTTGGTTGGTGCGTCGCGACCAAGCGCAAGCTGATGGTACTTAACGCCATCTGCGAGTGCACTGCGTTGAGTCGAAGCTTGTGACAGTGATTTTTCATACACACCCAAGGAAACCCGCATCGCCTGCCCACTAGGATTCAATCCTGAGAAGGACGGCACACGGAACCAAATGAACTGGTCGCCTCGGCCAGCCTACGGATCGCTGCAAGGCCGCAATGGCAGGGTCGACCAAGTCTTTGGGAGGCATTTCGGTAGTGGATGACCAGGGGGGTAACACCTTGGCGGTATCTTATGGAGGAGCCCCAGGGACACGGAGTAGAGGGGGGGCTTGTGGACAATACAAACGCCGCTGTTGGCATCAGCCCTGAGACACCGTCCGCGAGCGGATACGAGCTACACGCGCCCCCTGCGGCGCAAGGGAATAATGGCATCCCTCGACAGGCCTGGAACTGGAAAAAGCAAAGTGTGGCACCTGTCGATCAACCCGACTTCTCGCAAGACGAGCAAAAAGCTGCCTGGTTTTTTGGTTCTGCACAGAACATGCCGGAAAACGAAATGGCACAGACGACAGAGCGACAAGGACCCGAAATGATGGCAGATGGAGTCGGAGCGACACCCGAGAACAAAGATGTGTCCATCACTGCCGTAAAGGCCGGCAAGGCCGACAAGCCGGAAAGCACCGGGGTTGCGTCTGGACTCGAAACCGCCAACACCAACTCCTACGATGCGAACCGAAATCTGTGTTACGGGTCTTCCACGGCGCTTCGGTCGCCTCTGACGCATCCTAATGGCGTCCTCATCTTCCCAGATTTGTCTGCCGAGCAGCAGGTGTCTGAATCCTCGGAAGCCACGACACAAGCCGAGAGCTCAATTGAAGCGGATAGCGATGAGTTGGCCTCGATCTTTGACGAGACGGACCCGTCCGATGCGGGATATGGAAGCGACAGCGCAACGAACGCCAGCACGTCCATCGAGTCGTCGGTTCGAGACTACATGTACGAGAACGGGCGGCGGTACCATCGATTCCGAGAAGGGCGGTACAACTTCCCCAACGACGAGTTGGAGCAGGAGCGGGAGGACATGAAGCACGCAATGGTGAAGCTGCTCTGCAACCAGAAGCTGAACTTTGCGCCGTTGGGCGAATGCCCGCAGCAAATTCTGGACATGGGAACAGGAACAGGAACATGGGCCATTGAGAGTATGCCGCGGAACTCCTCACAAGAAGGTTCGTGATGCTGACGACAGAGCAGTGGGTGACCAGTATCCCAGCGCAACGGTGCTTGGTGTCGACCTCAGTCCGATACAGCCGGAGTGGGTTCCGCCCAACGTCAAGTTCGAGGTGGACGATGTTGAAAGCCCGTGGTTGTATCCGGCGAATCACTTTGACTACATCCACTCTCGCCATACCGTCATGGCTATCAAAGACTGGGGGGCCCTCTTCCAGCGCGCATTCGAGTAAGTCTAGGATCCCAACTCGTCGGCATGCCGGTCTAACGTGGCCACAGGCATCTCAAGCCCGGTGGCTGGATCGAACTCCAGGAAATCCACCATTTCCCACTGTCGGCAAATAACGCTGTGTCGGCAGCGCACCCGGTGGCACAATATTGGGGCCATGTGGTGCAAGGGCTTTCGAATCTTGGCGTCGATTTAAACGCAGCAGCAGGTGACCGACTGCCGAACATGATGCGCGAAGCGGGCTTCATCAATGTGACGGAAAGGGTATTTCATGTGCCGATTGGGACATGGCCGCGGAATAGAGTGCTTAAGACAGTAGGCATGTACTGGAGAACCATCCTCCTCGACGGACTTCAGGCAATCGCTCTTGGGCCGTTTACGAGGGGGCTGCACTGGTCGGCGGAGCAGACGGAGGTATTTCTCGTTGCTGTAAGGAGGGCATACCACGATACGTCGGCATTGATGTATATGCCATTAAAGATCATGTACGCACAGAAGCCGAAGAGTGTGCAGTAGAACCACACCCAAGAGATGTTGCAATGCAGTTTCGAAATGGGTCTTCGCAGGCTCAAGTTGACGGTCGAGATAGCCTGGCATTTCTTGTTGTTGTTGTTGTTGTTGTTGTTGTTGTTGTTGTTGTTGTTGTTGTTGTTGTTGTTGTTGTTGTTGTTCTGCAAACGGATCGACAGTCGTGTGGCTTCAGTGTTGCTCCGGCGGTTACGGACGTACAGCCTCGTCGGCTTGTTAATGGACGCTTGTTTTGTAGGCGAGTGAAGAGCTGGAATATCTCTGCGAGAGTGAACAAGACTTCTTCGATGAAACGAAGGCGGTGATAATAAAAGGGTGGCATGTTTCCGCGTTGGGTATCGTGCTTCTGCGCTGTTGCATGGAAGAGGAAAGGGGAACGGAGCCCAGTAGTCGAAGGAAGGTGAGGGGCATGTCGACAGTTGCAATTGTACATAGTGAGTGAGTGGCATTGGCACTTGCATTGGTAGGAGGGATTCAGGGATGGCTCGTTGCCCTTTCTTTCCAGTTCCAGGATGACGGGACTAAACGACCCCTCTACGGGCCCGCTGTAACCCCAAATGTTGGCGATTGAATGGATATGTATCGTACCTTCCCAGCAAGTGCCGAAGTACCTTGTTGGGAGAGGAAGGAGAGCCCCTCGCTGTGCTGCGTGCACCTGCTGACGGCAGGTCTCCGCTGTGGACCACCGTGCTGGCCCCTGCCATGATGAGATTGCGTCCCTTTTACCGTCCGACATGCATCAATTGACCGATTGACTTCCCACCGCAGCACCCACGTTGTTTCCTCTGCCGACTGCTCCGTTTAAAAGGATGAAACTAACCGTCCACTTGAGCCCATGTGTTTGTCGGACCCTTCGGACGGGATAAGTACCAGCACCAAGCGACCGGCAATACACTACAGAACCATGTGGCAGGGGTGCCATCGGCGAATCAATACGACTCTGCAATCATTCCCTTTCGTCTGTTTTGTTTGGTGTGCCTATCGCCAACTCGTCTCCTCGCCGTTCCTTTTTACGTTTTTAAACCCAGAGCCACGACTTCTGGGAAGAATACCATCTCAAACTGCGTCGCCCTGATGACTTTCTCCTCTGCTCTTGCCTCTGGATCCGGACTGGCGCATGTGAATCCTCTGAACGTACTCTTCAAAAGCGTCAGCCACTTGACAAGAGACAAGGAAACACGCGCACAGAAACGCAGACGGCAATCCTAGCCCATGGCGTCGGACACCAAAGCTAGGTCCGCCGCTAGTCAATGTCGTCGCAACGATTCAGCGCCTATCCTAGTTCCGTCCCGCCCACGCTTCGGGAGCGAGAATCTCTGGGCGCCGCCTCTGGATCCATCCCATTCTTACTAAAAAGGAAGATACCCCCTTCCCAGGCTTCCGGGCCGTCATGTCTCGGATGATTCTTGTCCTCCTGGAAAACCTCGATGCTAGCACCCTTGTCGATATCCTGTACATCCCAATCTCTGTTTCTGCTGCGCGACAGGCCACAGCGACTTGCGTCAACCAAATCCGGGCCGTGTCCTCGGGAACTGTCTGTGTTGCGACGGTTCAGAGTGTTGCCCCTGTTGTGTCATATTTTGGCCGTCGACTCGACACTTGAAACAACGAGGCTACGCCGTGAGCTGTTGAACGAAGTAAGGGACACTCACTTCGACTTACATTCAAGGTGTGTGATACCTCAACATCCTCTGCACCAACCATGCTCCTCCTAGTCAATCAAGAATGCTTTGTCCTGCCCGGCTTTGCCGCTTAACCATCTGGCACGCAATTAGCGCTGGCTGGTCCAGGCTCAAGTTTGACGACACAAACACACAGATGGCTAGGGAAGCGGAGTATGATGATCAACAATGCCAGTGCATTTCATTTCTTACAGGGGATGAATCTCTTTTCTCTGAGTGCCTGCGATTTCAATCTCTACTCTTGCTAACTTGAAAAGCACTCGACTTCACGCCAGTTAAGCAACTGAATCATCTTGCTGCTCCATCTGTTGAAGTCATGAACAAACTCAGACTCAGTAAGTGGTTGGGCGCTGGCACGTCATCTGACGCTGCTGAAGGCGACGGGAAGAAGCAAAACCGCCGCTTTTCCTCCCCTGTCTTTATCAGATCAGACGACAAACTCAAAGACGAGACTTTAAACGAGACGCCGGTTTCTAAAGATGCCTCTATCACATCAAAGACTCCCATTTCGTCGCCGTCGAGATTGACGGAGCTTGCGAGGAAGATCGCGTCCGAGACAGAAAAGCTTGAGAGGTACATGAAGGAAAGCAACCTGCCGATGCCCACTTTGGATCCAACCGGGCCTGGCGATTTCCCTAAGCTTCCCGAAGACATTCAGAAAAGTCGCATGGAGATCATCTATGCGACTAGAGAACTTGAGGCTCTGGCCCATGGACCCAGAGAAGATGTCAGATGGAAGACTTGGAGTGTGAGTAGTTATTATTCCTCTTGGAATGCAGACGCTAACCCGCCTGCAGTTCCAAGACAGTCTCAGTCTCCAACTTGTGAACCACTTTGGTTTGGGTAAGTGGAATCGGCACACAAGTGAGGCGCAATACTGATGCAAAACAGCGAAGCTTGTGCCCGTTGACGGCACCATCACACTCACGGAACTACAGTCCAAGACTTCGCTAGACCCCGTCAACCTAGCCCGCATCCTGCGCCACGTGATGACAAACCGCATATTCCGCGAGCCCTCACCCGGTGTCATAGCTCATACGGCGGCATCACGCCTGCTGGCCGAAGACCAGGCATTACAGGACTGGGTTGGTTACAACCTCGAGGATAACTTTCCAGCTTCTGCACATGTCCTGCAGGCCCTCAAAACATACCCTGAAGCCACTTCACTAACACGCACCGGCTTCAACTTCGCGTTCGACACCGTGGATAAGGAGCCGATGTTCGTCACCTTTGGCAAGGACCCCGCCCGTGCTAAGCGTTTTGGCGGTGCCATGCTCAGTCTTACTGGAGGCGAGGGCTACGAAGTCAAGTACCTGGTGGATTCCTACGACTTTAGCGACATTGACGCCAAAGGAGGGACGTTGGTGGATATCGGTGGCAGCCACGGGTTTGTGTGTGTAGACTTGGCAAACAAGTGGAAGAACATGAAGTTCGTGGTGCAAGATCTCCCCAAGACGGTCGACTCGGCACCGAAGCCGATATCCGAAGACACTCAAGTTGCTGAGCGAATTGAGCTTGTGGCACACGACTTTTTCAAAGAGCAGACCGTCAAAGATGCCGATGGTGAGTCTGGCGTCTCTGCGCGCCCCATGCACAATTCAACTGACGACAGACAGTCTACTTTTTCCGCTGGATCATTCACAACTACTCGACACCCTACGCAGTCTCTATCCTCAAAAATCTAGTTCCGGCACTGAAGCCCGGCGCAAAGGTTGTCATCAAAGACCACTGTCTTCGCGAGCCGGGACAAGAGACGGCGTGGGACGAGAGGATCATCCGCAGCATGGACATGGTCATGCTGGCCGTGTTGAATGCGCAAGAGCGCAACGAGGATGAGTATCGAAAGCTGTTTGAGGCGGCCGATGAGCGTTACGTCTTCAAGGGCGTGACGCGACCCAAGGGTTGCCGGATGAGCATCATCGAGGCGGTGTGGGATCCGGAAGGGGCCAAAAAGGGGGTGGACACCGAGGCGCGGTCGAAAGAGCCCATCCCTGCGGAGGTGGGGGAGGCATGACATCCAGAGGAGTTGATACTTGATATGCGACGAAGCTTGCTAGACGGCTCAAGGGATGCAAGCTGTCCCAATATCCAATTAGTAACATGATTATCTTGGATTATCGTCTACGGTGCAGGTCGAGTGCGCCTCGAGCGAGCGAGAACGGGCCAGTGCCACATCGTGAGTGGGACGACGATCCGCTTCGGCCGCTCCACAGTAAAGGTACATGAGGTGCTTACCAAGCGGCCATGACAACAACCAATGAGGCCTGCTGGCGAAATGGCATCGCGTCAGATTTCGGCTGCTCCAAGTCATACTCTGAAGATTCTAGGTTCGATCCCTAGGTAGGTCGCAAGCCACGCACATTCTTTTGTTTTTGGCGCGACAGGTCCAGCATGACAGTCGCACGGCCATTGGATGTACCTTTGTGCTGTGCTGGACTGACAGCTTAATTGCTTCCCATTGGCATGACTGACACGGCATTTCTTGATTTTTTCCCCCCCTTGAGAAGGGATATGCACATGCCCGCTCGGTGGTAACATTGAGAGTTTGCGCATGTTCTAATGAATTGTCGCTGATTGCAAGGCATCACCCATTACGACTAGTGTGGCGACAGCGCCTCGCGACTCCCCTGTTCCAATGCCGGCAGCGCACTGTTACAGGCGCCAACACAACCGAGTGAGAATCGCGATGAACATTTGGAGAGGCGCCATGGACCGATGATAATCCCGTGCCACAGCACAATCAATGGTTGCCAAGCTTCTTCTTCAAATCTAAGTTCTGACATAACCCGGTTCATTGTAGCCGAACGAAAGGGAGCTCAGGCCCTCTAATACTTCTCCAACATTTCTCGCTATCAAGGGCTTAGTCTGCCAAACGATACCTCGAGACCCAGGCCACTGAGAAACCTCAAACGTCTTCAGTCTTTCAATGCCATCGTACATCACGCCCAACTCGACGCCCTCAACCTCCCCCGCGATCTTGATAAACTCGTTGGACGTCAGCCCGTAGCCGCTGATGCGCAGCTCGTTTGAGGCGGGACAGGACACAGAGTATCAGAGAAACGTGCCGTTCAGGATGACAGCCTGTTCGGTAGCTGTTGCGGAGAGGAGGTCGAGAGAGGCAGAGTGCTGTTCTGGCGGCGGGAGGACTTCGACGCTGTTGAGGGGCTGCAAGTCATTGCCTCGACCAATGGTTGTCTATTCGGTCACAGTACCTGCGATGTCTATGTCGTTCTTCGAGGGATCAGTGAACAAAAAATCGCTTTTCAAGACGTCGCATCGCAAAGGAACTCGTCACAGACGACTGCTCAACCGCCCTGATGAGATTCGGCTGGGATGCTGCCAGCGGCGGGGGTTTGAGGACAGTGTGTACTTTTCTCTTCTCCAAGAAGACTTGAAGGGCATCGACGCCGGAGTTGCACACTTATAACGTCGGTGCGGGGCGGTGTCCTCGGAGGCGGGAGCTTTGCCGAGGGGGGAGATAGCCCAAGGATATGTCTGTTGGGAGAGCACCTCGATGTGTTGCGTTTTTGGTCTGGAAGCGACCGGGTTGAGGCTTTCAACTTGTACGCTCATGATCTGCCTTTTTCTACTTTAGGTTGCCCGTAGCGGTCTTGGAACGATGCACCGTAGTAATCCAACAATTCACGTCCACGACATAACACTATGCAGTGGCCCCCTGACCTGTCACGAACCTCCATTTCGCAACTATTCATGTGGATGATTCAATCGGCCCTATATGTCGGTGGACGCGGACCGCTGATAGTCTCAATTCTTTACATAGTTGAGAAGAATGCTATATCTTTGGCCTCGTACGGCCCACTGCCTTAGGTAGAATCGCCGGCAAACACTCGGCCTCTATGTGGAGTCCGCGGGGGCAGCCCGCCGAAAACTTGCCTATTCCGTCCGCCGTGTGGAGACGGGTGGAGGCAGCAGCTTCTGTTGCTTTTGTGCTTGGTTTAAACGTAGCAGACCAATTTCACAAAGATCTCAAGAGTCAGTCTCATCTCCTAGTTCCCGATGTTCGAAGATGTGGCTTTGAAAGCATGGTAAATTACATCGCGCGTTTAAAAGCTTGCCGAACCTTTAGAAAAGAAGAACGAGTGTGCGGGACTGTTCTGGCTGCACCACTCTGGTTTCTACTGTGCCGCCTGCCGTACCTTCGTGTCATTCTGTCATGTCAAGTCCTGGGATCCGATAGCAAGTCAAGCAACCCCGTACCGTCATGCCGTCAGTCTCTCCTCATGAACGAAAGAGACCCACGTGCCCCTTTGCCACCGTATTGCTCGTCGTTGTGCCATGTCAGCCAGTTTCCCTGATAATTCCGCGGTCCGAATCGAGCCATTCTCCTTTACTAACGTGACGTTTACCAGGTCGCAGTGCCAGCCATCTCTGCTGGTAAAATGCAAATCAGACCGCTCCGTGCCGTTATCTCGCTGTGGAACCGATGACCCCATCACTCCTTGCTGAAAATGGTTCCTTGAACTCCTGTGCCCTAGCACATACCCGGTTTGCCGAAATCTGTCGGTGCACTTGGCTCCCAGAGATTAACTCCTCCTACATCCTTAGTTGGTGGTTGGCGTTGACAGCAGCTGAAGGTTTCCGACAATCGTGGGCGTCGGGAGAATACGGCGCTTCCAAAGGCGTTCCTCGAGGGTCATCCGAGCCATCTCCCACACCAGGCGCCTGTGGAACTCGGGATTGCCGAGCCAAGCATCTTCGGACTCGATCTCTTCTTTGGTGAGGATAGCCGTCCACTCGAGCTCTCTGTGCTCCTCGCGGTCGTTGCTTGCGTCATGGTTGATGTCGATGCGAACAACGAGGTTTCGGGGTCTACGGCGGTTCGGGGTGTCGGTGTACCGGTACTTCTTCTCGGACTCGTCTTCCTCCATCTCGGCGATGTATACCGCGTCGTCGTCAGTGTAGTAGCGGATGGCGAAGTTGTTTGGCATACCCGCAGGCAAGAAAGCCTCGTAAAGGCCGAGAAGCGTGACCCGAGCTCTCTGAAGGTTGGGGTACATGTAGCAGTTGAGGTAGAGAGCCGAAACCTCGTCGTCAATCTGGTCCCAAAAGTTCTCGGCGTCGATGAAGCCGCTGCTGCGCACCCAGTCCTCATCAACCACTCGAATCTTCTTCACCATGACATTGTACTGGTTGCCCAAGTCGGGGGCGCAGAATGCTTCTTGCTCGGTCTGATCGTGCAAAACCGGGGGAGCCGTCTGGTAGCCCATGGATAACTCGTCGATCTTGGGGTTGAGGTAGATGTAATCGATAGCAGGCTCCCGCACAGCACCAAGGTAAGTGGGATCGACGGGACCGTTGGGGTACGTGTCCAACCGGACGTAATGGCGTCTGAAGACTGCTCTGCTCTGTCTGTCCATGGTGGCGGCCGCGGGCAAGTCAGGGCGCATCGCGTTGAAGTCGTAGTTCGGGCCCATGCCTACGACTCTTCCCTGTGTGTCCAAGCTCAACTCCTAAATCTTTTGCCGGACTTCCACAGGAAGAGATGAGAACGAGGCGGTCTGCGAAATGGCTGCTTGTGCTGAGTTGGAGCAAGCTACAGGGCCATTCGGCGAATCCAGGGTCTTCATAGGGGGCGAGGGAAAACGATTGGTCTGGTACATCTTCGTTTTCCCTAAGCCTGCGCAGGCTGCAAGGCGAGTGGGCGAGTTCGTATGCGTCTTTAAGAGAAAAGAAAGAGAAAGAGAGAAGAAGAAAAGGTCAAGAGGTGTCGACAGGTGAGTATTTCAAGAGAAAATCACATGATCGGGGCCCGCTTAATCGTGAGTTGCTCTTGTCTAGTGGATAAAGAGAAAGTTAAACTGTTTAGTCGTAAATCGCTTTCGTTCGGTGGTAGAACAGTCAAGTGGGGTTTGCTTAGTTGTGAGATTTCGTCCAGTAGTTGAATAAGAAGGTGGGATCCGCTTAGTTATGGGATGTTTTCGTCCGGTGGTTGAACAAATAGTTTTGGCTTCGCTTCCGTCCGTTAGCGGAACAAAGGTTAGGCTTTGATCAGTTATGAGGTTCTTTTGAGCAGATGTCGAACATACAGATGAGGCCTTTTTGTCGTGAAAACTCATTCAGTAGTTGAACAGAAAGTTGACTGTTTGCTTGCTTGTGATATGCTTTCGTCCAGTGGTTGAACACACAGGTGGGACTTGGGTGTAAAATTTTAATGATAAGTTAATCAAACAGTCAGGTTCCTTAGCCTTGAGACCAAGTTTACTGATTCGTCTCGTCTCATACTCGAACTTCAAGGTATCAGGATTGTCCTCTGGCCTGGCGGCTCAACCAACAGTAATGGCTTTCTTAGTCATGTCTTTAAATATTTGAAGTAATCTCCTTTTGTGCTGTGACATAGCTTGCTTGTCATGGTATTGAATTTCAATGTGCTCTTGGGTTTTGGATTAACACGGCTTGCTTGCTCATGAATTTTCACTTGTGAAGTAATTTTGCCTGAATTATAAGACAGCGCCTTGATTAGACTTGAGACTTGGGTAGCGTCACGATCCTGTGACTGTAATTGTGAAATGACAAATTTGGCTTGATTGTAACTTTTGGTTGCTTTCGCCCCGTGATTACAACGTTTCGGCTTTGATTAGCCTTGGATCGTGAGATGCTCCCGCCTCGAGTTTGAAAAAGCGACAGAGGTTGCCGGCGTAAGCTGCTCTCGCCCAATTCGTCAACATAATGCATAAACTTTTTAGGGTGGCTTTGGCCAGGAGGTCTTGCAATTCAGGAATTGCATTTTGACGTTTCTCAAAAGTCAAGAGTAAGTTGGCTTTGATGCTACCGTATTGTTTGCAGAACTCGGAATTTACGTAAGTTCATCATACGGTATTAAAGTTAGTAATGTTAGGCATCCGCTCTCAAGCACATGGCGGTAAATTCTAGCATTAATTGATACTTGATAACTATCTCACGGGGCTGGACTCACAGCTTTGGGCCATCGAGACCTTCTGGTTGACGAAGCAACATCTTGTTCCGAAGCTTTTATTTCCCAGTACTTTTCACAACGTGCTCTAAGGATTGAGGGAAGATATCAGGTCGCTTCCGCTTAGGCAATTATCGACCGTGGACGTTACAATCTGCTCCCCAAAGTAGCCATATCTGCAGTGGGAACCACCAAAAAACAACCACCTAGTGTATCTACCGTGTTTGAACTCCGTAAGGATTTCTCCACAAAGGTAAAGAGACGGGAAGGAGTCAGCAAGGATGAGCTTCAGGCAGCAGCCAGCATTGGAGGGTTTTTTTTTGGGAAACGCTAGAGAATGTCAATAGTAAACATTCTTGATGCGCTTGTGCCGCACCGAAGGGACAATATTGATGATGTCTTACTAACGTTCAGATTAACGCCTTTTACGGGTATGCTTCCGACCGCAGGGACATATGTATATTGACACATGAAGACGATGAGAAAAGAAGCTCTTCACCACGGAAAATGAAATTCGGAGCTTGCGAATTGCTGCCAAAAGCACAAGAATGCTGCGACAGAATGAGTAATTAATGTGTATCACGCGGCCTGCTACGAGATTCGTACCGCTGTCGTCAACGATTCTTCGAGCATGACAAGGCAAGTGGAAATTATGCGGGGATCTGCGTTCGGCTTCTTCCAATGTTACATCCGCGGATGTCATTCCGAATTGGGGTTTGTGTCCGTAAAATGGGCTAATGACAGTGAGTCGGTTGCAAGATCCAACAGCTACTGTCGGTTTCAATAGCGTGTGTGGCAATACCCATCTCCTCAACACCATCATCCTCCTCCGAATAAACACCTGGCATCCTTCTTAAACTTTCACTTTTCGTATTTCAGTTGAAAGCAATTTTGAGAAGATGGCGGAAGAGCCCACGACATCAGCAGATCTTGAAGAGTCTTCGAACACTCAACACCAAGCAGCCACTTCTACCAGTGCCGCCGCCGCCGCCCAAGACGACCAACCGGCACAGCAGATTGAACTAAACGACGATCCTGAGCACTCAGAACATGGTTATGAGAGCGCCAGCGTGGCGAGCTCGAACGTCTCCACGTCTCTAGCGTCTGGCGTACGCGACTACGACTTCGAGAACAGGCGCCGCTACCACAAGTACAAGGAAGGGCAGTACCACTTCCCCAATGATGATGTCGAGCAGGAACGCGAGGATATGAAGCACGCTATGGTTGTACACCTCTGCAGCGGCAAGCTTCATAGCGCGCCGCTCGAGAACCCGCAGAAGATCCTCGATGTTGGCACAGGCACCGGCATCTGGGCTATTGACAGTATGTATCATGCCTACCATGTTGTTTCAGGTCTCTCTTGGGTGGAAGCTGATTGTTCGTGATTTAGTGGGTGACGAGTATCCAGAGGCTGATGTCATTGGGACCGACCTGAGCCCGATCCAGCCTGACTTCGTCCCGCCGAACGTGCAATTCTTTGTTGACGATGCCGAGGTTGAATGGGTATATCCAGACAACAGTTTCGATTACGTCCACCTTCGAAACATGGCGCCTTCGATCAAAAAATGGCCAGAGCTGTTTGCCGAAGCGTACCGGTGAGCATCCGTCAAAGTGACACCAGTATCACACCCTTCTGACCGAACAAGAGTTCTCAAGCCAGGCGGTTGGATTGAGCTGCAAGAGATGCGCTGGGTGTATGGTTGTGATGACGGGACCATGGGGCCGGAACATAAACCGCTGCAGATGCAGGCAAAAATCAAGGAGGCCCTAGCGCGATTGAGCGTGGACATTAATGCCGCGGAGAGGTACCCTGAACATGCCGAGGCCGTCGGTTTTGTCAACCTCAAACATGAGGTTAAAAAAGTCCCTATCGGCCCGTGGCCAAAGGACAAGCATTTAAGAAAGGTTGGCGAATACTGTCGTGCGGTTATCTACGACGGCCTGCATGCGATTACGATTGGACCCTTCACCAGAGGTCTGGGTTGGTCCCCTGCGGAGGTTGAAGTTTTTCTGATTCAAGTACGGAAGGGTTTGCTGGACCCTTCTGTTCACTCTTTTGTTTACTTTCACTCTCTTTCAGCTCAGAAACTAGAGGCTTGAGGGCGCCCAGATTATTAGAATAGGCGCAACTTGACACTTAATATAACAGGATTATGGAAACGCCCTGGGAGCAGAACTCAAGAGCTCAGAAGAAGCGGAACTCTCGTGACAGAATGGCATATCTTGAAGATTTCTGGGACTCAGAAGAACAGTCAAGATGTATTCGTTAAGTCAAAGAGGATATCACACGGTAATTCAGTAAGTAGTATAGGAATGGTGTTCTGACCACAGACAAAGTAGTATTTTGTCAACAGCATCATCAGCATCACTCATTGTCCTTCTAGATACTGCCTAACAGCCTGAATTAGACTCGAGGTTCAACAGTATCTCAACAACATCAAACCACAGCAGAGATTACTACAGAGATCTAACAGGGTTGATGATAAGCTGTGGAAGTGGCTTGAAGCACCAGTGGTTAAGACGGAAACACCAGAGTAATGCTGGATTGACAATCAAGAGCCGTGTCCTTGAGTAAGCCAATTGGCACTTGAAGTCCTTGCTATACCAAGCAAAAGCGTTTTGTTACTGGGAAGCTCTTGATAACCTCACAAAGGCAACGCATGGCAGCAGGTATAATAGAAGAGATTGAACTACTGAAAAGTTGGACGACAACTGGTAAAGTGACCTTCGGGATGACATGATTCAATGTTGTTTGGTCTGATATCTAACAGTGAAGAGTTGGGTGGTAGTAATGGGGTATAAATTCTTGGATGTTCTTTCAACATGATGGGTCTCACGTTGCAGAGACGGGCACACCCTTGGAGATGGGACTCCCATCCCCAAGACCCACTCGCGACCCTTCAGTTTTCTGGGGTGTAAAAAAAAGACCTACGGGATGGGGTGGCGATGTCATTATGTAGGCTGGGAATAGCCTCATATCATATATAGAGGTGAGGATGTGGATGTGGACGGGAATAGGTATATGATGGTAACCAACAAACCCAACCAATTATTGAAATGAAAGTATGAAAGTAGCAATCCAACCAACCATCCATTGCTTTGCGATAGAATGAACCAACCAAGTGTGGTGCCAAAGTTGGGTTGGTTGCTCTGAGTGAAATGCTGCCCGCTGTATCTACTTCGTTCCCCTCTGAGCATCGAACCGTCGATAGGTGGTTTGAGGTAAACGTAATCCTCATTATCAGATCCAACGAACCTTAAATGGGCCCAGTCGTTAGAGTAATTAGTTAATTAGATGAATACAGAGATGGAATCCTTCAGAAGGCTCCCATCATTAAGAAGAGAGATAAGACGGGGACGTAGTTTCGTTGGGGTATCTCAGCGTTGTATCGCGGGCAACTATCATGGATTCCATCATCATACGTAATGCATTTAGAAGGGGTGAGAAGCATAGAGAGCTATACATCAGGGAATGACGATGGAACATGAAATAATGACAACCGTAACAAAAAGACCACGGAAACAAGAAGATAAGACCCCCGAGCTCATTCGAAATCCGGTAATAAGCCAGGAATGTACAATTGGACATTAAAACCAGGCGGCATTCAAAGGAAGAGGTTACTGTGTATTGTCACAGCATATGTATCTGTCTGGCCGGAGGCCCGGTAATATGTACATTTAAAGCGTACCATGAATGTTTCGGGTTTCTCGGTAACTTTGATCCCAGGACAATTGCACTCGGTCCTTCTTGGAACTACTCATCTTTCTGGCCCAGACGTATTGCGACGTACTCCAACACCATGAGCCATGTCTCATGGCAGAAATCGTCAGAACCGCTGATAGAATGCCAGTCATTGTTGACCCAGCTGAGGTCGTCAGACCGGAGGATGTCAACGCGCACAGCCCTGGTCTGCTCAGTCGAGGGCTTGAGGCATTCGTCGGGAATCCTTGATGCAGGCCGTATCCCTCCAAAGTTCTCCCCATCTGCCGTCTCTTTCATGTTGTAGTAGACCTGATTGCCGGGCACGATATACCGGAAATGTCTTCCTCGACTGCCATGATACTTGAAGTTACCGACCCAGAAGGAGGCATGCAGAGTGACAATAAAGATTGTATCGAGGTTTGGGAACCGAAGGCGGGGGAGGGGTACTGGTCCTTGCCGTTCGGGGCCCCATTTCAGTTTGCGGTTCCTTAAAGAGGGGTCCATCTCCATCCGACGGGAAGGATTGAGGTCGTAGAGTTGTACGTTGCGAACCTGCTCTCTGGCAGGCTGGGTTAAAGCAGGTACGTCAATAAGGGCTCCAACCGGGCAGCGGGCAAAAAGCAGCATCCCTTCCAGTCCGCCAGAAGATTTCAAAGCTGATCCTGTCTCTGTGGCAGTGCCGATGATAAGAGTGTCGACCCGGGAGTTGAAGTAGACATGGTCTTCGACGGTACCCTTATCAGCTTGTATGCTGCTGGAATAGTTATGGGTGTCATCGTGAAGGCGGATGTAGAGCCGAAGGAACTCTTGACGGCTCTCACGGTTGACGGCGGAAATTACGGGTAGCCCGCTTCGGCAGGCAAGCAGTTCTCGGTTTGGGGACACTGTGACGAGCCGGCCTTGATTTGTGAGGGTGGTGCGCCATACCTTGAGTCGCAGTTCTTTTGGCAGTGCGGGAAAAAGTTCGAATGTGGACATTGTTTACGCAGAATCTATCTTTTTTTTGTACACTCTTATATTGTGCGAAAACTGGGTAGGCTTTTCCAATGGGAAACAAGAAGCAATTTGGAGCGGCTGTGAGGTGAAAAACGAGGTGAAGAGTGAAATAATGGCTGTGAGGTGAAAACCGTGGGGCGAGGAGACGCAGAGACGTGGGTAGAAGACATCAGGAGTCGGTCCCATCCTTTTTGGCGTCAACCTAGTCGTCCTATCATGGAAGATTTGCTATTTGGTCTCTGATTGTTTGCCAAGCACATTGATCTATCCGTAAATCTCTTTTCTATACCATTTTTGGCTCCCAGTTCATGTGTTGAGGCAGCATAACTTACCATTGTCGTTTCATGCCTAAAACTTGCTGAAGATTCCTTCCTATTGGTCATAGAAGGGCGTTACTTGTTCAATTGGGATCAGACGAACTCTCCCAGAATTGCGTTTCAAACACATTCGGGCTGTGTCTGCAACACCTTATGCTACCACAACACACCAGATGGTATTTTGATTGGATAAAGTCACAACAAGAGAAAAGCAGAGACCATCTACTGGTTCAAGGCCAGCGACACATGGTCTCAGATGACCAGCGACTGCATAAACCAAAATTCTCCTATTACCAAACGAAACGAAACCTGGGATCATAAGATGAAATGCTTGTGTCTTGTATCTATTTAATGATGTAACGTCCGTTGTTCGTGACTTCTGTCTATGGTTCCCCAAAACTCAAAAACGCAACCCTGGAATCTGAAAATCGCTCCTCAAGCACCTGCAGCTTCGCAACTATCTTTCTCCTATATCTCCAGTTTGACTTATGAGAAATCCTCTTTGCATCGCAACCTCCCAGACGACTCAGACCCCGACGTCGCGGCCCATCTTGATGCCAACCTTCACCAATTTGCCGACCTTTCGCTTCTTCATCTGAGGCTCAGGCTCAGACTCAGACTCGCCCAGGCCGTCGGCCTTGCGCTCCTCTGCAGCTGCCTCCTCAGCCATTTTCTTCTTTTCTTCGCGCCGCTCCTTCTTCAGTTTGGCTGTTTCTCTCTTGAAGTCCAGGTCATTGAGAGCTTCCCTCTCGAACGTGCCATCTGGATCGAGTGTCTTCTTATCCTCTTCCCAATTCAAGTAATTAGTGATACTTTCTTCAGGGATAGAACATTCAATGAGGAATTCATTGTCGAAGTAAGGCCTGTCATCTTTGTGCAGTTTCAGTTGGCGAATCAAGGACCTGACCTCCCACAATCTCTGAATGTTGTTGTTCCAACCTGGGCCGCTTGTTTTGAATTTGATGATTCTGATACCAGTGAAACCCCGAGCCGCATACATGGAGGCGATTCGCATTACTTTGTCCCAGCTGTTGGTTGCTGATAGAAACGGGCTTGGTTCTCTGCAGCGCCAGCGCAGATGCTTTTGTAGATGAAGTTGAAAAAAGATTGGGTCGCTTCCACGTCCCAACCTGGACGTGATACCCTTTCCGGGCTGGTCTCCATGGATGACTCGGTACAGTTTTGGCGGACGCATGAACTCATGAAATCTGTAGAGCTTGTGGGAACTCGAGACTAGCGCCATGCCATTGGCGGCGCCGTGGTTGCGGGAAGTGCTAATGAATCTCAAGTGGTTGGGAAAGGCATTCATGATGGTTTGATAGGATTCTAACTTTACTCGGAGGACCCGTGGTATGTTTTCTGTCGTGTTCTTTGTGAGCCATCCTAGAATTTCGTCTGAATCGTTATCTGATATCTTTTCAACAGACGGTCTGTATCGAGCGACTTTGAAAACTGCCGAAGGAACTGAAGCCATGAATGCGATAGTTGAAGTGGCTGTGAAATGTGACGTATCCAAGAGATGTAGCTGTAGATAGCCTCGAGTTTAGTAGATTATGTCGCAGAACCTGTTCGTCCAAGTCAGAAAGTTTGGTTAAAATATCAGATAGGGATTATACCATACAGCTGTTAGGTTTGTTTCCAAGGAAGCCAGTGACTCAAAGTGGTGGTTGACTGTGAGAAGTTTGAAAGCAACTGGGTTACGAAGAGGGAATTGAATAGTCCTTCTGTTGCCCATAGCAGTTTGAAGTCTGAGGCAAGAACTACCTACAGAAACATGCTTTTTTCTTCTTCTTTTGCCTCTTTGGAGATTTATGCTGCTGTATGTCGCATAAGGAAAGTAAAATGTGAAAGTAGAATGGAAAGGTGAATATGGGAAGGTGAAGATAGGAAGGTGAAGGGGCTTGGCGGAAAACTGACAAGGCAGGTTGGAATTTACACGTGAAAACACATGAGCTTACGCAGTAAGAGTGGCAACCAAAGGCGTTACACAGCTAGAAAGGCATAGATTGTATGATAAATGGTCACCTAAGTAGCATTCAAGAAATAGCTAGTATGATCTTGTTATCTAACCGCCTTCTCTCCTGTATTTCTCGGAATGCCATATCACGTATAAGCACGGGCCATTTTACTGTTTACAAGCACCACTCTCGCTCGTTCAATGTGGTTCGAATAACGAAACACCACTCGAGGCCGAACATATCTATGAGGTGAGGTCTTCCCTCGACTCATCAACAACCCATCTTTTCGATCCATTAAAGCCTGTCTTATCTTATACGTAATCATCTATCAGACGTTAACGACATACTTGGCTGAAATTCTTCATATAAAACTTATTCGCGTCTTCATCACTGTTCATGTGGAGAAGTTTCAACCATTAGAGGACAGCTTAGCTTGAAATTGCCAACCAGTACTTCAGTTGGATAAAGAGGTGAGGCAAATGATCCGTAAAGACAGGCTGGATTCTGATAGACTTGTATCCGTCGAGAATCTGAACGCATTCATGGGAGACTTGACAACGCAGACCTTGCCGGAAGACGGTGAGCATCGGAACGTGACGCCAATGAGAAAACCAGTAAGAAAACACCTCTCAAAGCCCCGTTTACAAAGGCCTGGAAACCATGGTCGAAGGCGAAAAGCTTTGTGATCCAGATAGCCACCAGGTTGGAGAAGTAAAGGCAAGTAAGTCGGTCAACACTAAACGCTTCTGAGCACCGTACATCAACTCTCAGATCATTTCCCCTGATACCACTTTACATGCGGCATATGAAATCGAAAGCATGAGGTTGTACGTGTCGAACTTACTCTCGAGCAAACTGATGTAACAAAGGTACGTTGACTATGTCTCCGAGGACATACTGATCCAGCTCTGTCTGCGACAGGCCTGTGTCGCTGGTGTTTGCCTCGTATTTGACGACTGTTCCGAAGACATGGCTGTCCATGCGTGGATTTAGATGAAGATTTCTCTAGCTTTCCGTTTAGGTGGGGTCAGAAGGTCGAAGAGACCGATACAAGTTCGCGAAAACTCCTGCCGGCTTTCATGACTGACTGTTTACATGATAGGAAGTATTGTGTTCCTTCATGCAAAGACATCGCGATTGGGCGCCACGTTTACGCATCGGGGTTCTTCGTCTTGCGTTATGTTTTCCAGATCCTAGGCGTCATTCCACAGAAGAGTGCTGAAATAAGTGAAGGAAAACAAATCGGATGACATAACTGCTGCAGGAGGTCCTTCTTATCACCTAATCACCTAGAGTAATTGTTAGCATGGCCGAAGATTACAGCCTACAAAGGCCAAGAAGGTAACTACGATCCAAAGGCAGTCAATCATCATTTTGACTGAGAGGTTGAGTAGACACAACTATACAATTATTTGGACTTCACTGACGTAGTTTCAGAGTAAAGCGGTTGGGCTCGCTTTGTGATCATCATAGTCCTAAAGACCAAGTACTAGACTACATGAAAGCTTCTTTGTTTAGAGTTGATATCATCTGAAGGGACTGATAGATGAAATTATAGCTTTCACTTTATTGGTCATTCGCAGTCGTTTGCTAGAGCTCCTCACTTTTCATTCGAAAGGCATCGTGAAAAATCAACATTGCCTTCATTCAGGTTGTTTTACCAGAATTATGCCTTGTTACAAGGTTGTCCATTTAAAGAGCAATATCGTTCTATCAACGCAAGCTCAGGGGCTCCTGAATTCAGGGACCCTCTAGGCAAATTTCAAACGGCTCTCGTCCCAATCAGGTCTTAAGGACTTGCTGTCAAAGTTCATGTCAAAACTGGAAGTGTGAACGTAGTCAGCCTGCCACTCAATCTTCAACTCAGCACCCTCAGCAGCCTGGCTCCAAATAGTGACGGCAATGGTGTTCTCTCCATTGTAGTTGAGAATGCCAGTTGGAATGGGGAAGTGAATCTGGTTGCCGATGTACGGGTTGAAGCGGCCATACTGATATCCATTGACGAAGAGAAGAGCGCGTAGGCGGTTGTTATCGTTCGACGCAGCAGTAAGGCGAAAAGATATGGAGACATCGAGACCGGCAGGAACGTCCAGAGGAACGACAGTGCGGAAGATGCGGATGCCGGAATCGGGAACTGAAAGGGATCCATTGGCAGAGGAGAAAGACTCCCAGTCTTCATCGGGGTAGCCAGGTAGATGGGCTCCAACTCGCTCGGCGTACAGTCCACCCTCGTTGATGGGGCCGCGAACGGTATCGATCAGATCGTTTCGGCCTGCGGTACCAGCGATCTTCCATTCCGAGAACTTATAGCTCTGCGCGTCGGGACCAAGGAGAGTCGCGTTGGAGATACCACGAGGGGCGAGGGCTGCTTCACGCAGGTCGTGGCCAGAGTTATCCATGATCACGACCAGGAAGTTGTCTCCGCTCTCGTTAAGGGTAGCGTTCTTGAAAGAGAAATTTTGGGCGTTCGCCCCGAGGTAGGAAAGACCAAGGTATGAGCCAACGTAGTCCGAGTTCAACCAGACAGAGTAGCCAAAAGCCAGACCACCAGTGACGTTGAGAAAGACGCCAGTTGGGGCATTCTCTCCGGATGCAAACGTGGCGCGATAGATGTGGTTTCCGACGTGGATATCGTACTCATCCACATAGAGAATGGGGTTGTTGGAGGCTGGTTTGACGGTGTTGGAAGTGTTGGTCTTGTCGGCAACTGAACGCATGTTAGAGTCTACCTAGCAAAGAAAATGAGGAAATGAATTAATACATACCAACCCAGCTATCAGAAGTGGCCTTGTAATCAGTGGCAATCTCGGGCAAGCTGTCATGAACCTTCCAAGGGCCCAGAGAAGGCACCTCGAATTTGGCAGGGCCTTCGATCTTAGCCGTGAAAGTGTTTCCATCTCTCGAGACGATTTCAACCTTCTTGCCATTCCAGGTGATGGAGCAAAGGGAGGCGGAAGCGAAAACGGTGATGGTTGTCTCCTTGTCAGCGTCTCCGCTAAGGGCCAAGCTGCGACCTGTCTTGTTGAAAGAGGCAGAGCGGACCAGGTACGGGCCCTGGACGAACACTTCAAGATATTTAGCAGGGCTTTTCGATCTACGTCTCCCGAATTGAGCTTACCAGTGTTGTTGGTCGGCGCAGAAGGGTCGTTGTCAAGAGTCGGGACCCAGAAGAGGTAAGCGGCGCTGCGGTCCATGAGAACGGCGCGAGATTCGTCGCCGAGATCAACCAATGTGATACCCTTCTTCTGGGTGTAAGCAATAGTGACGTTGCTTTCGCCTGGGTAGACGCCGAAATCGCCAACGTTGGTCTCTCCGACGATCTCGGCAGAGTTGACACCGGTAACAGTAAACTCGCCGGACTCGCCCTCGGGAAGCCAGAAAGCAATGACTTCCTGGCCGTCAACAACGGTGTAACTAAGAACCTCGACAGTGGAGTAGAGAAGTGTCTTCTCGCCAAACGCAAAGTCGGTGACGAGAACCTTAGCCTGGTGGCCGTTGATAGCGATGGAGCTGCCATGCTGAGGGATGGTAACTTATGCTGAAGTCAATATTGATTTCATATCGTCCAGAGAGTAAGGAATAGGTGGGACTTACAAGACCCCTCGGAGGTCTTGACCGAAAGCTTGAAGGCCTCGTTCGTGTTGGACGGCGTGTAGGCGTGGCGGACAACGTAGAATGCAGCATTGTTGTCGACATTGCGGAGCTCAGATGTGCTGATCGCTGCGTTGTTTGTGTACCCGGTACCCTGGATGCAAGTTAGTATCATAACCTTTTCGGGTTTCTAGTCAACTTACGTTTCCGACTCTCTCAGTCTTTGTTAGGTCCTTGGCCACTGGAAAGTTGTTAGTGTTGCTATGTTTTCTCACACTGGGAGTCAATATCTATACCTCTGGTGAAAAGAGTTAAGAGTTTTGTTTCGTAAAATTTGCTACCGATGATTCTGTTCTCAGACACTGGAGAAGAGTAGTCGTAACTCGATGCTGTTCCGCCAAGTCAGTATCCCGGTGGCCTAGTTCGATGCATGATCAAGCTAAACTTACCAACAACAGGGCAGGCAAGCCATCCCCAGTTAGTGCCGCCGAACATCATGTAAAGGGAGATCGCAGTGACCCTCTGGTAAATGAGATCGCGGTAGAAAATGTTGGCAAAGTCAGCACCAATGTCGCCGGGACAACCTCCCTCGGGTCCGCCCCAGGGGTTGTATGAGCCTCCTTGGAACTCTGGCAGGAAGTTCGGTTGCGACCTGAACTGTTGTTAGTGGCATCAATTGACTCGTGGCTCAAAGCACGTACGGAGACTGAATGGTGAAGTAGCTTTTCAAAGCCTTGTTAGTCACAGTTCACCAAGTAAATGTCATGATCCATCTTACGTGTAGTAGTCCTGAGTTAACTACAATCAAGCTGGTTAGTCAAACCGCTGAAGTAAGAGTATTTGATGATCAAATAGTCACTCACGTAGGGAATGTACTGTCCGTTGGTACCCGTGCACTCGCTCAAATTGCAACTCCAACAAGAAGGGTAGCTATCCACACCGACAACATCAACATTTCCAGTAGCATTGGAAAAGTCTTTCGACCAGGAGAAGCCTCGCTTCGGACTGTCAGCGAATGGATTCGACACCAAGGCAGCCTCTTTAGATGAATCCTACCATGTTGGGCGCATTGTGGGCCAGAGGGACATCAATGCCGTTCTCGCGCGCGCTGTCCTGAAGAAGCTGCATGTAGTTTGCAATGGGTGGGTTCAAAACTCTGTTTGGGATATCTTTCCACTGTCCGTTGAGTTCGTTTTCGATCTGAGCTCCCAGTTAGCGTATGTGATCACCGTCACTTCGGGAACCAGGACCTCTGTACCTGGAACATGAGGACGTTTCCGCCGTTCGTGACCAGATGCGGGGTGACAATCTTGGAGATTTCCGACCAGTAAGGTGTCCATGCCTCGGTGTATCTCGGGTCGTCGTTTCTCAAAGAGCCGTACTCGCCGGTCGTGAGCCAAAGGGGGAAACCGCCAGCATTGGTTTCAGCGTTAACGTATGGTCCAGGTCTGATGATGAGATAGATGCCGAGTTCCTTGGCCACAGTCATGATGGACGTGAAGTTGTGAGCTCCAGTGTCGAAGTCCAAAACACCGGGCGTGGGGTTATGGTAACCCCAGTGGTTGTAGATGGAAAATGCATTGAAGCTGCCTAGCCGTCAGTCTCGTCGCCAATAATTTGTTCTCTCTGACGTCTTACCCGGCTGCTTTGACCTTCTCGAGAAGGTCACGCCAAAGTTCAGGGCTTTGTTATGTCAGTCTAGCACGTGTGTAATGACGCTGGGTTACAAACACTGGGATACGCCAGTAGTGGAACTGAGAAGAGTTAGTTTGATTGGCCTTAGTGTCAGACAGACAGGATTTCTTACTTCGCCAGAGAAGACAAAGAGTCTCTCGCCATTCACAATGTAGCTATGGTGGTCCCTGCATGAAGCTACATCAGTATCAACCTTCATGTAGCATCTGTCACATTCAGGATCATCTCGAAATTACCATTGGACAACTTCGTTGAGACCGTTGTCATGGATCGGCCAGTCAACTTCTTGAGCCGAAGCGCCTTGCGACCCGCAGAGCGAGGCAGCGAGCCAAAGAAGGCCGCTGACTTTCAAGCCCAGTCTCATCATGGCGCTATTATGTTGCTGAAACTTGATTCAATGCAACACGATAGGCGAAAAGTGAAGCTACCAGCCAATTGGCGAGACTGCGCAGAAAAGGCTACTGCACCGCGCATCTTTAAAGGCAAACATACTTCGATGGCGGGCACCCTGGTCCCATCGTGTATGTCCTGGATTTAGCGTAGTATCCGGACAAATGTCCTCGGTGTTGAACGAGCCGACAACTGCGGGGAACGATGAGGGGAACTTGGGGAGAAAGCTGACGATCTGCCCCCCCAGTCTTCCCCCGCGATTTTGCTAACCGCAGCAATCATCGAGGCAGTCAAATCCTGATGTCATGGACTGTTTGCAGCACCCGCCGGCTCCTGCAGTAGCGTATCGAAAATTTCGACGGTTCATTTAGCCGATTTTTTCACCGACAGCCTTGGTATCATATCGCGTCGTGCTTCAGTGGTCCGCGTAGTAGTGTCTCTGCAAAGGAGTCTCCGCTTTGGCAGCCAACACGGTCCGATACTGCGTCGCAACATCATGGGCCGATGGCCACTTTTTATGTCATTCCGGGAGGAGCCGAGGTATTGAAACACAAACATGCTTAAAGGTTCGGGTTACGTCAGCAACATGGTCGCAAAGTCATCAGATCCAGCTTCAAGACGGCGTATCGAGGCGCAATATCAGCGAATTATCATTAGACTTGCATGTACTGTGTTCCTCGTAAAGCGCAGTGTTTGTACGGCTCCTGGTGCCGTCATCGCGTAACTATGTATGAAAGACTAACAGCGTTGGCAATCGCGTCGTCTATGCACGAGACTTGCCTCATCAAATGTGATGAAGCCCATATAGCCCAAAGCGTAATGACCTGGGATCGGAATCAACGAGGCTTTACGTTTGTCGGGTTTGACCAAAGCCACCTGCAGATGAATATTTTGTAATTTGCTTTACTGGAAGTTTTCGGATTAAAACCAACCTTGTTTGCACTAACCAGTACTCGCACGCGAAAATGGTGTCCTGGCATATGCATTTGGGTCGCTTGGCTTTTAAAGAGCACCGGCTCAACTATAATGGAACCCGTCAAACTCAACAGGTGCCTGAATACAAAGCCAAGGAACCGCGGCGCGAAATTAGAAATACAAGCCATATAGTAGGGTGCTAGTTACATCGGGGTCCAGTTTGCTCGCTGCAACAGTTTCTCAACCCGTGTTTCCATTCATCAGACTCTTAGCAAGCCGGAGTCGCGATAGCAAACACTGTCCTGCAGCCAATCTGGTTGCAGACATCAGCCTGCCCGCACTCGAAGTTAACCGTCGTCGTAGACAAAGCACTAGGGCAGCCACAAGACTTAGTGATGGTCGATGTGGTGGTACATTGGGCAACGAAGCAGCTCTTGCAGACTGTGCCCGTAGCGGTGATCTTGGGACAGCTGACCGAAGAGCAGGGAGCCGTAGTTGTCTTTGTGGTTATTTGAGTGGCAACTGCCGTCACGGTCGAAGTCTCGCGGATGGTCGTCAGCGAAGTAACGATTGCCGTCGTGGCAGTTACAATCGTGGCAGTTTTGGCCGTCGTGATGACCTCGGTTGTGGTGCTGACAGCAACTTCGGTTACTGTTTTTGTGAAAGTGACAGTCTTCGTGCGGTCAATCGTGGATGGTGTAAGAGTGATGACCTGGCCCCAGGCTCCTCTATGTTCTGTTAGCCACAGTTGGTGTGAGGGTAAAGAGACCGACAAATTCAGAAGGCCCAGGAGGAGAGTAAGTAGCTGAAGTGTGTGCATTTTTGTAGGCTGGCCGGAGATCAGTATCCGCTTGCTGTCAGTATCGCAATGATGATTGATGAAAGTTTGGTGTCTCCAAAGGGATAGTGACGAGACCTTGGAACCATTTATACACGTATCGTCCTTAGCAAATGAGTTGTGAGCAACTTGGTATACAAACATTATCAATTAGGCTCAACCTGCTATGAACTTTATCAATGCTCCGGTAATATGCGTGAAGGGGTTGACCAGAAGGCGTTCAGGCATGTGTTTACCCGGGTCCAAAAGGAGATGCGATGTGACTCAACCGGCTGGGTAAATCTGGTACAGCTGAGCGAAAAGGCTCTAAAATAAGATGAAATTTTATTACTGGCACAGCTGAGATAATGCTCTATGCCGAGGCGAGGGCCATTGCGTGGCGGCTGAAAGTCGAGACAATTCCAGTAAACGAATGCAACGATGCAGACCCAATGACACCTATTGATTTAAGTGAACGCACCCGATCTGGTAATACGGAACTATATAACAATTCAAGCTTGCATCGCTTGGATACGCTGTGAAAGACGCCCGACACAGACAAGACAATCTAATTCAAGTGAATCCATGGACTGGAATCAAAAAGTCCCAGATTTATGGAACGATTCTTGCAGACTTGTTTGGCTTATCTGAGTCAGCAATAATGCTGAAAGATTATTTGCACATCTTGCACAATATGCTGAATTACCAATTGGAAGATGAAAGAAAATAACTTGGACGGTTTTCAAGACCCTTCAAACGCAGGGAATCAGGTTATAATTTATTGTCAAACTATGGGGGGGGTTTTTTTTGGCTGATTATAGTTCGTTTGGCGGTTGGCCTCTTCAACACCTCCAAGAGGTGATCTGGTTATCGTACTCAACGGTACGAGGGTCATCCGGGAGGGCAACAGCCAGGTTGTAGTTGTAAGAAGAGGTGAGTCCGCGGTCATCACCCTTGTTGTCGCAGCCCTTGAACCTGTTGGAGAAAATGTTAGCACATAGATTCAAGCGATACATGTTTTGGTACGTACTTGTAGAACTGGCACTTGCCACCGGTGTTGGTGGACAGAGATGTGACTTTGTCGTTGAAAGCGTCGCTAATTACCGTAGAGTTGGCAGGCTGGTAGTCAAAGTAGGAGACTATACGAGTCACTTTAGTAACCAAGTCTGTGTTGTGAAATAACGTCAAGACTCACCACAATCGCCGGGGCTGGAACCAAAAACAAGGCAGTCACCACGGAAACCCTGAATTTCATTAGCGATTGTTCAAGCCGAACTAGGATAGAGTCCGACTCACTGCATCGGTGCACTGAAGCAGAAAGATTAGGTCAGGGTTGGTCTCGTTGCGATTCGGGTCAGGCTCGGCCTCCTGGCGAGCCTTTAGGTTTACCGTAGAGACAACCCCGGCCTTCTGGAACTGTTCAAAGGCGGCAGAATTCATGACACTGTTGGCAATCGTGAAACCTTGGACAGAACCAGTGTTGCGCTGGGCAAGTGGGTTGCTGACAGCGGCAGACATGACGCTGGTGGCGGCAGTCGCAGCGATGACGAGGACGCTGAAGCTCTTCATGTTGACATATGGGTGTTGGAAGCGAGTGATTTCCGTATTCGTAAAAGAATGACTTTCTCAAAGCGATCGATGGCCGACGGATCCTACCACTCTCTTAACGTCTGACGTCGGGGTAGATACCTGACTCTCCGACTGATAATGGTTGCTCTGCTCGATTTGGTTGTATCCAGCCCTGGAATTGATCTTCATTTCTGATCAGCCTTTATATTCAACGATCTTTGCGCTCTCAGGAAAGCATCGACGCCGTAGTCGATGCAGACTATCTAGAAGTTTACCCAACATTTCCCTCAGACTACTCGAAACTCCGCTTGTAATTACCTCTGACATTTGGGGAAGGAGGGATTTGGCTGCTAGAAAGCCAGTTTCAATTCGCTCAAATCTGATGTAAAGATGCTGCATAAGGCCGATATTGTAGGTTGGTTCTATAGATCAAGACTATTCTGGAGACCTATGTGCCAAAGACCAAACTATCCGAGGTTGTTTTTCTGTTCTTTGATTCAAATCCTAGCTAAGTCCACAAGTGAGTCTTTCATGGACGGCTCATTGACGGCCGGCTCTCAGAAACGAAATGATGGACCCGTATAGTAAAATCATGATTTTTACTGTTGACTTTGTATGAATGGTTTGCGAGAACACTGTTTCATCGACAAAATGAAGTGACGAGGCACATATGGAGTGAAACGTAAACTTGCTTCGCACGAGGCTCGAACAGCCCGTGGCGACAAGTTGAGACTGCAAGCAAATATACACGGCGCATTTTTTACCAGTAATTAAACTCTAATGGTGGCAACATAAGTAGTTGTTGAGGGAAAAAAGAAAGAAAGAAGATGAAGGAGGGACGTTCGAATTGTATCGTCGCAGGTGTATCAGATCAGTATTTGAGAACGAAATCAGACTGGGGCCTGAGTTATTACGTACAAAACTGCATTGATTGATTATAGATTCAAGTCGCCTATAGGCGTCCTTTACTATGTGCCGTTCGTCTTTTGTTCCAGTCTCCCTTACACAGGATGGAACCAACTCTTGCATTCCGATATGTGTTGTTCCAGAAGTTTGATTTAAAGTATGTTCTAAACTAGTCTAGTTCATCTTGTCTGTCTCAATTATTGTGCGAATGTTGTTAAACAATAAGAGTACTATTTCTCTAGATCAAATCGACCGATTAAGTAAACTTAAACTTATTTGACTCCAACATGAAATACTAGATTGCCGCTTGGGCTGTTAGGTTGACAATCCTAGTCACGAAAATCAGTCTTTGAGCTAACAAAAACAATCGCACGAAGACAATGAGCTAGGTCTTGTGAGCCATCTAACGAGGGTGTAAGACCTTTAGTAGTGTGTCTGACCTAGTGTAATCATTGCAACTTTTAAACCAGCTGCTTCTTGGATAAAAAGAAGCATGTTTGGCCACAAAGTAATGGCTCGACAACTTAGGAAAAAGGGGAGCACTATGGCTAAATAGCTTTGAGTTGCATCGCTATGGCAGGCCGGCCGAATGACCACAGTACGCTAGGTGGATTCTTGCGAAGTAAAAATTGAAGATTCTACGCAGAGATGGGAAGAGGGCTCAAAAGAACTGGGCCGATACTGATGAATAATCTTGCGGAGATATATGTCGGTATCACAACATTCATGTCATCCTGGCCCGAGGAGTTTCTACGCCAGGCGGGGAAGATAAGAGGAATTCGCCCTGAAACGGAGATCGGGCATCAGAGCTGAAGCCAGGTGCGTGTAATTGTTACGATTTACGGATCTGACGAACTTAACCGAGACTGCGTCACGGATCGAATGAAATGGAAACGTGCCTCTGTTACATTGGGAGAACAGAAATCTGATAAAGAATCCCCATTTGCTACCGGGTTCCAAGGATTCGCTCAACGGTGATTAAGGCCCGAATAGGAAACACGTATTCTGAAGCCGTTGATTGGCTGCTTGGGCAGCCCCTGCAACCGGAAAGAAAGCCATGATTGGTCAATGTACGGAAAGGACTCCGACCCCTGAACGACAAGATCTTGCTCTCTTCCACATCAGCCTTGTCATCGGGTCACATAATCTCACCTCCGGAGGTTGACCTTGCTTCTGCCCTGGCTCCGAATTGTAGTCAAGACCAATATCCTTCCCAGGTGGTTGACTTGCTTTTTCATTCCATCGCCTCATCTACACACTCGTAGCCCGTTCCGAGCACCCATTTGCAGGAAAAAGAAGAAGAAATAAGCTGCGAAGATGGGCACCAAGGCGAAGTCCTATAAGCCTCAACTTGTCGTCAACGACACCGCAGCTGCACTAACACAGTCCCAACCACAAGCTCAATCGCTGAGAGACTTGCATTCACAGAGCCCCGGCTCTAAAGATGATCCCGCGTAAGTATGCACTTCTATGCGAGAGAGGGTTCATCAACAATACGAAAGTATGCTTGACGACTTGCGAGGCCCACTCTCAGACCGTTCTATTACTCGATACGGTTAAGGACCTGACACGAAAATTCAATCGACTCAAAGAAAGAATAAGATAGTGAAGTACCATGAATACATGACTAACTGACCGGGAACGTAGAACGCCACGAAACGGTCAAGTCTCGGTCTTTGCACTGACGAATCGGCCCAAACTAAGCCGCGCGAGCGCCCCAAAGAACCGAAATGGATGCAAGGAATGCAGGTACGCTTGAGGAAGCTCTCTTTTACTCTAATTCCATTCGCTCCACGAGATCACATGCAGGTTTGCTGCATCTAGTAGTAGTAGTACAAACAGTAGTCTCACGCAACCGATAGGCGACGCCACATTAAATGCGATTTGGCCAAACCGCACTGCATGAAATGCGTGAAGTCTAACCGACTCTGTGAGGGATACCTCGATTCAGGTATCCATGCCCTACCCCAATCTTGGGGCCAGGTACAATCTGTCACTCGCCCAGACGTACGAAGTAGCCGTCGAACTACGAACACCCGCATCCTGGTCGTCCCTGGATATGAAACTATCTTGTTTAGCCACCAGCAACAATGGGACTCGTTTCAGTCCTTCATCGTCGGTGCAGAGCAGGGCGGCACCGTTCTGAAGAATAAGTTGGCCGAGATGACGCCGCAGTATGCCCAGAATGAGATTGCCATCCGAGAGATCTGCTCTGGCATTGGAGCCCTCGGCAGGTCTCTATCTCCTGACGTTACCGGCACACTGGCGAGTACAGCATACCGTCAAGCCTTGGAGCACTACGGCCGCGCCGCCAATGCCGTGTTCAGCGTTAAAGCAACGACACGCGATCTGCCGAGCGTAGTCCTAACGTCGTTGCTGTTCACCACCTTTGAGATGGTGGCTGGAAATACCGAGTCCGCCTCGAAGCACCATAACCACTCCGTCGCCATGATGGAGCAGCACATCGACTTCAGGATCGAGAACGAGAAGGTCCCGTTCGAGAAGCTCAAATTCTCCCAGCTGGAGACGGCCGTGTTCGACTGGCTACTGAGACATGATACCCACCCATGGGCACTTAGCTTCGGCTCAGAGAGCATACGAATCATGGCCCCGGCACGGAAATTCCCGAACTGCAGACATAGGTGCACTATGCAGGACATGCCAGAAAGCTTTGCAACCATCTCCCAGGCCACATCTTGGTGGCACGTCACGCAGCACGCCATGCTGCACCGCCTCCACGAGCTCAAGATCAAGACCCCGGAGGCCCTTGAGGACAACGGCGCCTCCATCTGGAGAGAATGCGCCGATTTGCTGCAAACCTGGCGCGCGAGATTCGTCCCGCTGCTGCAAGCCTCTAGACAGCAACGTGATCGCGACTATCACCGCTGGTTCAGGGCCATGGCTCTCGAGGCCCTCTACGCCGAGTGCCTCTCAGCCATCTACGCCCGGCACAGGCTTGACACCAACGTCCTCCCGGCTGTGACGCCCTTGTACCTGGAAATTGTCCGGTACGCCATGCGAATGGCCAAAGAGCAGCGATTCAACGGCCTTGAGACGCTGGTCGTGGAGAACAACCTCGTTCGGCCGTTGGCGTGCGTACTGTACAAGTCGAAGGACCCGGAAGTCGTCCGGGAGGTAATGGGTTTACTGAAGGAGCTCGTCGGAGGCGTAGGCATAGCAGAATCATTGCTTTTCATGTTTGGGTGCCGGGAGAAGAAACTACCTTTGCGAGCGCTCGAGAGGGGTTGGGGTTGGTCTTTCACCTCGGCTGGGATTACTTCGGGTGCCAGCTTGCTCGAATACCTGGATTGAGCTGGGAACGTAAATAATGATAGATTTAGAGAAACATAAACCCACAACAATATGAAATTCATTCACACCAAGGCCTAATTGGTTTTGCAAGGCTCCGCGCGTCTGGGCATGCTCCAAAGAAGATGAGGACCTGCCCGCTCCCGAGCCCTTGTTCCGAACAGACACTCGGCCCTCAGATGCCAGCACACTATATAAATCCTTGATACCGGAGGTTCATTGTCGGTGGGCGTTTTTAATAACAGTCCCGCATATGATTCATTTCGATGTGTAACCATGCTAAAGGGTGCATCCGTACACTGACTCGGTAAGGTATAGGAACAACCCAATAAAGAGAGACAAAACGCGTCTCGATCCCCAATGGTTCTTTGCCGATATAGCACGCCAACTTCAAGTCCCCCACCGCGACGCCGGGCTCGGAGCTCAGCCACAGTGAGCCACCCGGTGTCCCCCGCGGCCGCGCAACCTCGACCCATCCGGAAGCGTCCGGTACTCTTCCGTCGAAGCCTATCTGCAGCCGGCCGATATAACGTAGATCGACATGGACTCCTTTGTGGATACTCAAAATACAATTCCTCCCTGTCATTGGGATCAATGGATGCGTTGAGATATTTCTCGGGTTTTTTGATGGTAATAGTTTCGCAGTTGCCAAGACATAAACAAAGTTCTCGATGCCGCTGCCCCACCAAATCTGGACGATCCCAACACCGCCAGCTTGGCCTTTGGCGACCGGGGCGACGATCACAAAGCACGAGGTTCGACCGCTCAAGTTCGTGGCAGGCGGTTGAGTTGAAGCCGTTATGGAAGTGTGGGATTCTCTATCATTTGCACAGTCATGGAAACAACCTAGCATGATTTGCCAAGGCGAGAAGATGGAGATATTCCAGCATAGGAGCCAGATCGCGCCCTCAAAATACATATAAATAGTGACTTCGTGCGCAATCGAGAGGAATCGTGTCGTTCAATCCGTAGTCCTGAGCCGCCTACGTCAAGTCGCAGTTGAGGCTTACCTCTCCCGTCGTCATGATGCTCTCTCATTTCATCACCGCCGCTTTGGCTTTGGCCACGGACACACTCGCCTCACCCATCGCGCGATCCAACGGGACCAAAAAGGACTGGGACCTTGACTGGATCTCTACCGATCCCTCCCTCCCCAAAGTCATGCAAGTCTCTCAGCCGACGCTGACCCTCAACGGCTATCGCTGACCTCCCACGCAGCATCTACAGCACAGGCGGTACGATCCTCTCCGCCTCCAACTACAGCCGCCTCGACAACATTGTGTACGGCTCCGGCGACAACCCTACACCCGAAGGTCTCATCAGCAATGTCCCCGAGGTCCTGAGCGTCGCTCAGCTTGCTGTCGTCTCTTTCCCGGCGGTCGAGGGCGGCAGCGCGGGGGTCAACTCGTCGCTGTATCTAAACATCAGCCAGCACGCAAACAGGCAGCTCTGCGTCGAGGGAAGCGACGTTGCCGGGGCGGTCATGTTCCATGGGACGGACACCCTCGAGGAGACGGTGAGTGGGGGGTCCGGTGGGAGTTGGAGGCGAGTGACTAATGAGGTCGGGAACAGACGTTCGGCGTCGACTTGACGTTCAACTGCTCCAAGCCGTTCGTGGCCACGGGGGCGATGCGGCCGGATACTTACGTGTCGCCGGATGGCTACGCGAACATCTACCAGGCCGTTGCCGCTGCTGCGTCGCCTTCCTCGCGTGATCGCGGCGGCCTCATTGCCTTCAACGACAGGTAAGTCTTACAGCCGTAGAAATCCACGATGTCTCGTGCATTCCTGGGAGGGCGTGTCGGTTAGCTGACTGGAACGCAGGATCACATCGGTGTACTACTCGACCAAGCTCAACGCCAACACGCCAGACACCTTCAAGGCGCTCGAGCAGGGCAACCTCGGCGCCTTCCTCGCGGGCCAGCCGTACTACTTCTTTGGCGCGGCGTATCCGACGGGACGGCCGCACTTTGATGTGACGAACACGACGGAGCTGCCTTCTGTAGCTGTTGTCTATTGTTATCGTGAGTTCTTACCGGATAAGATGTGACAGTAAAAAAGAGACTTTGAGCTCGGATGCTGATGGTGCTTGCAGAGGGCTTCGACGCGTCATTGATGTACGCAGCCGTCGAAAACGGCGCAAAGTAAGTTCAACTTGGCAGTCGAAGAAATTGGAAATGGCCAAGTAGCTAACCACGACCAGGGGTCTGGTGATCCTCGGACCCGGCGCGGCATCCGTTCCCCCCAGCGCTGCAGTCGTGGCCGCGGACCTCTTTGAGAAGGGGATTCCGACCGTCGCGGCCCCTCGCCCGGCCACCGGCGCCGGCGTCCCCCATCCCGTCCCCGGACCTCTGTACGTTTCTGGCCGTCTCACATCCTAAATTCAAAGCACTAACCTCGTCATGTAGCATCTACTCGAGCTACCTATCCGGCGAGCAGGCGCGCATCATGCTGCAGCTCGCCATCAACGCCGGATACGACCTGGAACAGGTCCGGGACTTGTTCGAGAGCCAGCTGAGGAGCGCTGTGTATGACCCTGCTGCAAACCAGAAATTCTATTATCCTTCTTGAGCAAGAAGACGGGAACGCGAAGTATAGTGTACAGTCTTGAGAAGAAGCGCCGTGGAGCTAGAAACATTGCCAATGGTAATACAGTAATCAAACATCATCTTGCACATGAAACACAGAATATCGCAGTTTCACGCCGTTTCCAAATCACATACTGCAAGACTTCTGAACATCAAAAGGGAGCCCAATTGCCATCATTGGAGTGCCTTTGTCGAGACGATGGATGCAGGGCCGGAAACACTGCAAGGCTGCCAGAGGTCAGAGCTGGTGAGGAGTGTCGATCAGGCAAGTTTTGGTCTGTCTGCTGGGAAACTGGAAGACGCATCTAAGCCAAATGAAAGTAGTCTAGAGAGTAATTACGTCAGGATGTGCGGTCGATTTTTGTACGTCCAGATACATAAATTTGTATGTACAAGATAGGATGGACGACGAAGAGACTATGTATCGTTGAAGGCGCCTTCGGACTTCACCTTTCGACATGAACCAAAGTTTCGGTCGCCTTTGGGAGGTGACCTCCTCTTCTCGGTGGCAAGGACGAGGGACTCAGCCAGGGGCTCCTGGCCGTTGCCCGACCCGCCGAGCAGGGCGGCCGACTTACCTCGCGGGCCTGCTAAGAAGCGGCTCTTGGTCGCCGCCCTCGTGGGTCGCCCGCTGCTTGTCCTTGTTGCTGTAGGGCCAGTAGCCCTTTTCTTTGCAGATCATGACGAAGAAGCCCGTGGCGACGGCGACCCAGTACAGGTTGTACGAGACGACGGAGCCGACGGTGGCCGAGTTCTGCCAGCCCAGGACGGCGTTGAAGATGCCCCAGAAGCCGCCGCCGTTGAGGTCGGGGTTGCAGCACTGCCGGTTGTTAGGGAGTACTCTGGCAAGTTGGGGGGGGGATTTGGGTCAGGGGTGCTCACGTTCACGTGCCAGACGCTTCTCCGGATGTCGTAGGACCCGGGGCCAGAGCCGAGCTCCGCCGCGTCGCCTCCGACAATCTTGTTCCACTTCACGGCATGTTAGTTCGCTCCGAGAGGTCCGTTGAGAGGGGGTCACATACCTCGTTTTGCTCAAAGTGCCACACGCCCTTGGAAAACAGACCGGCGGCAATGAGGTACAGGAAGCAAGTCGACACAATGAGGAACACCTGGATGGGCGCAGTCTTGGAGCCCCTGCAAAGAGAATGAGCGCATGGTACCACAGCATTTGGCTGGTGTCAAGACTCACCTGTAGATAAAGTAGCCGACAACGGCGCCAAGCGTAAGGCCGAGGACGGCCGAAATGGCGATGGAAGCGGCCGTCTCGCTCACGCCGACGCCGGCGATGAAGAGCACGCCCTCGAAACCTTCGCGCAGGACGGTGATGAAAGGCAGCAGGAACAGCGCATACTTCTCGCCCAGGTACTTGAGGCGGTCGCGGAAGGGGCCGGAGTGGCTCTCGCTCGCGTTCAGGGCCTTGGACAGCTTGACGCGCCACTTGTCCTGGAGCTTGGTGACGCGCAGCAGCACGGCGCCCATGGCGGTGATGATGAGGGATGCGCCGAGCGAGAAGATGCCCTCCCAGATGCTCTCGGCGGCGGCGAACTGCTCGGCGCCTAGGCTGTGGATGCCGCTGATGATGGCCATGGCGATGAGGACGCAGGTGGCGAGGCCGGTGGCGGTGCCGAGCCAGACCTGCCTCTCCATCTTCTGCTGGAGGACGGGGTCATCTTTGGTGGCGAGGGTGCGCTTGATGAAGGCGAGGAGGACGGAGACGATGATGGCGGTCTCGAGGGACTCGCGGAAGGTGATGAAGAAGACTGGACGTTTGTTAGTGAGGGCCGGGGAGGTGAGGTGAGGTTGTTGGCGGCTCTCGTACTGGGGAGGGAGAATAGGTCCTCCATTGTGAGCGGACACGACGTGTGACTCGATACGTGTGTGAGAGTGAGAGTGAGAGTGAGTATGAGTGTGAGTGTGGAGGTTGAAGACGAGCGGGTGGCGACCGGGGAATGAGCGATGGAGTGGCCCAATCAGGGACGGCTACGCTCCAGATGCGGCGGCACGGCGCTGGAACTCAAGGGATAAAGCTACTATGTAAGGTGCACAGGTGTCGTAGGTGTGTGTACGGGCAGACACTGGGCTTGAAAGAAGGACTACGGAGCAGAGTACGATAGCATGGCAGGAGGATGAAGACAGCTTCAAGTCGTTCGGACGGAGGATGCGGAGGAGGTTCGGGGCAGGAATAAGCGGCTCTGCGCCGAGGAGCGAGAAGGGGACCCCCCGAGGGATTTCTAGGTGTGGATGCGGGTGGTGGTGTCGTGTGAGCGGGCTCTGAAAGGTTTTCTTTCATCCCGGAGTCGCGCCAGCGAGGTCGGCTAGCGTCGTAAAACCGGGCGGGCAGAGGGGCAGAAGGGGGTCTCCGGGGCCGCTGGCGGGTCACATTACAGGGGTGCGATGCGCTGTCGTGTTTGAAGCAGACGCTGTAGGATGGATCAGATAAAGCTACAGTGGGCGCCCCCCACTGAAAAGCGGACACGCTCGACGCTCAAAGGGGGGGCGCGAAAGTGGCGCCAAAGGCGGCTTTCCCCTTATCAGATCGCCAAGACTTCGTTTCGCGCGCAATTTTGCATCAGGTGGCCCTTTTTCACGTGTCTTGTCGACATTGGGTATTTGTCTCACTCGCTTCCACCTGCTCTCTTTCGTTATGTGCGTCCCCCGAAATCCCACCGCCGCCGCCGCCGTCCATCTCATCCTGGAAAGTGTTTCTGCAACGGGGAAAACCGAACCGTCCAATGTCCTCCGCGCTCGGCCCGGTTCATGGAAGCTATTTTTTGTGGGATCTGACAAGTCTATGAATCACGAACGAACTCTCTCGCTCCTTTGACTCGAGACGGAGCCCGGGCAGCACACGACACCAGGGAGGCAACGGCAGCTAGCAGGTCGGCTTTGTTGAGGTAACACGCACACACACACACACACACACACACACACTTCCTCTCTCTCTCTTGCCCGGCCACCATGGCCTTCTCATCACCGTCCTCGGCCTTCTTGGCCCGGTTCGCCGCCCTGACGCTCCTCATTACATCCGTCCTGGCAAAGACCATCGAGCTCGACTGGAGCATTGGATGGGTCCTGACCAACCCGGACGGCGCCTTCGACAAACCGACCATCGGCGTCAACGGCCAGTGGCCGCTGCCTCTCATCGAGGCCGACAAGGGCGACCGGCTCGTCCTCACCGTCCACAACCACCTGGGCAATGCGAGTACCAGCCTTCACTTCCACGGCCTGTTCCAGAATGGGACGAATCACATGGATGGTGCCGTTGGCATAACCCAGTGCGCCATCCCGCCCGGAAAGTCGTTTACATATGATTTCAAGGTGAGCTCTCACAACTCATGCCAACCCCGTCTCAGTGAGCTCATGCAACTTTGCAGTTTGACCAAGTCGGCACCTACTGGTACCATGCGCACAACGACGGTCAGTACCCCGAAGGCCTCCGCGGTCCTCTGGTCATTCACGACCCCAAGGGCCCCTACGAGGGTAGATATGACGAGGAGCTCGTCATCACCTTCTCGGATTGGTATCACCAATCGACCCGATCTCTCATCAAGGAGTTGATCAGCGTCGAGAACCCTACCGGCGCCGAACCCGTACCCAACTCGGCTCTCATGAACGACACCCAGAGCCTACATGTCCACGTCCAGCCCGGCAAGACCTACCTCATCCGCATGGTCAACATTGGCGCATTCTCTTCTCACTACGTCTGGTTCGAGGGCCACAAGCTGCGTGTTGTTGAGGTCGACGGAGTCTGGACGCAGGAGGCCGACGCCGAGATGCTCTACATTGCCCCTGCGCAGCGTTACAGCGTTCTGCTGACGACCAAGAAGGATGCGTCCAAGAACTTTGCCATCGTCGGCGCCATGGACGAGGAGCTCTTTGATGTGATCCCCGACGGTCTGAACTCCAACGTCACCGGCTGGCTAGTGTACGACGACAAGAAGCCCCTGCCAGAGCCTGCTGCCGTCGGCGACTTTGCCCCCTTTGACGACTTTGAGCTGGTCCCCTTTGACAAGCAGGAGGTCTACGACAAGGTCGACTACTCCTTCAGCCTCAACGTCAAGATGGACAACCTCGGCGACGGCGCAAACTAGTAAGTGGATGCCCCGCCTGCGCAAAACTTCTCACGGCTGACCATCCCGCAGCGCCTTCTTCAACGACAAGACCTACGTCCTCCCCAAGGTGCCCTCGCTCTACACCGCCCTGACCGTCGGCGCCGACCACGCCGCAGACCCCCGCGTCTACGGCACCCACACCATCCCGCACGTCCTGAAGCACAACGACATCATCGAGATCGTCCTCAACAACGAGGACGACGGGAAGCACCCCTTCCACCTGCACGGCCACCAGTTCCAGGTCGTCCACCGCTCCGACGAGGACGCCGGCGCCTTCGCCAACGACACGGGCCTCGCCCTGCCGCGCCACCCCATGCGCCGCGACACCCTCATCGTCGAGGGCAACGGCAACTTTGTCATCCGCTTCAAGGCCAACAACCCCGGCGTGTGGCTGTTCCACTGCCACATCGAGTGGCACATGGACCAGGGGCTCATCGCGACCATCGTCGAGGCCCCCGAGGCTCTGCAGGGACAAAAGATCCCCGAGGGCCATCTGGACGTCTGCCGTGCCGCCGGCGTCCCGACGCGCGGCAACGCCGCCGGGAACACCAAAAACGTGCTCGACCTCAGCGGCGAGAACAAGCCCGTCGGTCCTCTGCCGGAGGGCTTCACCCCCAAGGGCTACGTCGCCATGTTTTTCAGCTGCGTTGCTGCGTTCTTGGGCCTGGGCATCATTTCATGGTAAGTCTCATCGTTTTGTTTCTTTGGTTTTTGGGGCAGTGAGCTGACTCTTTGACAGGTATGGAGCCATGGACTCCGACAAGAAGGAGACGAGTATCGAAGATCCCTCCGCCTCCGAATCTAGGGACCGGGGTGAATAAAAGTCGTGACGTATATAGAAAGCCGTTTGCATATACCAAGTTACATATTGAATTTGATACCAACATTTGTTCAAATGTCTCATGTCATTGGCACTTGTCTTCAGTCTCAATTTGCGAAAGTTGCAAACTTTCCTTCCACGTTAGAACGTCCTGGGCCTCTCAGAGAATTAAGACAAACAGGACATCGTGAGTGGTCCCTTACAAGGAAGTAAGTCTCCCTTGTGCTATTATGCGTTTCAGCCGGGTCTGGGCACCGTAGTAGTGCTGCCTCTACAGCTCAACGGGTCAAATCACGTCCGTCTTTACGAGGTCCCGGATTCAAACAGGCAGGAGACTCATTAGGTTTGATATACTATCTCCAATCGGATAACAACAAGCCCGCTATCATACACACATGAAAGTAACCACATCTCCGTAGAAATTGACTGTGTAGTTTTGGTTTGGCATCACAGCCTATGTACATACGCCAAGTCCATCAAACAGCTAGCCCTCAACCTAGAAGGCAGCGAGGACCATACCGGCAAAGACCAAGCCAGCGGCAGCAGCGTTCTTACCAGCGCCGGCGAAGACGGTGCTGGGCGTAGGAGTTCCGGAGGGCTACAAAGCAAGAGACCACGTTAACACCAATCTTTCTTCGCAGACTCGTTCACATCAGAGACCAGGCCCAGGCGACACATACAATAACGACGGAGGTTCCGATGGAGTGGACGCGCGTAGCTGTGGCGGCGGAAGTACCAGCGGCACCGGTGGAGGTGGTAGCGGCGCCGGAGGCCGTGCCGGAGGCGGCGGTGCTGGCCTGGGTGGAAAGGGTGGTGGCGGGGACACCGGTGGCGGAGGACGAGGAAGCGGCAGCAGCAGAAGAAGAAGACTCCTCGGCAGGGGTGGCCGCTGTGGAGGTGCTGGTGGTGGCGGGCTCCGCGGCGGTGGTGGCCGGGGCCGGGGCGGCGGAGGTCGTGGCGGGCGCGGCTGTGGTCTCGGCGGCGGCTCCAGAGGGACTCGGGACCGGGGTCAGGCCGCACTTGCTGGCAGCGGAGGTGACACCGCTGGAGTAGTACCTCCAGATGCTGTACTCGTTGGCGCAGGTCATGCAGCGGCCGTAGCGCTCGGTCCACTCTGAGCTGTCGCAGTAGCCGTCCTGACGGCCGAGGGTGATGAGGAGACCTGTGGTGGAGTTGTCAGTTTCTGTGGGTGAGTTTTATGGGCGATGGCGGGCTGGTTAAAGGCGGGACGTCTTACCGCAGTCCTCGTGGCACTGGTACTGAGGGGTTCCGGGCTCCTGACGCTTCTCAACAGGGACGGCCGAAGGGTACTCGAAGAGAGGGTGGCCGAGCTGGGCGACGGCCACGGAGGCGACGGAGGCCAGGACGGTGCAGGTAACGAACGAACGCATCTCGAAGGCAGCTATTAGGTGAATGGGCTTGGAAGTTTAAGGCCAAAGATGCTTGGGAGGAGGAGAAGAATGGTAGGATAGGATTGTCTGGATGCCAATTAGGTGGATTGGAGCGAGCGTAAGGACGGGAGAGAGGTGGGCGGGAAGTAGAAAAGGCTGGGAAAGAGCTTAATATAAGCTTGCATTGTAGCTTGTTTACCGCCGCATCAGGACTGAGAACAGGCACAGGAACGATTCATTTACCACGCGTACATCAGCTCAGACTTCTCGGCTTTGGCACGCGGGAAGCTCAAATCGCTCCCGGCTACAGAAGAAGAGGTCTCCGTCCGCCATCAAGCAGGGTTGGGACAGAGCCAAGCAGCGCAAGCAACCAAGGCACCGCGCAGCAAGTATCGATCTTGGATGCTCGGATTTGTCCCGGATCGCCGAACCGGACCCAGCGCGCGCGTGTCTAGTGTAATTTTGCGGGATGCCGAAGGAGCTCGTACCACAGGTAGCAAGAAGCCAGGCGCGCAAACGATCCCGGCAAGATGCGTGGATTGTCGGTTACCCGCCGAGCCAACGCAACTCTAAGTGTACATGCATGGTACCGTTGCTCTCCACTCCATCATGGTCTTTGACTCAGAGGTTATTGAGAAGGGGGGCATGGAGATCCCTGAAGAAAGAGGAGCCGGCTGTCAAGGATAGTGATTGAGTGGTGGAGGGCAGATATCGGAACGAGATATCACTAGTCCATCGATTCCGGCGACTGCCCCTCGCTCCGCTTTACTCGCCTCTAGCATAGTCTCCCATTATGCCTGATGCATGTCCTTCTATTGCCCAGGCGACTTTGAGAGTCACGGAAGCCCGACGACCCCAGTGAGCTGATGCCAAGTGCTGAAAACATGCGGTAGGACCGATAGACGGCGCCGGCTGCCAACTGGCCTTCCCGAAAGGGGCTGTCTGGCCCGGTGGCTTCTTCTTCTACCTCACCGATATCATCGGGTCCAGGACCGGGCTGGACGAGGAATGGCTGGGCTGGCGCCGCAGAACATGACTGTTCGTGGCGTGAGGGGGCGTTGATTGATGCATCAAGATCCCTGCGTCCCTGCGGGCGAGGTCGGCCTACAGAACCAACGCCATCCCTGTCCCAGGGTGGAGAGTTGCGTCTCTTGAGCGGAGACCACGGAATCGCAGGGGAGGGAGGGGATCCGGCGGATCGTGTGATGCATCTAATCTTATCAATCACATCAGTTCACCACCAAAACCCCGCCCATCAGCCAACGGCGCCGGTGAACCATTCCCGGTTGGGTTATATTGCTCCTGCTGCCAAGAAGCACGGCGGAACTGATGGCATCGTTTCATTGGGCGAAGGGATCTGATAAACCGCATCCTGGAAAGAGTTTTTCACAAACTCTCTCCGTGGTTTTCCCCTCTCCGAGCCTCCATCTCACCACCACCATGGAGTTACACCTGTTCCAACGCTACTACACTGCTATACAACTTGCGCCTTTGCCAAGGGACCTTATCCGACAGCCACCTTGTATCCCATCTTCCCAAGATTCCACCCAATCTGCCGGGGCAGCGTGGGCATGGAACCGGCCCCTTCGGCGGCCGAGGAAGAAACTGGCATCTTCACTTCGTATTCCCTGTGTCGCCCGGCAGTCTTCCCTGCCCTTTCTTGGCCGCATGCTAGAAGGGATCCTCTTCCCAAAAGTTCCCAAGCGGACCTCTGCCTGGCTCTTGACTAACATATTACAACACTCATTGTGAACATGGACGGTACCTCCCAAGACATTTCCAAGAAACGCCGTCGCCACCCGCACCACCGCCCGTACCATGCCTCCGTCCAACAGAAATCCGGCAAACTTGTGGCTCCCACGGATGACTCCCACGTTCTGGGCCGTGTCTGTCCAAGGCCCTGCGTGACTGCGTTGTTTTTCGTCCTCGTTGCTTCATGAGCGGGAACGTCTGCTCTAGTTTGGACTTCCCTCATAGACACGTGCAAGCGGACTCGGCGGCGGTGGCTGGTGTGAGGTTGAGCGGAGAGGGGCACGAACGGGCAGCACGTTACATTCACCCAGCTGAAGGTGCAGGAGGATTGTGGACTTGCAGTAGTATAACTTGACCATCGCTGCCGTCCGGTTCATCTCCTAGGATGGCACAACCGCCTCTTAATCCTAATTTCTCTCCCACTTTCCATATCCCACCAAGTCCAGTCGTCGTACGCACTTTCGTACACTGGCCTGAAAGTCTCGGTCTGTCCCGCCGAACATCCGTCTTGTTGAAGCTTCTTTCGACTTTGGGTTACGCAAGACATCAGTCTCCACAATGCACGCCTCGCTGAAGACATTCCTGGCTCTAGGCCTGGCGTCCGTCGTCTGCGCGCAGCACACCAAGCAGGATGACGATATGGGCCCTGCCGCCTTCATGTGGCCTGGTGACCGTGTCTGGAGCGGAGACATGGACAACCAGGAGCCTTGTGGCTCCAGGGCCGGTGTTGGAAACCGAACCGAGTTCCCCTTGGGTGAGCAAGACATTAGATTCTGAGGTCAGAAAAGATCGAGTCATCAGCTGACACAAAGATATCAGTCGGTGGCAAGGTGGCTCTCGTTGCCCAGGATGACTACTACAACACCAAGATCTCCATCTCTTATAAGAATGGTAAGGCAAACCGTTCTGTTCTTTGAATCCATGACGATCCTATCGACTCCCCTTGCTCCTGTCTAATACTACCGCCGTCTACTTGAACACCACCACCTCCTGTCAAACCAATCAATCCTCAACAACACTCCCATCAAGCCTCCACCATACTACATCAGCCACTAACAATCATAAGACCCAACGTCCAACAGCGACTTCACCACCGTCATCCAGGAGCAATCTGTCGCGGACCTAAACCCGGGCCACACCTGCGTCGAAATCCCCAACCCGCCGTCCTCTGTTGCCGCCGGCTCCAACGCAACCCTCCAGATCATCTACCGCGCCGACTGGGACGCCCCACACAACCAGACCTTCTACGCCTGCGCAGACATCACCTACGTCGAGGCCGCCAACTTCAACACCCGCATCCCCTGCTTCAACGCCACGGAGCCCGGCGAGGATGACATCGCCGCAACCTCGTCGCCCTCGGCGTCCGCTTCGGCGAGCAACTCTGCTTCGAACAGCGGGTCGTCCTCTGGCGGTAAGAGCGGGCTATCCGGCGGTGCGATTGCCGGAATCGTTATCGGCGCTGTTGCCGGGCTGGGCTTATTGATTGGCGCGGCGCTGTTCTTCTACCGCAAGAGCCAGCAGAAGAAGCGCAACTCGAGATTGGCGCGGATGGAAGAGAATGCGAGACGGTCGGAACACTGGTCGGCGGGCAAGGACTCGGCCTCCCAGAACAGCGTTCAGTTGAAGAACATCCCTTGAAGGCAACAGGCTTTGGGAAAGTCTGATGAAAAAGTCCGTACTATGAAGTAACGAAAGACAAGTGTGATGTGGAAGACAGAGATTTGGAGGACTCTTTTTTGGTTTGGGATGGATCAGTAGAGTAATGTGTTATGCACAACGATGATATCCAGTTCATAGTTTAGCAATGATATATGTTTGAGGATGCTCGCCTATCTTCTGTTGTGTTAGAGTTCAATGTAGAAGACCACCCTGTGACTTAAGCCAGGGACTATTTCGGTGTCTGTGCTATCTGGCCTGGCGCATTAGAGTCTGGTCTGCGAGAATGATCACACGTCTGCCCCGTTCTGATACAAATGATACAAATGATACAAAACAGACAATCCCAATGGTTTTTATTTTAGTTATTTGAAATGCTATTTGATTCTGAACCATAGCACAGAAAATACGACCAGTACAACCAACACCTCCAAAGTTCATGTAGCATAACGTTTATCCGACGCGCCAACACACTCCTGCCGGCCATGTAAAAAGAGTGTCTCGGGCCGCGGATCGCTCCATGCTCCAAATACATTCGTTTATTGCGTCAAAGACTTTGGATCCGTAATCAAGCTTGCTTGCTCGCCGCCAGGTGATGCTGATCCCCCTCCTCTCGAAAGCCTCGTTCTGTCGCTTCTCCGCTCTGACGTTCCGCAGCTTCAGACGCGCCTCCAAAGCCCAGCGCTTTGTTTAGGATGTCGTCTACGCGACCCGATATCCCGCCTTTGTGGTGGTGTTTTGTGCTGTCAATGGTCTCGCCGACATTGCGGTCGGCTGCGGCCGTGCCGTACGTGTCCTTGGTTTCATCAACAACGTTTCTGTCCATGCGAGTTAATTTTTGACATTTTTTTACATCGGCACTTTCTGGGTGGTGGGACTTGCTGTGATTGACCGTGTTGGTTTTCGTCTAAGGGCATTTGCTGAATGCCGTGATCACTGGCGTGACCACCAGGCGCGGGGTTGTTTGGCGCTGTTCCGGACATGTCGGCTGCTCAATGCGATATTTGTGTTCGGCCTTTGGTTTTCTGTCTGATTTTTTGAATGGACCCGATTTAGTATATCCGTAAGCTGGTAGTATCTGAGGGTTGACGATGTCTCGAGTAGAGGATATACTATGGTGTAGTAGCTCTTATTAACCTTCGAGAATGGCATCACCCATACGTCATAGAGAGCCGGTCGAGGTTGTTCCGACACCTACTGACACAACCATCATGCCGACTACAGGGATCTATGGATAACGGATCGTCTGGGGTAAGTTAAACTAGTAGGGCTGAAAAGGTAAACAAGCATCGTCTGCTGATGTAGGGTCTCGCCGCCGCGCCTACTGATATATCAATTATTATGGAAACACCCTTTACTACCAATTGTGCTGTCTTTGCAGGCTGTGTTTTTTTCTCAAAGAACTGTCTAATTCTGGAATTGGGAACGAGATGATAGATATGGCAACTATCTTAAGCTCATGTGCCCTCAAAGAAGAGGGCGATCCATGTCGTATCTTCCCCCAGTATAGCTGTAGATGAGGCTGCCTACTTTGACTTTACCCCCAACGACGTCATTACTATCTGAAACCCATATCACTTTCGATACCTAGTTTCACTTAATAATGTGTTCCACCTTGTAATGATGACCGTCATGGAAGGACACCAGCAAGCTGCTCAAACTTGTAAAAACTCGATATTCGAAGTTTAATATAACGGAGCAGCCTTTGCCTGTTCTTCTTCAGGATATGGTGGGGATTACGGCATTATGTTACCTTGCATTCAGATTGTACTGATCTTTGAAGTCAAAATTGAGACCGCTACTGTATTTGTACGTAAATTTAGCGACCCCGACAACGCGACAAGAATTGGGTTCGATGTCGTCAGATACGTAAAAGGTTTTGTCAGCCATGTTCTCGGCGCAGAACTCTTTGAAATCTCGGATCTTCTGCTTCGTGCATTGTCCAGAGAAGCTGGGGAAGGCCTCCTGTTGCAGTACGTATCGTCAAGACGAGATCTTCTACTTCATACAACCACTAAAAGCCCTATTGCGAACCTCATTTAATATTCCGGAGATTGAACTGTCATAGTAACCACGCTTATTGTTTGATTTTTTTTCCCTTGGGTCTTGATTTGCGCTCGTATATCTCTTTCAGGGTCTGGCCTCTGCGCCGTTTTCATCTTCAGATCAAGACGCCTGCTTACATATAGATCAATGTAACTAGCACTGCGATATTTCTACTTACGGCCAGTATTCCCAAATCGAAAACTTAGAATCAAGCATAATTTGTGCATTGATTTAATGCTATAGAACATCAAAATCTGAGTCGTACCTATCCAACAGATACTAATCCTCTTACTGACATTAATTTAAGGCTACAGAAACAGCTCTGCTGCACATGCCATTCAGTCTTGTCGCGAAAAACGATTTGTCAGTTAAAACCAACAATGGTATATAGTGGAGAAAATTACGATCTGAGACCGAATTGCACCAAAACTTTCACAGCACTCAACAACCTTGAAAGTCGGGAATTCTGCTGTACGTTGCTCTTGTACATTCAAGGCTGTGACATTCTAGCCAGATTGCACGGCAGTTGCGCAAACATATGTAGTTGAAGACAGCTCCAAGACACAACCTTAAAGGTGCAGTTCGCTCACAAACTCAGACGCAATTGACATAGCCTCCACGCCTCCGGGCAAATTACCAATTGCAACTTGACGCCGAAAATTTCCAATTCGGTCATGTAGAATGAACAGCAAGAGCTTCTTAGTTTGGTACTAGACTCGAGTTGGAGGAACGGGAAGATCCCCGCTACTTCCGCCACATTCCCGGATAACTAGTCGACATCCTGGCAACTAACTCGGCATTTGGTTGGCTCCCCGAGCGGTACCGGCTTGAGAACATGAATCATGGGTGGGCTAAAGGGATTTAAATGACCTTAGAAGCTCGCGATGACTAATTGGTACTGTGGAAGGGTTTCAACTGCGTCCAACTTTCGAATCGCTATTTCCGCGGGGAACAGACTTATATTTCGAGTCCTTGCCACACCGCGTAACCTCGGTAAGCAAACTGCACTGACAGATCAGGTGAGTCAAAGAAACCACTTTCGACAAATTTAGACGCGAGAAAAGAAACATAAGCTTTGAATTCCTATTGTCAGCATGCGGGAATACTAGCCTGCTCTTTGCTTATTTCCAGCACATGATCGTGACGACGTCTATGACGGCACTCCTCCTTCATCCACAGCGAGACGCACGCATGTCAACTTGCCATGATGGATGTTAGCGACAAAGAGACGAGGTCTGATTCTTCGCGGAACGATGGCGTCGGAGAAGAGACTGTTCGCACTGGCAGTCGCGTTGGACGCGTGCTGAGCCGCATCGCGTCGGCACCTACTTCAGACCCCGGTCCTCCCCCGGATGGAGGATACGATGCCTGGATGGCCGGTGAGCATGCGTCTATACCTTCATTGAATGATAGCAACTGACCACAAATCTCACAGTACTGAGTGCTCACTTCATTTTCATGGACACATGGTGAGTGACGCGCTCCCTCGGATGAATGGAGCTCCGAGAAACTGACTGTCATGTAGGGGATTTGTGAACTCTTTTGGCGTTTTCCAAACATATTACGTGCAACAACTGGATAGGCCGCCTTCGGACATTTCTTGGATCGGATCGTTCCAGGTCTTTCTCCTCTTCTTCATCGGCGCTTTCTCGGGTCGTTTCACGGACGCGGGCTACTTTCGACACCTCTTCCTATGCGGCTCCTTCTTGATCCTGCTTGGCATATTCGCTACCTCTTGGTGCACGCAGTACTGGCAGATCTTCCTTTCACATGGCGTTTGCGTCGGTTTAGGCTTTGGCCTTGTGTTCTGTCCGTCCCTGGCCACGTTATCGACCTATTTTGATAAGAAGAGGGCTTTGGCTATTGGTATAGCGGCTGTTGGAAGTGCGTCCGGTGGCCTGGTCTTCCCGAGTACGGTCCGGCAGCTTTTGCCGCAAGTGGGTTTCCCTTGGGCTATGCGCACACTCGGCTTCATCCAGCTCGCAACGTTGTCAGTGGGCTTGGTCTTCCTCAAGCCTCGGATACCGCCGCGCAAAGCAAGCAAAATGGTGGACTTGTCCGCCTTCAAGGAGCTTGAATACACGTTTTACACCGCTGGAGGGTTCTTCGTAAGTAGAATCCCTTCTTGAATAGGGACCTCTGCTGACACAGTCACTCTTAGTCTTTCATGGGTGTCTACTTCGCGTTCTATTACCTGGCCTCGTATAGTCGGGATGAGCTCGATTTCTCTTACACAGACTCGTTGAATCTGCTTTTGGTCTTAAACGGTATTGGCTTCATCGGACGACTTGGGCCGAATTTCCTCGCCGACAAGATTGGAACTATTACGGTCTTTACACCCATGGCCCTCCTCTCAGGAATCTTAACCTACTGCTGGATTGCCGTTAAATCCCCGACAGGCCTCTACGTCTGGACAGTTTTCTTCGGCATCGTAGGCAACGCCATTCAGGCACTCTTCCCTGCAGGAGTCAGTGCTCTGACGACGGATCCGAGTAAACAGGGCACACGTATCGGAATGGTTTTTACCATCGTTGGCTTCGCCGTGCTCACCGGCAACCCAATTGCCGGCGCGATCATTTCTGCCACCGGGGGCCGTTATCTAGGTGCACAGGCCTTTGCTGGGAGCTGTCTCATGGTTGGTTGCTTCTTCCTAGCGTTGGCCCGGATAGTCAAGACGAAGAAAATAGGAAAGGGATGGTTTGTCAAGGTCTGAGACAACCTGCATGTAGCAGATTTCAAGGTTTCAACACGACCTCACAAAATACGGTGTATATTGTTCTACAAACCTGTAATTATAGATGTTTTCTTTCCGCTGCAGGAACAATGACACGACGATGGCTGCAAGGTAAAGACGCAAGCCATCCTGACTAGTCGTACGGTCTTTGAATCCGAAACAACTGCTTAGTGATCAGGCTGAACCCATATTGAGAGTCGAGCTAGGTATTGTCAAAAACGACGATCTTCTACCACAATTAACGCAGACATCCAGAGCACGTGATCGTATGAGTGTTCATGCGACTTGGCGCTCTAACCAAGTTCAAAGTCAGTTTCAAGAGGGGGCATAACGTAGGAAATTCGGAAATATCTTGCCAATTAAAGTGAGACCAAGCCGAATATTTTGTGGAAATCACACTGATTGGCGCCGGCACTTGAAGATTTTCTCCTGGATTCGCGAACGCTGTCCAAATTACAACAGACGCGAACCCTTGTTGCCACGAGTCTCACAGGCCAACACTGTGAAGTAAGACCGCCTCTGGCGACATTCTGCCATGATCGTGACTCGTCTAGCGGCGGCGATTGGAACACCGAGCCTAGTTCCGTCGCCTCAAAGCACACCTCGGGATTAGAACTCTAGCTGCCGGGAAATTCACGAGGCCAAGACACTTGCTTAATTATTACCGTCAAGATGAAACCTGACTCGCCAATAATCCACCACTTCATGTTACGGACTACAATAGTCACATCAGCCATGATCACTGCAATTTTCTGGACTTCAAATCTTGGAATAGGCCACAGTTCGGTACCAAGACTTACTATCTGCGTATGCAGTGATGTGGGCTAGCGCGTTTTTGTAATTGCTGACAGGCCGCCATAGAAGCACGCGGTTGAGTCTTGGAGAAAATGCATGGGGCACACGTTGCAGCGCTAAATTTAACTTTAATGTTGATAGCCAAAACATATTAAGAGCTCCATTCTCAACCCACCCCGATTGGCTCACCACCATCTTAGCTCATGAGTTTCACTCAATGAGCATACCCTGAGCCTGCAAAATGGATGCTGTACAACGTGATTCAGACCAACTTCAAACACAAAGTCCCCAGTTGAGAGCACTAAGACCGACGTCTAAATCCACCCAATCCATCTACATAGGACGAGGAATTTCGTTGACTCGACCCGACTGAATCTATGAGCTGGCCTCAACCAATATGGTCCCCACGATGGTTTCTTCGGCCTGGGTAAAAGGGCCTAACCGGGCGAGACGATCCTTGAAGGACTCCGCCGGAGTCTTTCTGCCCCAGCGACAGGCTGCCGGCTTCGGATGCCTTCATTCTGCAGAGCGTAAAACATAAAGCTACTGTCGTCGGCTGCGACTTCCGGCGGGATTCCCTTTCCCAGCTTAGACTTGTTCTGAGGGCTGTTCATCCGATTGAATTGCACCGACGTCATGGCGCTCCTCAAGCATTGTGTGTGGCTCCTCTTGGCAGTTAACGCAGCGCTCACTTCCGCCAAGCCTAGCGCGTTCAACTTTACCCAAGAGGCCATCGACAATGGTGAGGCTCTTGCCCAACTCAATATCAAGGCCCTCGAAGCCTCGCATGCTTTGAGACAGGCTTTGGCGCGTCGGGGTGTCCACTTCACATGCTCGGCTGACAAGCTTCGTGTTCGAAAAGAGTGGTAAGTCATGTTAAAATACTCGCAGTTCTTATTAAAAGGCACTGACATTTGCCATTCAGGAGAACCCTCCCTGCGGAAGAACGCAAGTCTTACATTGCAGCGGTCCAGTGCCTTCAGTCATCGCCTACTCTGCTGGACCCCGTTCAGCTGCCAGCCGCCAAGTCTCTGTATGACGACTTTGTCCTAACACATCTCAACCAGACTGGTAGTATACATGTTACGGTCAGTTGCAAAGCCTTCGTCTAGCTCTGAGACATACTGACGGCTTGACTGTTCAGGCAAACTTTCTATTGTGGCACAGATTCTTTACCTATGTTCACGAGGAGAAACTGCGCAATGTCTGTGGCTATCAAGGTAAATAAGAGTATTCTGCAACCAGCCACGCCCTTCCGTAACTGATGTTTCGTTGTAGGAACAGTGCCATACTGGGAATGGGGATATGATGTTGAAGACCCGGCAGCGTCGCCCGTCTTCGATGGATCAGAGACTTCGATGGGTGGCAACGGCGCATCCACCCCCCACGAAGGCATGCAGCTCGTTCAGCAATTCTCCAATACAACCGTCAAACTGCAGCCTGGTTCTGGAGGCGGGTGCGTTGAGGCCGGTCCATTCGCTAATATGACTGTCCACGTTGGCCCACGTAGCTTACCACAATACGGCACGACGACCCCGTTCAGCGTGGAAAAGCCGACGGACGATCATGCGCGTTGCCTGAAGCGTGATCTCAACAAACACGTCGCCTCAAGATACACTTCTTTCCGCAACACGACCAAGCTGATCCTGGATAATGACAACATTGAGTGGTTCCAGGCGGTTATGCAGGGCGATGACCGATACACTCCAGGCATCGAAGTGGGCGTTCACGGAGGTGGTCACTACACAATAGGAGGTAAGCATTCGACTCGAGATGTATTACTTGGTCAAGTAGATCGTCACTGACATCTCCAAGGCGACCCTGGCTCCGATCCCTTCATTTCCACAGGAGAACCTGTGTTCTTTCTCCACCATGCACAAGTTGACCGCGTCTACTGGATCTGGCAAATGCTCGATTTCGCCAACCGACAGGTATGTAAAAAAGCCTAGAGACCGTCTAAAATTTGGTACCGACCTTGGCTAATCCTCCTACCCAATCAAAGGATATCTTCGGGACCCTGACATTGCAGAACAATCCTCCGAGCCGAAACGCCACTCTAGATGACCTCGTGGATGTTTCCCCTCTCGCTGAGCCTGTTAAGCTCCGTGATCTGATGAGTACTGTCGGAGGGTCGCCATTCTGTTATGTCTATGAATAAGTGTCCGCCAGTATCACGTGTTGACAGCAAACCAGATATTTTCATATAGTAAGCTGCAATTTACATCATGCTCAAAGCTATACATACTTCAACTCTTCATTATGTCTTCAGGCTTCATGCAAAATCAGCATCACCACATTGATCTTGTTTCTCGAAGACAGTACCTGGTCGGTAGACTCCGAAAGACAGATCCGACAGACCGCGTTTGAACGAAGCATGCATTCTTAGTCCGGAGGGTTGCAGTCGCCTGCGTCACTTGACTCGTTACCAATCAGCCGGCTTGACACAAGGTGATAGGTTCAAAGACAGGTTAAAGGACACGAAACTCGGCGAAAGGACCGTCGGTCGGGGAAGCCGATTAAACCCTTGGGCCACTCGGCCAACAGGCGGGTTCGTCTTATGAAGCCTGTCATCCAAAGAGGTTACATGAGCGACAAGGCAGGGTCGGAGGATGATGCGACGAAACTCTATATTCTGCGGATAACTACCATGCCGTGGGCCAAAGGAGCGGTAGTCGCTCGTTTTAATAGTGACTTTTGCTGTTTGACCACGAGATTGTCGTCTAGGATCCCTATGACGTCGGAGAATAAAGTTTGCTACCTGGAACAGGAACCCGCGACAAGTCGAATCAAAACCCGTCTGAAACCCCCGCAGCCCCCAAAATCTGCGAGCAGCCCGGAGAATTGTCTCTAAACTCGTTAAGCATAGCCTAGAGATTAGCATTTGAGTCAAGCAAGTCACGAAAAGTGGCCGTTCTAGTTGCGGTATTCCAGGCTGTACAACAGATAGCAAGGCCGCCACAATGTCATCTCCTTCAGATGGTAGCTGAAGCCCCTCCTTGTCGTTGATGATTGTATTAGTATATTTCTCTTATTTGTTAATCTAGTCTGTCACTTCCGTGATTATGTCTTCCCTTACTCGAGTCTTTTTTTCTCTTCTTTCAGCCGTATACATCGGCCAGATCCAGGCGGTTGATCCGCTTGTCGACCTTGGCTACACTAAGATCCAGGGAGTCGCCGAGCCGGGCGGTGCGACGCGATGGTTAGGAGTTAGGTATGCCGCGCCGCCACTGGGTCAGCTCCGGTTTGCTGCGCCGGTCGATCCGCCGAGCACGACTGAGGTAGTCGATGCTTCAAAAGTAGGGAGCCTATTTGCACAGCCATTTCAATGATCTGTTAATGATGTGAACAGTTTCGCCCGATATGTCTCGCTCGGAGTGCGTCAGACTTCACGATGAAGCCCAACAAACGCTTCACCGCAGACGAGGACTGCTTGTACGTCAACATCTTCGCGCCGTCCAATGCGACGCCCGAGTCGAAGTTGCCGGTGATGTACTTCATCCAGGGCGGAGGCTTCCAGTCTCTTTCCAACGCCAACTTTAACGGCAGTGACCTGGCCAAGTTCGGAAACATTATGGTCGTCCAGGTCAACTACCGCGTTGGACCATATGGTTTCTTGCAGAGTAAGGAGGTGGAGGCTGGTGCAAGCATGAACAATGGCTTGAAGGATCAGATCCAGGGGTTGAAATGGCTGAAGCAGAACGTTGCTGCAGTAAGTCTTACTTTCAGTCAATCGGCTGTTAGCTTTGCAGGTCAATATTGACTGACAATCTCCTAGTTTGGAGGAAATCCTGATCAGATGGTAGCCGTCGGTGACTCAGCTGGCGCAACATCTGTAGCAATGCTTCTCGCCGCATTCGGAGACAATGACCCGGGCTTGATCAAGGGCGCCATCATGGAATCTGTCTCTGTCGCTACTGTTCGCACCCTCGAGCAGGGCCAGGAGCAGTACAACTGTCTCACGAACGCCACTGGTTGCAACAAACAAGCCGACACTCTGGCCTGCCTCCGTAGTCTCAACAGCACTTCTCTTCAAACAGAAGAATGTCAGTTCAACCCGAACCTCGACGGCGACCTTGTCAAAGCCCCAACTCTGCAGCGGTTCGCAGAAGGCAAATATCTCAAAGTCCCAACCATCGCAGGCACATGCACCGATGAGGGCACTAAGAACGTGCCCCAGGACACGGATACCGTTGAGGCAGCCCTCAAGAGCATGAACGACCAGGCCACTCAGTCTCTCAGCAATGCCTCCCTCGCTGTACTCAAAGAGACGTATCTCGACACGCCGGAACCTGTTTTTCCGGATTCAGGCAAGCTATGGCGCCAGCTCGCGAATGCCCAGGGAGATTTCAGGGCCCATTGTATTACAAAGACCTTCCAGGACGCCATGGCTCGTGATGGTGTGAAGACGTTCAACTACCGATATGGACCATTGGATGAAGAGCAGGAAGCTTTGGGGTTCGGCGCCTACCATACCGTCGAACTCAACGGTGTCTTCGGACCCAACAACACCGACGGCGCACCTCCCGCGAGCTACTCAACCACCAACGCGCCCACCGTACCCTTAACTCAAGCCTACTGGGCCAGCTTTGTACGCACACTCGACCCGAACACTGCCAAAATCCAGGCCAGCATGCCCCAATGGGAGGCCTGGACCGTCGAGGGGAAACAGAGGCTCCTCTTCCAGAACAACACTGGCACTATGGAGGGCATGCCCGCGACTCAGCAAGACAACTGTGCAATGCTGGCTCCGATGATTCCCTTCATCGAGACGCCCGCCTCAGACGCTCAGAAGGCCTCTGTGCAACTGACAAAGGTCTCCGGGTCAGTGGATACAGAGTCAGGGCCCTCGAAGGGCGGCAAGGGCAACGGTACGAAGCACGGTGGGGGTAAAGGCGAAGGCGGAAAGGGAGGGCGAAAGGGGAATGGCACCAACTCTAGTGCTCCAGCTGCACCGCCTTTCAGCTCTGCGACAAGGATCGATTACGGTCTCTCGGAGGTTTTGTCCGCCATGATCGTTGTGTGCATCGGTCAATTTTTGCTGGTTTGATAGTATGTACCTTAACAAGAGGCTATATGTCATCCAAATATCAATGTCGGAGGTTGTGTTCTCTCGACCGTGTTCTACATCTATCTGTTGCTTCCAAAAGCTTTTCGTGTATCTGGACCCATACTCACAACCGAGACTTCGGCACCTCTGAACGAGCGATTAGAGCATGGTCGAACAGTTCCCCTCGATATTTTGGCTGAGAAACCAACCAGCCCTCGATTGCAGAAACCAGACCTTCAAGTTCGTCAAAGGTGTTGCCGGCGTGAAGGCATATCCTAACACGCTCACTTCCTACCGGGACCGTGGGCGCAACAATAGGCCGTATCATGAAGCCACGCTGCTGACAGTACTGCGCAAGACCACGCGGTTTCGAGGTAAATAGGGGTATGATTGGTGATTTTGGCTTGCCCGAAGCTAGATGCATCAGAGCTGTTTCTGGTCGATGACGGTCCAGCAGCGTCAGCAGCAGTTCATTGGTCTGGTTAATGAGAAGCCAGAGGTGGCGGAGGAGATCATCGGAGTGACCGTCCCTGATGAAGTCGTATGCCGTCTGTATACTTGCTAGTGACGTGAACGGCATAGCGGTGGTGTAGATGAGACTACGAGCGTAGTTGATGAGGTATGATCGGGTGACATGAGAGCATAGGACGACCGCTGGTAAGTGTGAGATCGTTTTCGTCAAGACTCCTCAAACGGGGAAATTACCTCCAGAGCAACTCAGTGCTTTGCCGAATGTGTGTATACGGGCCCACACACGGTCTTCGAGACCCAGCTCGCATACCAGCCCTCGGCCTCTTTCTCCCAGCAAACCCGTCGAGTGCGCTTCATCGACGACGAGGAGGCCGTTCCCACGGGGCAAATGACGTTCAACGCATTCAACAACCTCTCTTAGAGGGGCCACATCACCATCCATGCTATACACTCCTTCGACCGCAACGAAGACGCGTTTCGAACCTTCTCTCACTTGTCGGCCTTCATCGCCATCGGTCAATCTCGAGAGAACCTCGCTCAAACTCTGCGGCCATTTTTGAGCATCTGTTGGTTCCACGGTATTGTGTGCAAAAGCGACCTTCTTCCCGGCCCGGCTCAGCTTCATGCCGTCGTGCACGCTCGCATGGATGAGCTCGTCATAGACAATGATGTCCCCCGGCTGCGGAACACAACTGAAGAGACCAACGTTCGCATCGAAGCCCGAGTTGAAAAGGAGCCCAGCCGGGGCGCGGTGGAAAGCTGCAATGTCCCTCTCCAGCGACTCCGCCAGAGACACGTTGCCGTCTAGCAAACGCGAGCCGCCGGAGCCGAGAAGTGCCGTGCTGTCTCTGCTGCCATCGTCATCAACGTTCGATGGTGTCTTGGATGGCTTCAGGTGGGCCTTGATCCGGGCGAGGTACCGACGCTGGACGTCTGGGTGGGTCGAGAGGGATAGGTATGCGTTGGACGAGAAGTCGGCGCTCCCGGCCGGGACGAGTGTCAATCTCCGGAGTTGGTTCTTGGATTCCCGGCGGGCCAGGAGTGCCGCGAAGACTTTATCCAGACGGTCGCTCGCTGGCATATTGGGAGACGGATCACGGGGTGTTCGGGTTGCTTGAGGGAACACAATCAAGAACCACACGCGGCATGCCGAAAACTCGGCATTGTAACACACAGGTCGGATACGGAGACATACGAGGGAGTTTCTCCCCGCTTCCTCTTCCCCTGGCCTGGCTGGCTGGCCCAGGAGATCTCGCAGCGCCTAGAGCCGAAAACAACGCCAGATGCAAGATCCATGCAAGGATGGACCCGCCGAAACCCAACCACCTCCGGGCCGCACCGTTGGGAAGCTCGAAATTAGCACACCAGAGCTCAACAAGTCCACCTATGATAGCCGCTGCCCCAGTTGCTCGGCACAACAAATGCCGCAGTGCTAGGTACCCCGCCTGCTGGTTCCCCAGTTCCTCGGAGCTACCGGTTCAGTGACTCCTGCAACTGTTTATGGAGAAGCGACCGCCGTGTTTCCGAGTGAGCCAAACGGGCTGCTTTTCCAGCAGATTGTTCTTCACTTCAGGTCACAGCCTTCATATGGCGATTTGACACCTCCAAACGCCCGCAATGGCACCAGTCGGTGCTCTGCTCTGGCGTTCGCTTAGAACGTATCAAATCTATGGCGCCAATACCGATGTCGGCAAGACCGTCTTCGCCTCGGTCTTGTGCAATGCGGCCCGCAACTTTTGGCCGCATGAGAAGACGGGATTCCTGAAACCCGTTTCCACGGGCCCGGCTGCCGAAGCCGACGATGGGTGTATGTTTGAGAACCCACCGCGTCGTGTCACCCTAGTTTAGTTGAGTCTCCAGCTAACATGGAAGCAGATTTACAATGTTCGGCTCAATTCCGCTGTGGCTTTGTTGCTAATTCCGTTCCGCAGTCACATCGAACGGTTCGCGCCTGACGTCGCGAAGAAGACGCTGTTTCAGTTTGAGATTCCAGCGAGTCCCCACCTGGCCGCGGCGGCCTCGAACCAAGTAATTCTCCAGACGCTCCATTGCACTGCCGTTAGTCGCTGACAGGTTGTATCAAGCCCACTCCGAAGGATAATGAAGTCTTGGAGAGCATTTATGATTACACTTCGCGCCGCGCCGCCAAAGGACGGGGCTGGCTTTTTATCGAGACGGCCGGCGGGGTCCATTCGCCGGCGCCGTCCGGGACCCCACAGGCCGACCTCTACGCCCCGCTCCGCATCCCGGTCGTCTTCATCGGCGATTCTAAGCTCGGCGGCATTTCGCAAACCATCTCGGCTTATGAGTCTCTCAAGCTCCGCGGTTACGATGTCGAGAGCGTTCTGCTTTTCCGGGATGACTACTACCAGAACTATACTTACTTGACCGATTATTTTGCGCGCGACCGTGGAATTCCCGTCGGCACCTTGGAACAGCCTCCGGTCCGCGCCGAGGATAACCAGGCAGATGCAAAGGCCATGGCTCAGTACTATCAAGAGGCGGCTTCTAGTGATGTGATCAAAGGGACTTTGGAACATCTGCACGGCCGTCACCTCGCTCGCATCTCCCGCCTCGAGACTATGGCGCGCGATGCTCACGACATCATCTGGTACCCGTTCACACAACACAAGGGCCTGACACCCGACAAAATAACGGCAATTGATTCCGCCCACGGTGACAACTTCCAGACCCTCGTCCCTAAGAGCCAAGCCACGTCGGAACACCAAGCCCTCCTGCAGCCTTCATTTGACGGATCGTCTTCATGGTGGACTCAGGGCCTCGGCCACGCGAACCCCAAGCTTACTTTAGCTGCATCGTACGCCGCTGGCCGATACGGTCACGTCATGTTCGCCTCCGCTGTCCACGAGCCGGCGTTGGCGCTCGCTCAGACTCTCCTAAAAGGCTTACAGAACCCGCGCCTCTCCCGTGTCTTCTACTCTGACAACGGCAGCACGGGTATGGAGGTCGCTGTTAAAATGGGTCTACGCGCCGCAAGGGTCCGGTACGGCTGGAACGCAAGCGACAGGCTCGAGATCTTAGGCTTGAGGGGTAGTTACCACGGTGACACCATGGGTGCGATGGACTCCACTGAGCCATCCGTGTTCAACGAGAAGGTTGAGTGGTACAATGGCAAGGGTTTCTGGTTTGACTACCCCTCGGTGATGTGCAAAGACGGAAAGTGGCAGGTCCGCGTACCTGAAGCTCTGCGTGAGGAATTAGGTAGTCCTCGAGAGTTCGGCGCCCTGTCCGAGGTGTTTGATGTTGCTGGCAGAGAGGGGGCGCAGCAGGCTCAACTTTACGAGACGTACATCACCAAGGTCCTGGGTCGTCTCCGTGATCAAGGCCGCAAGTTCGGTGCTCTTGTTATGGAACCTGTTATTCTTGGGGCGGGTGGCATGCTCATGGCGTAAGTTAAGAGTGACGATTAGCATGCTGGTGAGTGGACACATTGCTAACTGTTGATACAGCGACCCTCTATTCCAAAGAACTCTCGTCAAGGTCGTCCGCCAACGCCCAGAGCTTTTCGGCACTGCATCCCATACTCCCTTGATCGACACAGACGCCAACGGCTGGACCGGTCTTCCGGTCGTTTTCGACGAAGTTTTCACGGGCCTCACCCGTCTGGGCCGGATTTCTGCCGCGTCGTTTCTAGGCGTCCATCCGGATGTCATAGTGAACGCCAAGCTTCTCACCGGAGGCCTGGTACCGCTTTGCACCACGTCCGCATCCGACAGTATATTCCGCGCGTTTGAGAGCGACGAAAAGAGCGACGCCCTCCTGCACGGCCATAGCTACACCGCGCATCCTGTGGGATGCCAAGTTGCCCTCGAGTCGCTGCAAGAGTTGCAAAGGATGGACAGAGATGGGGAATGGGACTGGGCAAAGTTCAATGGATGGACCTCTGACGCATCTGCTGCCACCATCTCACAGGCTAGCAGTACCTCTACAGCATGGTCTGTGTGGTCCCGTTCCTTCGTGGACTGGGTCTCGAAACAGACTGGCCGTGTCGATGGAGTGTGGGCTCTGGGATCTGTCCTCGCTATTCACATGGAAGACAGTGAGGGGGCTGGGTACTCAAGTACCGCGGCCGCGGACCTCCAGAGCACTCTTCTCCAAGGACAAACCGGGACGGGTAACGCGCGCTGGAACGTCCATAGCAGAGTTCTTGGAAACGTTCTATACGTGATGACGAGCCAGACGACGAAGCAAGAGGATGTCCAGAGGCTGGAGGCTCTGCTTCAAAAGGCCCTTGGCTGAAGAGTTTTGTATTAGTGTAAAACATGGCAAAATTATTCCGAGCAGTGCCTCGTATATGGAAGGTGTCCTTTAACGGTTCATTAAGCCATAGTCCGTGGTAGTACGGCCACTCGCGTTGTACTTGATGTCGTACGGCTGATATGGAGTCACCAATGGTGTTTTCTCAGGTCTCAATGGGACTTCGCTTCCACTAATCGGTGCCGATGAGACAAAGCCTTTTGTCAACCTTGTCATCTCGGGATTACTTGGTAATGCCTTCAACACTGAATGCGTGCTCTGTTTCCTCCTTGAACCGCAAGCACATAACCTAGCCTTGATGTTAGAAACGTCGCGTCGCCTACGGAGGCTTCATTGTTAGACCTTAAACGCTTCTTCCTTGGTGTTCTGATGATGCCAAAAAAATTAGGGTGCTCAATGGCAGGACGGTTCGTCATGGATTACACCAAGTTACAATCTGTTGATGATTTCAACAACTACATTGGACATCTCAAAGCAGTGACGGCATCCGACATAAATGCTATCAATGAGTGTCAGCAACAGATATGTCACGCCGTCTGGGTCAAGGATGACTCTGATCTCGGGCATCGCAGTAAGGAAACCCCAATCTCGTTTTTGAGTGTCTTTGCCGCGAACTTTCCCAAGAATACCTGATAGATCTCTGTGTGTTCTGCCGTTGAGCTCGGCTTAGACTTTTTGTTGTCTGCCTTGGTGATGAGCGTTCGCCGGAAGAGAGTCCAGTACGCTGGAAACTATCGGGAGTTTGGTCAGATTGTTGGACTCGCCATCCTTATCCCGGTCCTTACAGAGATGGCCTTTGCTGCTTTGGGGCACACGGCCTCTTCTGGGATTGGATGACTACGACGCAGTGAGCAATAGCAGCGGCAGTGTTTAGTTTGGACGTGCGAGGCCTTCAAGCGAGCTATTGAAAGGGGTTGGTCAGACTCGAAAACAAAAGCTAAAAGATTACGAAATCCCAGTGACTTTGTGATCACACCGAGGCTAGTGCTTTGGTAAGCCTTCTGAGTCAGCTGCCGTCATGAAGTCGCAGTGAATTTCATCCTGTGGGAGGTTGAGAAACATAATGCTCAAGTCCCTCGTTTGTTCGCATTGTCAGATGCCCGACTAAGCGGTCGGATTTTCTTGGGCATGGGACGTAAGGTAATCAATCCCTCAATGAAACCGCGGTTGGATCGGAGGCAGCTCGGTATGCAGTGCGTCGATGCGGGGTGCAAAGCAGGCGGATGCGGCCGCCAGCCGGGCCGCCTTTAGGGGGTTGTGCTCTGTCATTATGCCCGTTCAGAATATGCCACTCACTGTTACTGCCGGAGTTAACGCTGACCTTGCATGTAATTCCCGGGCGACCATTTACCCCCATGGAAGAACGATGCAGAGGTTGGATCAGACTTACGAGTCATGACAGAGCGACGACGCACGTCTCGGACTCGCCCCTAAGCTCACGCCGCTGGGTAGAGCTGGATAGGGCTGGCGAATCATTGGCCACTTCCTCTTCAATGCGGATTACATCGAAAGTCCATGATCTGCACAGAAGGCTTTTTCATAAACTTGGACGACCCAAAGTAGATATCCCAGGTGCAAGGCCTACTGTTCTTTATCTCAGTCAATGTAAAATCCCGGCTTCCAAAGACCTTCCATCACCCTAACTCCCTGTCCGTGGTTCCCTGCCGAGAAGTGAGCAGCAGGAGAACGAAAGGGATATAGCAATGGTTCAGACCAGAACGGGATACGGAAACTTTAATCAAATATGTCCAGCGATGGCCAGGTTTCTACCTGCTCCTGGACTCTGACCTTAGGGGCGGCCGCTGAGGCACGAGTTGCTGACGCAGCTAGCAATTCCGCCCTGGCTCCAAACTCAGATGATCCTATCGAAAGCCTTTGAAGCTCCGAGTGGCTGTCCTAGCGTACATAGTATAGACCCCAGGTCGAAGACAGATCTGCAAATCAATCTGACCCCCTGCACCACCAAATGCCGACCGCTTCCCGCCCGCCTAGCCGCCCTACGGTACGTCTCGTGCCTCTCCATTGTTTCTTGATCAGTGATGCATGCATACGTGCGTGCCGTCCAGGCGATAATTCCGCCCCCCTTGCTTTCTCTCCCCGATCCAATATTCTGCCACCCCCTTGCCACACAGTCAGGGAACGTCACTCGGGGCAGACTTGTGGGGATGCCTAGGCACCTTGGGAGGGGATCCTGATTAGACGAAGAGACTGGGCGTGCCTATCTTACGTTCCCACAGCCCAGCCAAGTTCTCTCCGAGCCCTCCGAGGCAAAAAGCGGGTATCACGGCCCGTCTTAGCAACAAAGCTTGACTTGGATCCACCCCGTGAGCGTTTGTGACATCGACAGAGACCTGTGAGGCATAATCAGGGCCCTGACAGGTTCCGAACGGTGAAGCCGGGCCTATCAAACCGGGATGTGTCATGGACGAACTTCTAGAAAGGCTCCATCTGGTCTCCCTGGCAGCATGGATGCCACCCGAAGTGCGCTCTCGCAATCCCGCGACAATAGAGAGATGGAACCCCTTCCCCGTACAACCTTTAGCGGCCGAATTCCGTCCTCCGTCGTTTCGCCCCCCCACATTGTCCGTACCACAGCCGACCTGCTTCCCAGAGCTGCCAGTGCGAGGTGGGTAAGCAAATTCGCGGCTCGCTTCTAGACACGACCGATCCTGCCACTCAAAGACCGGTCGTGTCTAGAATGAGCTCAAACCAAGCCTTCACTTGCTTCCCCACTCGCGGCGCCGGCGCACCGTTTGAGCGCCGACCGACCGATAGCGGCTCGGGAGCTGTTGCAGCACGGTGGAACTGGCAGCCATGTGGGCATGACGTCGTCGTCTCAACCTCTCCGAGTTACGTCCTAATGAACGGACTTGGGCATCATGGAAAATGCCGCGGCGGTGCTGGGGCCAAAGCTTCGCTTGGTGAGGGGGAGAACTTTTCGCAGCAGGATATAAACACTCTGGATTAACCCCATGAACTCAATATTGAAAAGCACTTATTCCACAGTCTCACATCTAGTATCGCCCTCAAATCCCTACATCATCATCGCTAGAGCCTTGTACTCTCATATTTTGAAACTACTACTCCCTCAGCATTATACCATTTCGTAGTACCTCATTCAGCATGGCACAACCCCAGTATGGCAAGCGCTTGATTCCTCAAATTATCGACGAGACCGCAAGGTCAGAACCCAATAAGGAGTTCTTCTCCGTCCCACGCTCCTCCGACCCCAAGGATGGCTGGAAGCCCATCACATACAAGCAAATCGCCAACGCCGTGAACCGGATAGCCCATAGGATCATCGACAAGCGCGGCAAGCCTGAACCCGGAAGCTTCCCCACGCTCACCTACATCGGACCCAACGATGCACGATATATGATCATCACCGTTGCCTGTATTAAGGCAGGATACAAGGCCCTCTTGATCTCCCCAAGAAACTCCTTTGAGGGACAGATGAACCTTTTTGAGAAGACGGATTGCAACATCATCTGCTTCGACTCATCATACAAGGATGTCATCCAGCCTCTTTTGGAAGAGCGCCAGATGGACGCCATCATGGTCAGCTCCGCGGACGCCTGGCTGGCCGATGAGGAGGTCCCCCATTTCCCCTACGACAAGACGTTCGACGAGGCACAGTACGACCCCGTCGTCGTCTTGCACACGAGCGGCAGCACGGGCCTGCCGAAGCCCATTGTCGCCCGCGTCGGCATGCTCGCCGTCGCCGACGCTTTCCACAACCTTGACGACTTCATGGGCTCCGAGAACTGCATGAAATCCATCATGCAAGGCAGCCGAATCTTCCTGCCGATGCCCCTTTTCCACGCCGCCGGCTGCTACATGTCGATTTTCGCTACTATTTTCTTTGGCCGCCCCGTCGCTCTTGGCTTTTTGGATCGGCCTCTGACGCCTCAGACGGTGATTGACGCTGCTCAGTATGCCAACGTCGACAACGTCATTCTCCCCCTGCGATTTTGGAGGAGATGAGCCACATGCCCGAGGGTGTTGCGGCCCTTAGAAAATTCAAGCGCGTCCACTTTGGCGGTGGAAACCTTGCTCGCGAAGCCGGAAACAAGCTGGTCAAGGAGGGTGTTGTTGTTACGAGTGTTATCGCCTTTACCGAGTAAGTTTCTCGTACTTTTTGATCCTTTAATATAGAAAGCTGACATCCGACGCAGGGCTGCACCTCTGCCATACTTCTTCCAGAAGAACCTGGATCTGTGGCAATGGTTCATCATCGACTCCGAGAGACTGGGCGTCGACTGGCGCCCGGCCAGCGGCGAAGAAGAGGGCGTCTACGAGCAAGTACTTGTTCGAAAGGCCAAGGAGGACCCCCTTCAGGGCATCTTCTACACGTTCCCTGACGCAAAAGAGTACAACACCAAGGACCTGTATCGCAAGCACCCGACAATCCCTAACCACTGGACATATTACGGCCGCTCCGACAACATCATTGTCTTCTCCAACGGTGAGAAGTTGAACCCCGTCACTATTGAGGAGATTGTCACAGGCCACCCTCGAGTCAAGGGTGCCGTCGTCGCCGGTGCCATGCGCTTCCAGCCATTCCTCATCCTCGAGCCGACCGAGCCCCTCACGTCGGAAGACGAAATCGAGAACTTCATCGACGACGTCTGGCCCCTGGTCGTCAAGGCGAACAAGGAGACTGTCGCCCACGGCCAAATCGGCCGCGCCTTCATCGGCGTTACCAAGCCCGAGAAGCCGTTCCCCCGCGCTGGAAAGGGCACCATCCAGCGTCCCATGGCTCTGAAGCTGTACAAGGACGAGATTGACGAGTGGTACAACAAGGCCGAGGAGGGTGCCGATTCTGTTTCCGTGAACATTGACGTCACCTCTGAGCAGACCATGATCGACTCCATCGAGAAGCTCTTCCAGCAGACTCTCGGCAGCAGACCCCTCTCTGCCGACTCCGACTTCTTCAGCGCCGGCATCGACTCCATGCAGGTCATCAACGCCTCCCGTCTCCTCCGCAAGGGCCTCGAGGCCGCCGGTGCCAACATCACCGCCGACGCCATCGCCACTAGAGTCATCTACGCCCATCCCACGCCCCGCCAGCTCGCCGCGTACCTGATGGACCGTGTGAGCAGAGACACCACGACCGAGAACGGCGACGGCGCGAACCACGACATCCACGCCATGGAGGCGCAGCTCTCTAAGTACACCAGCGATCTTCCCAAGAACCCCGGCAACAAGCCCGCGCCTGCCGACCAGGGCCAAACCGTTCTGGTCACAGGCACAACGGGTGCCCTGGGCTCCTACCTCCTTGACTTCATGGAGTCCAACCCCGCAGTCAAGAAGGTCGTCTGCCTCAACCGCAGCGAAGACAGCGGCAAGCGCCAGGTCAAGATGAGCGCCGAGCGCGGCCTCGCAACCTCTTGGAAGAAGGCCGAGTTCCTCTGCGTCGACATGTCCAAGAGCGATCTCGGCCTCGAGCCCGAGGTGTACGAGAGACTACTCAAGGAGACGGACCGCGTCATCCACAACGCTTGGCCCGTCAACTTCAACATTTCGGTCGAGACCTTTGAGCCGCACATTCGCGGTGTCCGTCACTGGGTCGACTTCTCCCTCCGCGCGACCAAGAACGTGCCCATCATCTTCATCAGCAGTATCGGCACCGTCGACGCCTGGCAAGGCCCTGGCCCCGTGCCGGAGAAGAGACTCATGGACCTGTCTCTTCCCAGCACCGGCTACGGTCGCTCCAAGATGGTCAGCTCCCTCATCCTCGACGAGGCAACCCAGCGATCTGGTGTGCCCACGGCCATCGTCCGCGTCGGCCAGGTCGCTGGTCCCTTCTCCAAGGACGGCGTCTGGAACCGTCAGGAGTGGCTGCCGACCATCATTGCCAGCTCCAAGTACCTCGGCGTCTTGCCCAAGGACCTTGGCGGCATGACGACCGTCAACTGGACCCCCATCGAGGGCATCGCCAACCTCATCCTCGAGGTGTCGGGCATCGCCGCCCCCGTGCCCCTGCAGAACGTCAACGGCTACTTCCACGGCGTCAACCCCCGCACAGTCCCCTGGGAGAAGCTCGTCGAGGCTGTCAAGTCCTACTACGGCGACAGCATCCAGAAGATTGTGCCCTTCACGGAGTGGGTGCAGATCCTGGAGAAGAGCGCCAGCTCCACCGACGACATGGACAAGAACCCGGGCATCAAGCTGCTTGATTTCTACCAGGGTCTGGCGTCAGCCGGAGGAGAGGGTGTCGAGCTCTCGATGGAGCGGACGATGAAGAGCAGCAAGACGATGAAGGAGATGCAGGCTGTGACGCCGGAGTTGATGCAAAACTGGTGCAGGCAATGGGGGTTTTAGACGGATTTTGAGCAGAGCAGATTGAGATGACTACACTAATGACTCTTGTAATTATGATAAATCTATTTGAGCTTTTACCTACAAAGTCCTGTGATCTTTGTGTCCTATGCATGAGCATAGCCACACGAGTATGCCTTACTTGACACTCAGTCGAGATCTGACTGGTTGATCCAGTCTGGGGTGTCAGCAACAACGCGATGGTGAGAATGCACGTTGTGTGGCTGTGCTGCACCTTTGGTGGAACAAAACGCAGCGTCAAATAAGAGGGCAATTGTAAACTCTAGCCTGTCCCCTCTTGAGCCACATTTCGGTTTCGCCAAACAACAGCGCGAGGAGCCTCCCAAGACAGCATGATGGGTATACCTACTGCGGACTATCAATACCATGCCTTGTCAACAATCGATTCCATCCGCCTTCTGACTTTCTCACGAGACGAAAGCCAGCCTCATGGGATGCTGTTATCCTTGGCCGAAGCACGCTTGAGTGACCAACCAGAGTTCATCGCGCTGTCCTACACATGGCATCTACCAGAGTATGCCGACACCCGGGACAGAAGCGACCCGGGGGAGGGCAAGACGTTCGAGGTTGTCTGCGATGGCAAGTTGATGACAATCTCCGAGAACCTGTTCAGCTTTCTTGGCAACGCTCTTTCTATCCGCAGCACCGGTGCGAAAGGCGCAGCATCCGCCACGAAGGCGGCATCGAGGCTGTCCTCTAAACCTGCCAAGCTTCTAGAGGGATTCCCGATGTGGATCGATGCGTTTTGCATCAACCAAAGCAACAACGACGAAAAACAGCATCAGGTCCTCCTTATGCACAGGATCTACAGCTCCGCAAAGAACGTCGTTGTCTGGATGGGGCCAGGAGAGCCGGACGCAAACACTCTGTGGATCCACGATAGGTTCATCCCCCAACTAGCGAAACTGACACGGGAAAGGCCAGACTTCGTCGCCCGGTATCTGGAGAAGGACCCATTATGTATGTCGGACGAGGTGATTGCTGAGCTCGGCGCCGATACCTGCAGTCGGTGGACCACGGCGTGGATCTCACTCATGAACTTCATCAAACGCCGCCGATGGTTTGACCGGGGTTGGGTGGTGCAGGAGGTCTCCATGGCGGACCCAGCTTGCGTGCTTGTGCTTTGCGGGACCACGACAATGATCTGGAAGCGGCTCACGGCCTTCTCTCACTTTCTTTACCTATCAAAATGGAATGTGTCATTGATGCCACACTTCGCACAGGTTGTACAGTCACGGCCGAGGTGGTTGGACCACGGATATAAGTCGGATTCCAACTTTGACCACTCGGTTCCGAACGAGCATCTACCAAAGGTCAAAGTAAATGTACCAAAAGTTCCTCATGGGTACGAAACATTCGGCAGTGCTCTTGGTGTCGGCGATAAATTGCGCCAACTCAGTCAGATTCGCCCGGTGCTGGCAGGCACAATCGGTCGGACCAGCGTACTTGACAGCGCCGGCAAATGGCAACCCGACTCCGAAACTGCATGGTTCATGTGCGCTGGTCTCATTGTGAGGTCCCTCCGTTCTTCACACTTCTTGGATGATCGAGATCACCTCTACGGATGTTTGGGTATGCTATCAACGCTACTGCCCCAGGACGTACCGAGTCCTATTGTTCCCGATTATGGGAAGATTGTCGAAGAGTTATATACTTCGTTTTCGGCTCTACTACTTCAGAAGATACCCTTGTCATTCCAACTCTCACAAGTTGAATGCCAGACTGAACGGAACTACAAGGGGCTGCCCTCATGGGTGCCGGACTACTCTACGCCACCAGTCCAAGACCCTTCGTGGAACAAGTATCTGGGCATCACTACAGAAATCGGTACCCGCGTTGAATCATTGAACAGCTCTCAGGATGGTGCTTGGAGCGGTAGTTTCCGAAGCCCGCAACATGCCGGATCCTCTCTCTTCCTATACGGCACTCAACTCGGCATCGTAGGCAACACGGGTAGTGCAAGCGAATCACAATGGAAGGGAGCTGTTCTTCCTGCAGTGTTGAACATAATCTTGGATACAAAAAGGAGGCTCTTCAACCAACCTCAAAGCAGTTTCTGGGACGCCCTGGCAGCGGTGCTACTCTACGAAAGTTTTGAGAATTGTGCTCGGGGCGGTGACCTGACAGACATAAGACTCACCAGGGTCTGGTCTGAGATCAGCATTGGTAATTCGAAGCAAGCAAGGAGGGTATGCTTGGCGAGTGACAAAGAGATACGCGAGGATCGTTACTGGAATCTTCCAGGGCCTGACGGGCAGTCCCTCACATCCCAGCTGTCACGCTTTTCGAAGCTTCGTAAAGCGGCAGACCAAGCCCAGGAATTTCTGGAACGCATCTCACCAGGTTGCATCAACCACAATGTTTGGGCAGATGTCAGACACAGATGTCTCTACACCACATGTGACAACAAGCTTGGGCTGGGTCCCGCTGCAATGGTGTCGAGCGAGGACGAGGAGGTGGCCTGGAACGGAAGTAGCTCGCGAAAACTACCACCGCCCGATGAGGTGTGGCTTTTGGAAGGTGCTCGAACGCCCTTCATTCTACGTAGGAGTGTGGCAGAAGCTCCAGAAGGAAAAGGGGGGAACGTCGATGACGATGTCACGTTTAGGATAATTGGGGAAACTCATCTGCACGGGTTTGATGTCAAGGCCAGCAATCTGACTTTGCAGGAGAATCGACATCTATTTCAGAGAATCAGAATAGTATGAATAAGAAGGATAGTACAGGAGATGCAAATATCCTTCATCAGACAAAAGACAATGTCGAGAAATGACAAAAGAGTTAATTGCGCCGAGGGGGAATCGAACCCCCGGCTCCCCGACGCTGCTGGATGGCAACGGAGAATTTTACCACTAAACCATCGGCGCTAGTGATGATGGGGATGATCAAAATACTGTATTTGAAGTGTATCCAAGCCTGCCCCCGCGGGCTACTCCATGATTTTATTCAATGGGGCCCGGGGGATACGATGGTATGTTACTGCCGGATCTTTCCTTTTCATCTCGCTTCTCCCGTTTACCTTCAACCAGATATTATGATCATCTCGTCATATCCCATCACCACAAGACGAGGTTGCTCTTGATCGGCAGCGGCAGCGGTGAGATGAGCACCTAGATATCACAGGTGTAGTATGGCAGTGGGGCGCTGGTCATCGTTGCATCTATTCGTACTTGGTGGCAGACCCAACTATTCATGAGTTGATTAAAGGTCTGCCAGGCGGTTGCCATGGTACTCGAGTTTGAGGCTTCAGTCTCGCAAACATATCAGCATGGGAGGCATTGCAATGTCGAATCGAAAGATACAAACAGGTGCCGAGTCTGGATTTGGTATCAAAATACATGTATGATCAACCAGACTTTCCGGGGGTGTGAAGAAACCACCCTCCGAAGGTCTAAGATATGTTATTTTGTAAAGTGTGATTGAAACGGTAAGCCCGCATTTGTAGACTCTGTGAGAAGAGCCATGATGCCATAGCGACGACAAAATATCAGCATTATGGCTCTGTTGAAGATGGATCGTCTTGGTTACCGTGTCAGTTGGACGGCGGTGCAACAGCTGAGGTCTACGAGCAGTTTCGATGACTGCGGTCTCTGCCGCCTTGTCGCCTTGCCGGCATGCTTGGCAATGGTTTGTATTCCTCAGTGGCTTCCTGCAAGAAGCAAGCAAAGATCATCGAACTAAGCTGTTATAGCCAAGTAACTGGCTTTCCATGGCAGGACCATTGATACCTCACATGGGTTTGGAGCATCGCTCTCCAGCGCCAAGCGTCATGTGACAGAGTAGTCAAAGAAAGCCATCCTCGTTGTAGTTGAAAGTTCGTTAAGGCATAATGCATTGGTCTCTCGCAACCAGAAAAGCCACCGCGATGCATACCTCAAGTTTGCAACTCCGGGTTCTGGATCGTCCCAATCAGACCCCCTCTAAAAAGTCCAGAGTATGGTATGACAAAAGAACCGTCGTCGTCTTGCAAGATCCACCCAAGCTCAATCTAGGCAACGTACGTCCACCTAGGCTCTTGGCATATCTACCCTCCTCGCACCGTCGTCCCCTCCCCCGTATAGGAATCCCCATCGCCTCCTGGCCACCAGTTCTACCTTTTTACTTGGGTACAGCGAACTTGGTGGTCCACTCCTTGGCCGTCGCGATGGCTGCTTGCTCGTCCTCCTTCCAGCTCTTGGCTACGTCGGCGGCAAGCGGGTCGTCGGGGTTGGGGGCGCCCAGGAGGGCTTGAATGGAGAGGAGAATGGTTCGGATCTGGAGCGCGGGGGACCAGTTATCTGTAGGGAGAAGGCGTTCTTTGTCAGTTCTGTGTGCGCATGTGACATCAATGACTTGAAGGGCTACTCACTCTTGAGAACATCGAGGCAGATACGGCCCAGCTTATCGACGTTGGGATGGAAGATCTTGGTCAGGAAGCGGATCTTGGGGGGAGTCATAGGGTAGTCGTCGGGGAGGAACAGCTCGAGCTTGAAGACACCGCCTGCAGCACCTGGTCAGTTCGCAATCCAGTCCGAGTATATGTGCAGATGCGCACCTTCGTACGGCGACTGTGTAGGGCCGTGAATCTCGACATCGAAATAGCGGAGGTTGTCCTCGTGGGGGACGGCGCTGATACCGGGAACACTGGCAGAGGGTCTTTGTTAGCGAAATGTCGCAACAACCATGGCGGGGTGAGATTGGGGGGTCGTACGGCTCGGCCATGAGACGCTCGGTCTCTTTGACAATACGCTTAGGCAAGGCCATGCTGGGCGACAAGGGCTCTGTATCTCGCGGTCTGTGTGAATGGGAAGAAAGAAAAGGGATGTTTGTGTTTCCCCAGAAAACTGAGGTAGTCGCAAGATGGTGGGTATTCAAGCAGCCGGGCCGTTGGCGGGGTCAAGCGAGTGGTGAATGAGGGAGTTCTTTGATTTCAAGGGCCCCAGAAGGATACAAGGGGTGCGGTCGTTTGCTTTTACCGACAAAAAAGGGCAAGTCACAAAGTAATTGCAGTCGGATGCCCGGGAGATGTGTACGGAACGGCGGCGACAAAAGCAATGAGGACTCGGGTCTGGTGGAGTGTTTCGAAGGCAAGGCAGGCAAAGGCGACCCGATGCTGGGAGATCGGGTATGGTGGGCATGTGCTTGGGAAAGCCTTGCTTGGAATTGCCCCGCGGGAGGTGCCAGAGCCAGAGGTAGGTAGGTATGACACACTCAGCGGACGCTGTGCCGATAACAGGTGAGGAGTGGGGAATTGCGATGGCTCAGGTGCCTTGTAATTGGATAGAGATGGAAGCCAGACTGTAAAGTATCTCAGCTATCCTTTTCTATGCAAAGATACATTATCCGATAGTGGGTCCGCAGCTGTCGTCCCGTCCATCCACAGTCCACGGGCGCACCGTCGTCCGCCCAGGATGCTCAGCTGCGCTTGATCCTGTCGCGTGCATTGAGCTTCTGAGCCTCATCCACCGAGGACGAGACCTTCAATAACAGCTAGCGTTATCGAGTCGCTCATTAAACCAGCAAACGGAGAACTCTCGGGACCATCCCCTGCTGCTGGGGCACACTTTACGCCCGGCTGCCATCGGATCATGGCAAAGACGTATCGCCAACAGATGCCCTCATGAGGCGTCTCTCTCATTTGAGCCATAACCTCCTCCACTATGCCGCACTTCGACCAGCTCGACGCCCCCAAAAAGGGCAAGCCCATCAAGTCTGCTTTTGATAGTGAGAGCTTCGACGCCGACGGCACGATCCATGTGGCCGGATTGGTGGGATCAGCGACAATCTCACCTTCTGGTAGGGATGTCGCATTGGCATCGTGAGTAATCTGGTCCCATACTCGACCAAATTGCCTTTCGCCCACACTGACACACCCGCCAGGCCCGAAGGCTTGTCCATCATTGACTTGGACTCGCCATACAACCCTCCCCGCCGACTCAGCAGCCATGGCTCACCGTGGCTTGTCACCGACGTTCAGTGGTCTCCTTTCGCAGCCCGCGACTACTGGGTCGTCTCCACGGCTAATCACCGTGCACTGGTGTGGAATCTCAACTTGCGAGACGATTCAACCTCTGGAGCTATCGAGCACTCCCTCCAAGGTCACAGCAGGGCCATCACAGACATCAACTGGGCCGCACATCATCCCGATCAGCTCGCGTCGTGCGCTGTCGATGGTTACGTCCACTGCTGGGATCTCAGGCGCCCAAGACAACCTGTGCTGACCTTTTGTGACTGGTTTGCCGGCGCCACGCAAGTCAAGTACAACCGTCAGGACCCGCACATTCTGGCCTCATCCCATGACAGGTGGTTGCACATCTGGGACGAGCGACGGTCGTGCGAGCCTCTGAAGTCCATCAGCGCGCATACCTCCAAGATCTACGGCATTGATTGGAACCGAACCAGGTCCACGGGCATCGTCACATGTTCCTTGGATAAACACATCAAGTTTTGGGACTACGGCAGCGACCAGGATGTTCCAGAGCGTGTCATACGCACCGAGTTCCCGGTGTGGCGGGCTCGTCATACCCCTTTTGGCTGTGGCCTCCTGGCTATGCCTCAGAATGAACCAGGCGATCTGTATCTGTACGACGCGCGACCGCCTCCCAAGGATCCCGACGATGGACCGACGGAACCGGTTGCGGTCTTCCCTGGGCACGGCAACCACAAGGCCAAGGAGTTCTTGTGGAGAAGTAGAGGGGGCGTAACCGATGACGGCTTGGACGAGAGAGATTTCCAACTGGTCTCTTGGGGCGAGGACAATGAGCTGCGGTTACAACATGTCGACCCGTCCATTCTCGAGGCCGTGGGCTACGTCAAGGGAATGCCGGCGAGGAAAAATTTGGTCCTTACACGCAAAGGTGCTGCCTACAAGACGTTCCGGACGGTTGAGGACAGCGTTAGCCGAGACCGAAGGAGTGCGACGATGAGCGACCCTCGGAACAGCGCACAATATCGGCAGAGCGCCCTGACATTGGGTATGCGCTCAGGGCCGACTACATACTCTAAGCTTGGTGCCGCTTGGAAAGGTTCCTCCATGAAAGCTAAGAGTGCCTCTAAAGAGATGGACCGCAGTCAGGCGCATATCGGCTGGATGAAGGGAATCATGATGAACAAGAGAAAGGCCTCCACCGACAGTCCCCGAAGGGCAGATTCGAAAGACTCAAGCATGTTCAGCCCTGGATACATGGACGACGACAAGTGGGGAGATCCGGAGACCATCCAGGAAGAGTTCCTGCGCATCAGCATGCAGCTTCCCAAGGTGAAGTGGGAGCATATTGATATGGACAACCTGACGCTCAACGCCTCGCTCAATGGTCCATGGGGCCCCCATGGTGAAACCATCTTCATCAAGGTCACTGTTGACATTCCTTCCAACTACCCCAAAGTCAAAGCTCCGAGGTTCTTCATCGAAAAGACTGGCTTCATGTCGGAGAGGACGCATAGGAAGATTGAGCACGAGATCCACGAGCTTTGTCAGCAGTTCCTGGAGCGAAAGCAGAATTGCTTAGACGTTGCGTTCTCCTACCTCTTGGGCGAAATCGACCTTGCAGCGAGTACGAATTTCTTCAAAAACGTCAAGGACCTCGACGACCCCTAGATGGACTGGGCTCCGAGAGCTCTAGTGAAGACGAGAACGACATACCAGCGGGTGGGTCGGCGTCCATGTCACAGGAGTTGCCCCCCAACGCCGAAGCCGAAAGCACTCTCGCACCAAATAACAGGCCCACGATTCCACCGCTGCCACGGTTCTGCGGGGCTCGATTCTCCAACGACGGGCGGCTTGTGTGCTTCTTCCCGACCAAGGAGGAGAAGGCTAGGGCCTTGTTTTCCACCTCGGTTGAACCGCTGCGAGAGAGAACAAAGGGCGAACCGGTATTTGCCGGCTTCGGCCGTCTGGCACACGATTCGCCGCCGGGTAAGAGGTACGGCCAAGATGAGATGTCCGCCACAGACGACCAATCAGACTCTGATGACTCCACGGGGTCTTCGTCGTCAAGCGATTCGGAGTCGACGTCAATCAATAAGATGAGTTTGTGGTATCAGCCCCAGCATCGGTTCAAGAGAACTTGGAGCGAAAACCGGTCTATCCGGTCGAGTGGTGGCGGTACGGGTGTGGGCACGGGAACGGGCACAGGGTCCCTTAGAAGGAGGCCTGGCGCCAAATCGAAGAACGTGATATCCCTTCACGACACCTCAGACCTTCTTCCCGCGAAGAAAGAGTTTGCCCAAGAATACGCCATATTTGGAGATGGGGCTCAGGTCTGCGAGCACAACGCCCAGGTTGCGGAGAAGCATGGCTGCCAGGATCTTGTTGATATCTGGCGCTACCTGTCACTGATCCTCCGCAAAGACATTCCACTAGAGTTGTCAAACATGGACCATCGCCAGAACTCGATCTTGATCATTGCTCGCGATGCGCTGACGCGGTTCCGCCACGAAGACTCGCCAGGCGTCCAAGACATCAACGGCAAAGACACGGCCGTTTTCAACGGAAGAGTGAAATGGGGCAACCACCCCTTGGCAAGGAACTTTATCAGCGACCTCTTTGAGTACTTTGAGAAGACGGCGGATATCCAGATGCTGGCCATGCTTTCTTGCATCTTCAGTGAAGCCTTCACTGAGGATAGCCTTGCATATGCCGAGTCGCACCTGACACAGCCCGACACACCGTTGCCCATGAAGACTCCCGCGTTCTCGCTCGATTACTTCCCTACTGACGCTTCGCTCTGGAGCATCAACGGGAGAAGCCAGACGAACTCTGCCATTACCACCCCAAGGACGCTGCACACCCCTATTCGCTATTCCGGCTCGCAAGGATCCGCCGAAGAAGTGCTCTGGGCTGGCGATCCAGGCTCGAACTCGTACTCTTGCGGCGAGACTCCGCCCAACAAGGGTGTCAGGGAGTATCTCGGCGAAGGCGATCAGACACCAAGTCTATCGACCTCGCCCAGCGGAAGGACGCTGTCGAGAGCGAATTCGGGGCTGGCGTCGAGTTTTGCGATCAACTTCCCGCGCCCTTTCAGCGGTGTCGCGACAGGAACCACAACCGCCGCGTCGTCGCCTCCAAACCACGGCCGCAAACGCCCCAGTCCGGCAGACACGATACTCAGCACTCTCGCCCCCAGCGCAGTCGGCAACGTCACATGGGGACACTCGACCGTCATGGGCGACTCGGGCACGACGCGCACCTCTCTCTCGGATGACGAGGTCTACCGCGAGGAGCTCTTCTCACTCGTTCCCATCGGCGTCTCCGTCCATCTGGAGGACCAGACCATATTCGACGACGACGGCTGGATGACGACGCCGCTCCTCGAGCCCACCCGTAGCGACATGTACGCCACGTACCGCTATGTCTACGCCGAGATCCTGCAGATGTGGAACCAGCCCCTGGCCCGCCTCGAGATCATGAAGTTCAATGTGCTCCAGCAGACCCAGGCGGCCGGGGCGCTGGATGACTTCCACGAGACCTACAGCATCGCCGACACCTCCACCACAATCCAGCAACACCACCAGCAGCACCACCCCGAACAACAGCACCAGGCCCACCAGCCGCAGCATCAGCAGCAGCAACCCCACAACACCTCGCCGATCCTGCTGGGCAAGAAGGAGCAGCTCCAGGCCCTCGTCGCTTCAGGCCGCGGCCTCGACGTGACCGGCGTCTGCCGCGTTCACGAAACCCAGCTCGAGCCCCTGAAATACACGTCCGTCACTGCGACGCGCCTCGGCGGCGCCGTCGGCACCTGCGACCGCTGCCGCCGCACCCAGACCCAGCTCTTGTGCGTCTACTGCCGCGAGCCCGTCGATGCGCTGTACCCGC